TTAGGTCACGAAGCTCTGTCTATATGGTCACTCATGTGGCGGTCTAACCAAACTGTCTCTACATAGTAGCTAGATCCAAAAATTGAATGTGGAAACTGCCAAGTGTCTTAATGCCTAGGCTCAAAAGTAGGACACAGCCACTTGTGTAGCCTTTTGATCAAACCAAACTGCAAAGCTAGCTCAAATCAGGAGGAGGAAAAATAGACCCCACCCTTTGGTGGGAGGAACTTTTGATGTTTATCTGTGGATATAGTCAACAAGTTAATCTTAATCAAATTAAAATCTTGGCTATCTCAATAGATAGCTTCTACAGGTAAAGGCACTTGCCCCCAAGCCTGATGACCCATAAGTTCAGTCCCCAGAACCCACAAGGGGGTCCTTTGACTTCCATACACACTTGGGTGTGTTTGCCCATACAGTCAAAATAAATATACAAATGTAAAAGCTTCACATTGAGATCTTATTTTTTTCTTACACTTACCAAATCTTCAGTTTTGCTGAAACTAGCACTTTCTAAAGAGGCTATTTGGGAAAGGGACCTTCTAGCTGTAGGCAGGATGGGGAAAGCATGCATAAATGTGATCACATATTAGCTATTTAATGAAGTCTCCTTATGTCACAATTCCCCTAGTTGTCTACACAAAACTGGTGTTACTGAATATTATTTATTTTGTGGTACTTTACAGTCACAAGGCTTCCCTTTATGTGGTAAAAGCCTATTTTGACTGTTGAGATTTTAGCAAGAAAAAGAAAAGAAACTTCACTTTTCCCGAAACTTTCACTTTTCACCGCTGTGAATAAAGGTTGGGATTAGTGTTAAGTTATCAAATCAGAGGCCCATTCAAAGGGGTGAGGCTGTTAATGAGACTCAGAGCCTCTCCAGAGGTGTGCTCATGTTCCTTGGCTGCCACATGTGTGAATTTTAATTGCATGGTTTGTAGACCTCTGCGTCAAGATGTTTTTCTGTATACCTTCCTTGCAGCATCACTGGATTCTTGAACAGGGGACTTTATACTAAGATAGCACGTTTGTTGTTTCCCTCTGAATCTATCTTTATAGATTTATAGACTTGCAGTCGAAGGTTTGTCCTTCCAAACAAGTACCGCCCACACAGGGTGGTGTTATGTGTGTGTGAAGAATAACAGTGAATGAGCCTGTGTGGCAAGCCCTATGTGGGCTGCTGGGCGTGAAACAGGGTTCCTAGGAAAATTGCTTCTAAAGATCTGCTTCCCAGAACTGTGCACTGTGGGTTCACGCCAGCTTTTAGTGTGGATGCTATTGGCAAATGTTCCACTTGCATTGCCTCTTTTATATTTAACATTTTCTGAGTTAAGTTATTACCTTGAGTCTACTTGTTCTTTGAAGTAGGCTCTGTTCCATACAACAAACATGAAACAAATGAGCATGGTATAACTGGACACTGTTGCACTGTGTGAGTGTTTTACAGCAGGAGGTGAGGACATGAAATAGAGCAGGCGTACAGTGGTGCTTTGGGAATGCTAGGGAGGTTTTCATGAGTAGTTTGGAATATACCCAGTGCCCTGCTTTTATTTTCTTATGTCTAAAGTGGATGATCTAAAAAAGTCCAGCTTTCAGAGTATATAGTATACTGCTTGCCTCAAATCAAAACGGGTAATAATAATCATTTAAAAAGACTGGAAGCTGGGTCTTGGGGATCCTTTCTCAAGTATAAAGGAGCAAGGGGAATCCTCCTAAGGAGCCCTACTTCTGAGCAGGTAATTAGGAACTGTGTACAAGGCACTTTAAGGCAGAATGTAGTTTTGCACTGGTCAAAAGGAAGGAGGTGTCAACAGAGGGTGGGAAGAGACTAGGACACCTTGAAGATGGGCCTTGATAGCACTTGGGAGGCAGAGGTAGGTGAATCTCTGTGATTTCGAGGCCAGCCTGGTCTACAAAGCAAGTTCCAGGACAGCCTCCAAAGCCACAGAGAAACCCTGTCTTGAAAAACCACACACACACAGGGAAGGAGAAAGAAGGTATTTTAAGGACATTGAGAGTGAAGAATGGTGGAAACAAAGGGCAGCTGCACCTTACAGAGAGAAATAGCATCGCTAAGTTAGTTCATGGTGGAAGTCAAGTGGGCAGTGAGAGGGCTACCTCACTCAATTCCACTTGGAGTAAGGCTTTAATGTGCTATTAAGGGATTTTTAGAATTCAGGGTGGCCAAGGGACTAATTAGGCTCTTTGGAGCCTGCAGGTTCAGAAATGTGCTCTTTCCAGGGTCTAGCAGGGGGTGATGAGCACTGCAGAGAACTGGTGACTGGGCTTGGGGAAGTGGAAGACCGTGCAGTGGCGAAGAACAATGCCAAGTCATTGGCAGTGTTGTGGGCACAGCCTGTAATCCCACCACTCACCACACTGAGATGGCATGGGCCCTACATAGTGTGGCCCTATCTCAGTTCCTCTCCTTCCAAGGGAAGAAGAAAGAATAGTGGTAAACTGCATGCAGTCTTACTTTACCTGGAGGCCTCAACTCATCAATCATAAGCATGAAAACTCACTTCTTTTTTCCACATCTGCTCTCACTATAACCCTTCAAAGATGAATAGTGATAATGTAACAGTTGAATTCTTCAATTCCTGCAATGTGAATTCCTGTTCTACCTGAGTAGAACAGAATCATTGGCAGTCCTGAAACGAGTGTGTTCTTCTGAGGCCTTTTCAAAAGGTGATGGTATTTCATAATTTACAAAAAGCTTATAAACTGAGTTTCAGATCTGAACCTTTTGTCTTAATTTTGGGACTAATAAAACTTGCCGTTGTGCCGGGCGTTGGTGGCGCACGCCTTTAATCCCAGCACTTGGGAGGCAGAGGCAGGCGGATCTCTGTGAGTTCGAGGCCAGCCTGGTCTACAGAGCTAGTTCCAGGACAGTCTCCAAAACAATACAGAGAAACCCTGTCTCGAAAAACCAAAAACAAAAAAACAAAAAAAAACTTGCCGTTGTATTGGTGGTTAGACAGAAAGACAGATGTGACTGGTCTGAGTAGCTCAGTGTTAGAGCACTTGGTTAGCATTCACAAGGCTCTGGGTATCATTCCCAGCACAACCAGCAAAACAGCCCAAGCCTGATGGAGTGGTACCCAGCCAAAACAAGTTTGGAAGTGCTATTTTTTATAATATGAGGGAACTTTATTCTTTATTCTGCATAAGATATGCATAACCATTAGGTTATGTATTATCAAAGTCTAGTCAGCCAAACTTTAATCCCAAAGTGCATTTTACAGACAAGAAAAGCCTGTTTATCTATCCCTTTAGCCAGAACTGTACAGTGTTCATCTGTGACTATTTGGGGATGGAGGTGCTAAAGATGCTGCTGTATTTCCTTATCACTGCACCCTGCAGGTGTACTGTTGAACAAACAATGAATGAAACAATAGTATCATTGGAGCTAATATTGAAATCCACTGGCCTAATACTGCTGTTGTGCATAATTACCAGAAACTGCTTTTACTGAGTTCCATGCCAAATCTGATAGCCATCACAATTACATTGTAGCATAATGAAACCTATTACTCTGTGTACTAACTTAAAAAAAAACTAACTAAAAACAGTTACATTTTTAGTTGTACTCCACAGCTGTTTGTTCAGGCTGAACAGTGTCATGAGAGACGGATGGTGAAGCAAACAGGTGGCTGGGATAATTAGGGTTTGAATTTAACGTTCACTTTCTGCTTCCTTCCTGAAAAGAACAGGAAGGAATAGTTGAGAATGAGTGTCACATCAGCTGACTTGAGGCAAGGCATTGCTCAGAATTTTGCTCTTGGGTTGTTTCCAGTTGTTAAAGAAGCAGCCTCAAATTTAGATGTGTCTCAGCTCAGTTCTTTGCTCTGTTTTTTGTATTGGTCATATTTGTTAGATTAATGGTTTTAGTTGTTGAATGAATTGTAGAACGAAGCAACACCCTATCTTCTTGTCATTTATTTTGTCCCAGTGCTATGCAGTACAGGCTGTAGGCATATGGCAGAGTAAACCTGTGCACATTTTAAAATGGCCTTGTGGAGCTGGGCATTGTGGCTCCCACAGCACTTGGGAGCTATTGTCAGGAAAACCCTGAGTTCAGCCTTGAACTACCTAAGACCTGGTCTCAAAAAACAACAAACAAACAAGCAAAACCCAGTGGAGTGGAGAGCAGCCTCTCCGCATACAAATAAAACTGAACTGTATGTTTTGACACCCTCTGGTTTTAGAATTGCCCAGTGTGTGGCGAGCTCACACTGGAAGCAGCACTCATTTAGGTCCATGGCATTAATATTCCTGCTCTGTATCCTGCCATTCAAGACATAGCAGTGTTGCTATGGTTCACATTTCATGAGCTGTCTGATCATATCCTATTAACAGCCAGATGGTATAGGGGAATGTTTTTCCTTTACTTAATTCATCCAGATTTGATTATCTGTATTCAGGAAAAATAATTAGTGGAGGTCTGATTGAGGACTGTACGTGTCTGAGTGTTGTGCTTAATCGCATGAACAGCTATGGCCTGCCTGATTGCTGGGCATGTGTATTTGAAAAGGAGTTATGCTTCTCTACTGGACTCTTGCTGGTATTTTTTTGAGATCCTATTGTTCAGGACATCAGAAAACTGTGTGGAAAGGAGCTGGGGAATTATCAGACATGACAAGGATTTACTTGTGGATTTTGAACAGTAAACCATGGAATTTTAAGAACTATGCATGCTCAGTGTTTTGCTTTCTCATTTTCACCCCTCATTTTGATATTTTTGGAGATACATATAGCAGCCAAATGACTCCTAGATGATCCCACTTCCTAATTAAAATGGGAGCATGTTTCTCAGAATTTTCCACATAACCAGTCCTTCCTTCTTAGGTCTTTCCTATACTGTTTTTAGTTAATGACCTTTTCAAGCTGAGCATTAGTAGTCAATCACTAAAAAAATAAGTAACATTAGAGGCTTGGACAGTGTGGAGGCAGAAGGACAGAATTCCTGATCAAATCGTGCTTTCTGCTTTGGCCTGCAGGAGTTGTGGAGGCACTGCAGTGAACTATGTAATCATGGAGTCGCCTTGCTAATCATCACCACCTGTTCTCCGTGATAAGCCAGCGAGAAAGTGGGTCGAGGAGAAGGAAAAGAGGCCAACATGAAGCTGAAGCAGCGAGTTGTGCTGCTAGCAATACTCCTAGTCATCTTTATCTTCACCAAAGTTTTCCTGATAGACAACTTAGATACATCAGCTGCCAACCGAGAGGACCAGAGGGCTTTTCACCGAATGATGACTGGCTTGCGGGTGGAACTGGTGCCTAAATTGGACCACACCCTGCAATCTCCTTGGGAGATTGCAGCCCAGTGGGTGGTGCCCCGGGAAGTGTACCCTGAAGAGACACCAGAGCTGGGAGCAATCATGCATGCCATGGCCACTAAGAAAATCATTAAAGCTGATGTGGGCTATAAAGGGACACAGCTAAAAGCTTTACTGATACTTGAAGGAGGACAGAAAGTTGTCTTCAAACCTAAGCGGTGAGTCTTCATCTTAGAAGGTGTGTGTGGTGGTTGTTATTCATCAACTTGGGTTTATAGAAGAGTGCTGTCCTTGCTGTTCTCTTCAGTAACGTGACAGCTAGACTGGAACATCTCCAAAGTCTTTCTAGTTCAGAAGTTCAGCGATTCTTTGAATGGAGAAATCTATGGGAACCTGTTTTGGTTCGTTTGAGCCTTTTTAAAAAGCCAGCTATGGTGGTTTAGCCCTGGAATCTGCACTCAGGAGGGTGAGGCAGGGTGGTTGTTACAAAGGGCAGCCTGGGCTATATGTCGTAAGTTACAAACAACAACTGAAGTTTGAACAGAACCAACCTTGATTTCTCTGGGCTTTGTTTCTTGTTGGGTTGTTTGTTTTGAGATATGCTGAGGCTAGCCTCAACTTGGTGATCCTCCTGCATTATGCAGGCCTGAGCTTCCACCTGGCTGTTGATTTCTAGTGTACTAAATATCTTCAGTGTGGCAAGTACTAGAGATACAAAATGAATTGAGTAGAAAATAAACAACTTGTTGACCCCCTCCTTCTCCCCTCAGAGTATAACTAAACTTGGGTATTCGAAAAGTAGGAACTACAGAGTTAGCATGGACTTCTCAGAGTGGGGGAAGTCTTGTCAGTACTGAAGCATTGACTCCTTCATGTAGGGCTTTCTTTTGTGTCTTTGTTTTATGAGTAGTTTCAGGTTCGTGGAAGATTGTAGAAAAATACAGACAAGTCCTATTAACTACGTTTCCCTCCAGTTTCTCCTGTTACTAATGTTCATTAATCCAGTTGATGAGCCAATATTAGTATGTTAATTAAAGTCCATTGCTTGCATGGACGTAGCAGTGCCCATCTTTGATCCCAGCACTTGGGAGTCAGAGGCAGGTGGATCTCAGAGTTCGAAGCCAGCCTGGTCCATAATGAGTTTTAGGATAGCCAGAATTACATAGTGAAACCCTATTTTGAAAACAAAAACCAAATGAAAAAGAAAAAAGTCAATAATTTATATTAGGGTTCACTCTTTAGGGGTATACTCTATGGATTTAGGCAAATATCCATCACTGTAATATAGTGTGATTCTCAACCCTAGAAGTCCTCTGGACTCCATTCTTCCCTCTCTGCCCTTGGACCCCTGACACCCACTGACCGTCTGTTGTGAATGAAACAGAACACAATGGTTCACACTCTTTTACCAAAAGTGAGTCAGCAGCAAACATTTCCAGGGTCTGGCACTGAGCATTCTTTCAGCTCTTGGTAACACTTTTGAGAGATTTCTTGCTAGAGTGGAGGGAGTAATATGGGTGAAAATATATAAAAATTCCATTCCCTTATTATGAATTAGATAAAAAAAAAAACAGCTGGGGCATGGATAGATTTAGAATCCCAGAAATGAAAGGGGTCAATATCTGTCTGGGCCTGGCAAGTTAAAAAATGCGGTAAATGCAGATGTGTTGGCACCTGCCTTTAATCCCAGTACTCAGGAGGCAGAGGCAGGAGAATCTCTGTAGATTTGAGGCCTCCCTGGTTCAAAAAACAAAACAAACAAAAAATGCAGTAGAGCTGTTGTGGTTGTGCAGACCTGTTATCCCAGCACTTGGGACATAGGCCTCGAGATCTAATTTCTGTTGAATGCACGCCATTTACTGGGCATTACACCAAATACTTTTAGCACCCTAATCGGTTCAGTTTCTATTTCCACAAAAAGAAACTGATTTGACAAAGCTGCCTCATAGTAATTTAGTAGAGCTGGACTTTGGCCCTAGATCCATCAGAATTGTAAACAGCTTTTATTCTACCATACAGTTTCTTTGATTGCTTGATATAGAACACCTATCATGAAAATAAAAAATAATTTAGGGTCTTTTTTTGGTGTTTGTATGTATATACATATGTATATGCTCGTGCACAATTGCCATAGTGTGTTTGGAAGTTAGGATAACTTGTGGAAATCAGTTTTCTCCTTCCACACTGTGGGTCCCAGGAATGGAACTCATGTCATTGGGCTTGGAGGCAAGTGCTTTCTACCTGCTGAGCAGTCTCATTAGTCCGCTAATTCAGTTTTGAAGTATAGTTCTTGATCTCTTGGTTTGTATCTTAAGGGATTAATAGCAGAGTATTGGGGTATGGGGATGAAAATTTTATGAAAAGAAATTAATTATGACTACTGTATGCTTAAGTAATCCATACCTGCTTCTTGTACACTAGAGAATGAAGGATTATATGGGATTAAGTGCGTTGAAAAACAGATATTCCTGGTAGTTGTTAACCATAGATTTTACAGACATGCCTGAGGTGTTCAAGGAAGTTACAGTGGAGGGCAGAAAGACCAGACTGAGTAGGAGAGGTGGCCAGAGGTACGTGCATAACCCCTAGTCACTCCTGCTTCATTTCTGTCTATGTTAGTACTCTGTACCATCATACTACCTTCCTTTTCCAGATCCCAAGTGGCATTCCATTCTCCTTCCCCCTCTTAGACAAGGTCTCGGGCCCTGGCTGACCTGGAACTCATTATGTAGATCAGGATGGCCTTAAACTCAGAGATCGCCTGCCACTGCCTCCTGAGTGCTGGGATTAAAGGTGTGTGCCACTATGCCTGGCTTCCTCATATTAGCTCTGTGCTTCCTAGCTGTAAAACACCCAGGGTCTTCCCATTGTGCCCCAGACAATCCATCCTCTACAGTCTAATAACAAAGGACCCCGGGGTCTGGCCTTCCTGTCTATTCCTTATTTTTACTCCAACCCCAGGGCAGTCTCTTCCTCTACAAACATTGTGTGTGACTCGGGTGGAGATGTTGCCTGCTTCACTCACTGCACACACTGTTGTGTGTTCTAACTCCAGACAAGCCAGACTGGATGTGGGTTGAGGTACTTACAGAAACTCATTGCAGACCTTGGACCCTCGACAAAGTACTATTAAGACTTCTAGGGTCTCAAAAGCTACACATAACCCTGCTTTAAGTCCACATGATGTCCTTGCTCAGAGCCTGATAGCCTTCACTAAAAGGACAGGAGTGATTTTATTGGCAGTTACTGTGTGAATTCTGCTCCTCTGCCAGTGAATTAAGGTGAGTCATTCCTTGTTGAGGAGGATCTAAGTCAGTCGAGATATATACCTTTCTTTAATAGCCTTTGTGTCTTAGCTTTATGGAGACTGGTTTATGATCTCCTTTCAGAGGTGGGAGTTACTGTAGACAGAGGACATATATAGGGATACAGTGTAATACTATTATTTATGTCTTTTACTACATTACAGTTGTGGCGCACACCTGTAATCCCAGCACTCGGAGGCAGAGGCAGGTGGATCTCTGTGAGTTCGAGGCCAGCCTGGTCTACAGAGCGAGTTCTAGAATAGCTAGAGCTGTTACACGAGAAACCCTGTCTCAAAAAAAAAAAAAAAGTAATTTTCTCCTCAATTTAGTAGTATCCATTCTAGAAATAAATCGATTTTTACAGGAACAACTGCAGTTATTTTGGAAAGGGACATAAAGTTGGGGCCTAAAACTAGGTAAAAGTGAATGTATGATCTTAGTACATACATGCTGAAAGTAGCCTTTGGAAACGTGAGAAAAATGAGACCCAGAATTCTAATTTTTCATATTTCACATAGTTAAAACATGAGCAAAGGGGCTGGAGAGATGGCTCAGGTTAAGAGAACTGGCTGCTCTTCTAGAGGTCCTGAGTTAAATTCCCAGCACCCACATGGTGGTTCACAAGCATCTATAGTGGGATCTGATGTCTTCTGGCATGAGGCATACATGCAGACAGAGCACATTAAATAAATATAAAAAAAAAAAAACAGAAAACCATGAGCGAAGAATTCAGACCTCGGGGCTAGGAAAATGGCTCAGTTGGTAAGTTTGATCCTCAGAACCCACATAAAAAACACCAGGCATGGACCTGGGAGATGGCTCGGGGTAAGCTGCTTGCTGTGCAAGCATGAGAACCTGAGCTGGATACCTAGCATCTGCATGGAAAGCCAGGAGTGGTGACTGCAATCCTGGTACTGCGGGAGCTAGAGGCAGGTGGTGCTCCAGGGCTTGCTAGCCCACAGTCTAGCTTAGTCAGGCTTCTATTGCTGTGAAGAGACACCATGATCAAGGAAACTATTCTAAAAGAGGCTTGCCTACAGTCTCAGACACTTAGTCCATTATCATGGTAGAGAGCACAATGGCAGGCAGGCATGGTGCTGGAGAAGTAGCTGAGGTCACAAGCAGGGAGAGGAGGAGGGGCTGATCTGGGCTGGCTTTTGAAATCTCAAAGCCTACCCTCAGTGGCACACTTGCTCCAGTAAGGCCATACCTACTCCAACATGACCACACCTCCTAATCCTTATATTCCTTTCAAATAGCAATACTCCCTGGTGACTAAGCACTATAGGAGACTATGGTGACCATTCTTACTCAGACTATCACACTTGTTAAAGCAGCAAGCTTCAGTAAGGGACTGTGTCTCAAAAATAGTAAGGTAGGAAGCAATAGAGGAAGGATATCCCTGCATCAGCCTCTGGCTTACACACACTCATATAGGCAAGCACATCTACATACACATGAGTGTGAGCCAAGCTGGGCATGGTGATATATGCTTGTAATCTCAGTACTGGGGAGGCAGAGTCGGGGATCCGTGGGGCCCACTGGCCAACCAGCAAGTTCCGTGTCAATGAAAAATTGATTTTAAGCAGTTAAGAGCACTGGCTGCGGCCGGGCGTTGGTGGCGCACGCCTTTAATCCCAGCACTCAGGAGGCAGAGGCAGGCGGATATCTGTGAGTTTGAGACCAGCGTGGTCTACAAGAGCTATTTCCAGGACAACCTCCAAAGGCACAGAGAAACCCTGTCTCAAAAAAACCAAAAAAAAAAAAAAAAAAAGAGCACTGGCTGGCTGCTCTTCCAGAGGTCCTGAATTCAATTCTCAGCACCCACATGAGGTCTGATGCCCTCTTGCAGCAGGCAGGCATACATGCAGATGGATCACTCATACCTAAAATACAAAAAATAAATAAAATCTGAAAAGGAAAAAAGTTAGATGGTGCTTTAAGAAATGACACCAAGGTCATCCTCTAGCCTACATGGGCATGTACACACATAAGCATACATATCCATACAGATATGTGCACATACACAAAACACAAGCATATAGCCCAGAATTCTGACCGACTCCAGTGTGGTTCCTTCGTTTTGATTCTTACTCCTCTTTGTTCTCAAGCTTACCCCTCAAAGCTCCTAGCTGCCTCTATGTTCATGCTCTTCACTCTGAGCAGCCTTTAGACGTAATGGAAAGGTCAGTAATGTTTCAATGGGAGGAAGTACTGCATCTCATCTTGTATTTTTTGTGACTGTGCTAAAGTCTTGAAAATGTATTCAACGACTGTTCCCCAGCTGTATGGCCACCTACACCTGTGGTGGAGAGAAGGGTACTTGGTACAGTGTCAGCTTTTGCTGCAATGGTATTTTTAAACTGACAGTTTAAAGGCAGCCGGCATGAACCTAAGAAGCCTGAGTAAGTTCTTGTACTAGGAACTTTAATGCATGGATGTGGGTCAGGCTGAGAAGAGACTGATGCCACCACGATGCTGATGTATGATTGCCTTCTAAGAGGACGTCTTCATCGTTTTGCCTTGGAAATATGCTTCACCTTGTATTCTAAGATCATTGAAGGTCATTATTTTTGTAGTTCTGTCTTCCACTTGATGATCACTGTTTGAGCATGAAAATCCTGTGTGCAGTGGGACTGCTCTTGACTTGAGCTTCAGCTTTTCTACTCAGATTCCTTCTAAAGCCCTGTAGGTCCCCTTCACTACAGGAGTGCAACTGAGCAGCCATAGGTGAGTGAGTTCAATACCTTTTCCTCTCCAATTAACAAGTCTAAATTGTATCTTATAGAGTCATTCAACTGGGTGGTGGTGGAGCACGCCTTCAATTCCAGCACTTGGGAGGCAGAGGCAGTCGGATCTCCAAGTTTGAGGCGAGCCTGGAGGGCCATACAGATACCCAGTCCCAAAAAATAAAAATAAAAAAAGAAAACAAAACAAAAAAAAAACCAAAAAGCCCACTGCACTGAAAGACTTTTTTTTACAAGTAAACCAAATGTCATCCATGTTTTATCCAAAGAATGATCGCTGAGGTAGAAACTGTGTTCTGGTTTGTCTCGACTCATCTCTTCATCTACCGGCCATGTGTGTTAACACCCAGTTCTCAGGTTGACAGAGAAAGAGTGTGTGGAACAGCTCAGGCTTGCTGAAGTGTGTGTTCTTCCTCTTGTGTTGTCACTCCCAACCCTGATGGAATTCATGTCTACATCCGTGCTTCCCATTCCCTTTCAGGTATAGCAGAGACTATGTGGTAGAAGGGGAACCGTATGCTGGCTATGACAGACACAATGCAGAGGTGGCAGCCTTTCATTTGGACAGGTATGTGGAGTCTCGTGTTTCCTGGTCATCATCTCTTTCAGAGAGAACTTGTGCACTTCCTCAGGAAGTGAGTGATGCAGTGGTAGCATCGGTTTGTTCCCTGTTTATAGCCGTGGGTCTGTGCCTGGTGGTTCTGTAAATACCTAATGTTTGGGAACTACTGCCTTGAAAACTAAACACAATAAATCTTTTTAAAACATATTTATTTAGCTTTGGAGCCTGTCCTGTAACTAGCTGTAATCTCCATACAAAGGAGACAAAGACACGAGAACTGGGAATTCAAGGTGGGTTGGGCTACATAGTAAGAGTAAAACCAACCTCTACATGGCAAAACTTTGTCTCAGAAATCTGGGATATAGAGGACCTCTAGAAAGATTGGTACTGTTTTTACAGGCACGTCTTAGCCAAACTCTGGTGTCCCAATTCCTCCTACATGTTCCCTTTCAGTCTGCCATAGTGACACTAGAAGACAGAATTGTAGGCTAGGACGGGAGGTGCCTCAGGGGTAGAGCACTTGCCTACAGGCAACCCCAGCCGTAATGAGACAGTAGGAGAAAGAGAAGCTGTTTAAAAACATGAGGAAATCAGAAACGAAAAGGCAAATTGTTGTCTTTTTCTGGATTAGGAAGAATTTCTCATATTTTTAAACACATATTGAACACTTGCAAGTAAAGATGAAAGGACTAAAGGTTAACAGTGTAACTCAACTGACCACACTACAACTTCCATGATGAGATTCTTCTCCTTTTCTTATTTGTGTATGTTTTGTTGGTTGGTTGGTTTGGTTGGTATTTGGTTTTTCTTTTAAATTTTGGGGGAAAGTTGCAACGGCAGAGGGCAGATGAGGAGGACAGGGAGATGAGTGGGATCAGAATGCATGATATGAAGTCCTCAAAGAATCTCTAAAGTAGAAAATGCTAAACAAAACAAGAGAACAACCAAGAATAAAAACAAAATAAGGCCGGGCGTTGGTGGCGCACGCCTTTAATTTTAGCACTTGGGGGGCAGAGGCAGGCGGATCTCTGTGACTTCGAGGCCAGCCTGGTCTACAAAGTGAGTTCCAGGACAGCCTCCAAAGCTACAGAGAAACCCTGTCTCGAAAAAACCAAAAAAAAAAAAAAGTATTTTCTAGTGCTTAATTATCATGAAGAAAGACCTTCAAATGTGCCCTTATTTAAGCTGTCCTGTGGGCGTATTGTTTTGGTCAGTTTGCAGTTTGTCAAAATTTAATCAGAGCTTTGAACCCATCTGAATTTAAGCATGATATTTTCTAATACATTGTTAAACAGAAGCAGAGGTACTAGACTTAACAGTTTTTTATGTTTTGCCTGACTCGCCCACTCCTTACTTGCTGAACTGTTGAATAATGTACATCTTGAGAAACTCATGACCATATGTACCTCTAAAACCAACATTAACTCACCTACCTACCCACCTCCAACACCTTTCTATCTTTAATGGTTTTTCAGACTTAAAATACATCCCCAAAGATTTCTCTCTTCTCTCTTCAACCTTCAAAACTAGGATTCTGGGTTTCCGCCGAGCTCCTTTGGTGGTTGGGAGATATGTTAATCTGCGGACAGAGATCAAGCCTGTGGCCACGGAGCAGCTGTTGAGCACCTTCCTAACTGTAGGTAAGAGATGATGGAGGAAGTTTAAATAGGAGCATGGTCAGTAAGGTAAATGATGGGGCATCTTTGAACAAGCTAGTTGCATCTCTTTCATACCTAGAGAACTCAAGGGGATGTAAAAGCCTGCTCTCATGTTAGTGTGGGAATTAGGTCTAATGGAGAGAATGGAAACTGAGAATCTCTTCCTAACATATACTTCTAGTGAAAGTGGTAACTTCTGCTTGATCTTCCAGCTGAGTCTCAAATGCAAGATTTGTCCTAAATTGATAACTGCCTACATATCATTGTCGGTGTTTTTGTTTTGTTTTCCGAGACAGGATTTCTCTGTGGTAATAATCCTGGTTGTCTTAGAACTCACTTTGTATACCAGACTGACCTTGAACTCACAGAGATCTGCCTGCTTCTGCCTCCCAAGTACTGGGACTAAAGGAATATGCCCCCATTGCCCAGTGGTTTTTGTTTTTGTTTTTTTGGTGCACGCACACACATGTTCTCTTGGGAACTGTTTCCCGAGAAGTAGGGAAACCAAGGGCTGGGGGCTCAGCTGATAAAGTGCTTGCTATACAAGCATGAGGACCTTACCCGTGTAAAAGAAAGCAGAAGGGGCACTTGTAATTCCAATGCTAAGAAAACAGATGAGCAGACCCTTGGAAGCTCACTGTTGACCCAGTATAACCCTATTGGAATTATGCTCCAGGTTTAGTGAGAGACCCTGTCTCAAAAAATAAGGTGGAGAGTAACTGAGTAGGCATTCACTATCACTTCTGGTCTCCAGGTGCGTGCCCTACACATAAACATGCACACATAAAATAAATAATAAAGAATAGAGGAAACCTAAAGCAACTTTGTAAAGCAACCAGAAGTTCCACTGTAGAATTGCATTTGGGTTACTATTCTTCCTCCGAGGATTAGTTATTTTGCTTTGTTTTATTTTGTTTTTCAAAACAGGATTTTTCTGTGTAGCTTTGTAGACCAGGCTGGCCTTGAACTCACAGAGATTTGCCTGCCTCTGCCTCCTGAGTGCTGCTGGGATTAAAGGCATGCACCACCACTGCCTGGCCAAGGACTAGTTTATAACTCGTGGACCTAGATATGACTCCCATGGCCCTGGTTCCCATTATCCTACTGTGATGCATGGGATCTACTTAGTCTTGTTCTGGTTGGTAGCATGATAAATAAGAATTTAGAGGTGCTGTGTACCCTTGCCTTGGCCTTTTTTTTTTTTTTTTTTTTTTTTGGTTTTTCAAGACAGGGTTTCTCTGTGGCTTTGGAGGCTGTCCTGGAACTAATTATTGTAAACCGTGCTGGCCTCAAACTCACAGAGATCTGCCTGCCTCTGCCTCCCGAGTGCTGGGATTAAAGGTGTGTGCCACCAACGCCCGGCTGTCTTGGCCTCTTGGTGGTAACTTTTTTATTGATTCAGTGTTCTTACTCATGGCATAAATGTTGAAACAGACATTAGAAATTGAATTTCACCTTACTTTTTACTAAAATAAATAGATTTATACTTAAGAATGAGGTAAAACAATACCTGTCTCAAACAAATCTACAAGGATGGTAATACAATATGGAAAACTGATTTCTTTTAGTGACAAGGTGGCAGGAAATTCTAATGCTATAGATCCTAGTGAAAATAAAGTTGTAATTTCTTTTCTATCCAGTTCTCCCCACTAGCCCCTGACTTAATTAACATTGATCCAGGCTGAGGACAGAAGATGGACAAGGGTGATTAGGAAGACAGGAGGAGTGTAAACTGAAGTGGAAGGTGTGTGGGTTCAGCACTGAGGAGAGGAAGTAGACAGGACAGGGTCACTGAAGGGCCTATTCAGCATGCTAAGGGATCGAGACTGCCCCGGGCACTTGGGAGCTGTTTAGAGAATCTGAACATGAAGTAGTTATGTTTGAGTTTAGAAAACTAATTATGGCAGTATTGTAGAGGGTAAATAGTGATGGGGAGAATGAGACAATGAGCCCTGGTGGGCTGCTGACGTGATTTCAAGAGACAGAGCTAAGGTAAGGATGGGATATAACAATTCAGAGATTCACAGACTGAACTGTGAACAGTGGGGTAAGCATCTCAGCTTGGAGGGGCAGTAGGCAAGAAGAACTTAAGAATGACTCCAAATTTCTAGATTGGACAGTCAAGTGAATATAGAAGCAGTTAATTGAGCAGTGTGCAGAAAAGAATAAGCACAGAAAGAAGTAAAGCTTCTATTTTGGATATTTTGTTTCAGGATCATCTAGGAGTCTGTGTGAACTAGTCATTTAGTAGTTAAAGGAGAAAGGCTGAGATGGAAGCTTAGATCTGATAGTTCACCCAAGGAGAGAAAGGAGAACTTCAGTGATCAGAAAAGCAGTTTCTGGAGTTGAGTATGTCCAGGGAGTTGTCAGAGGCTGGAGGCTCAGGCTCACCAAGCGTCGTGGGGATACTGAAGTCAGGAAAAGCACGTTCAGTCATATTATGAAGAGTAGTGGATGCTGTTGATTGGTCTCTGAGTGTCAGGCACACACTGAGCATTGGCATAGATGTGTTTCCTTTTCACTACCTGACGGTGGAGGGATAGCAAGCTTGGAGAGCTGTAATTGCATGCTCAGCGTCATGCAGTCCTTACTAAAATAGCTTCTATTTCAAGGGCTGGGAATACAGCTCTTGAGAGCACTGGCTCAGAGTCCCTGGGCTCCATCTCCAGCCTCAACTCTGAAGTTTATATTTTAACTCCAGAAATCTGAATAAACCACAAACTCTTACCTAATACATTGTAGTTCTTTACCTAAATAAGATTGTTATTTACCAAACTCAAGAATTTGGATTTCTTTGTTTTGTTTTGTATGTTTTAATTTTTTTGAATCAATAACTTACTCAGTTTATTAACACGCTTCAAACATCAAAAGGACTACAGTAACATGTTTTCCGGTTCCTCTTTTAGTAATTACTTCTTTTTATACAATACATGTTTATATTTAATACTACCATTCTACATACTATATGGTATACCATACATACTTCTGCATCTTATTCTTCTTAGCCTAGCAGTAACCTCTCTTAATAATTGGTTTCCTTTTCATATTAATGTAAATACATATTTATGTTTAGCTCTGCCATTCTGCACAACTACAGCATACTGTTCATAGCTTCCACATCTCATTCTCTTTAATATATTGTAAAAATCTTTCATGTTACATTTAAGAACTTCTTCATTCTTTTGTTGTTTGACTAGTGCATTATTCAGAGTTCTCTAAAGGAATAGAACTGAGAGAATGAAAAAATATATAAAGGGGATTTACTAGACTGACTCACAGGCTGTGATCTGAGTAGTTCGACAATGGCTGTCTCACAGTGGAAATGCCAAGAGTCCAGTAGTTGTTTAGTCCATGACACTGGATGGACAGCAGTCTTGATCTGGCACTGGAGTCCTAGAGGAATCTTGGGATTCCAAAGCTGGTCTTCAGTCAACTTTGGAATTTCTAAGAAGTTAGTTCCAATACTAGTGAAGGAATGCTACAGCAACAAGATTGATGAATTGTCAGCAAAAAGGAAAATCAAAAGTTTCCTTCTATGTCCTTTTATGTGGGCTGCCGCAGAAGGTATAGCCCAGATTCAGGGTGCATCTTCCTGCTTCAAATAGTCTGATCAAGAAAACCCCTCACAGGTGTGCCTCACTTGGGTTTTAGTTGATCCCAGATGTACTCAAATCCAGGACGAAGATTAGCATCACAATCATTACAAAGTGTTTATTATATAGTTCTACCATAAATTCATATAACCAGTCCCTTATTGAACTTACTTACATATTGCTGCAGTGTTTTGTATTTACAACTATTGTTGTCCAGAATTACTTTGTATATATGCCATTTCACACATGAATAGAAATTTCCAAAAGCTGAAGTGCTAGGTCATGTGCATGTTGAATTTTAGTGGATGTGGTCACATTACCTCTCATAGACACTTAACTAATTTACCTTACCCATGGCAACATATGAAAGTGCCTCACACCATCATTAATAATGCACCCTGAGCTATGTGGTGATGGCACACACCTTTAGTTCCAGCACTAAAGGCAGAGGCAGGCAGATCTCTGAGTTTTGAGAGAGTTTCAGGACAGCCAGGGCTACTCAGAGAAACCATGTCTCAAAACAACAATAAAATAATAATTAATAATAGCAATAATAATAATGCATCTTGAAACTTTTTGGGGTTTTGTTTGTTTTATGTGTAGCATGTGTTCATATGTTTAAGAGCCGTTTGTATTTTTTGTCAACTGTACATGCATGTGTTTGAGACAGGGTCTTTCCCTGACATGGAGATTCCCAACTGGGTTGGCTGCCTAGCAAGGCCTAAGATCTACCTGTCTCCACCTCCACCTGCTTGTGTTTCCCAGGTCCAGCACAGTATGCAGTACACAGAACCTAATTAGCTACAGCACACACCCAAAGCTGTTACTTTTTCTCTGTCTCTGTGTATGTGTCTGTCTGTATTTCTTTTTTTTTTTTTTTTTTTTTTTTTGAGACAGGGTTTCTCTGTAGCTTTGGAGGCTGTCCTGGAACTCACTTTGTAGACCAGGCTGGCCTCGAACTCACAGAGATCCGCCTGCCTCTGCCTCCCGAATGCTGGGATTAAAGGCGTGCGCCACCAACACCCGGTGTCTGTCTGTATTTCTGTGTGTCTGTCTGTCTCTGTGTGTGTGTGTGTGTGTGTCTGTCTGCGTGTGTATATGTGTGTGTGTGTCTGTGTGTGTGCATGCCTGTTTCTATATGTGTGTGTCTGTGTGTGTTTGTGTCTCTGTGTTTGTCTGTATGTCTGCCTGTCTGTGTCTCTGTGTGTGTGTGTCTGTCTGTCTGCGTGTGTATATGTATGTGTGCGCCTGTGTGTGTGCATGTGTTTGTGTGTCTCTGTGTGTGTCTGTCAGTGCATGCCTCTGTGTGTGTGTGTGTGTGTGTGTGTGTGTGTGTGTGTGTGTGTGTGTGTGTGTGTGTGTGTCTTCTTTTTGGGTTTTGGATACAGGGTTTCTCTGTGTAGCCCTAGCTGTACAGGAACGCTCTCTGTAGACCAGACTGGCCTCAAACTCAGAGATCCACCTGCCGCTGCCTCCCATGCTAGGACTAAAGGCATACGCCACCACTTCCCAGCAACCTTAAGATTTCTTTAAAAACTATTTCAACTAATTGAAAGTAACACATATAGAATGCTTATAATTACTAAGATAGAAAACTATAAATTTAACTTGATTACATTATAAATACTAACAAATATTTTAGAGTAGAAACAGACAAGACTATTTTAAAAGCCATGAGAAGTAAAGAACTGTGAAAATGATCCTAAAAATAAACAAAGAGAGAGTCTTTTGTTTGGTTGGTTTTCTTTTGTGTTTTTTTCTTTTTAAATGATTTATTTTTACTTTATGTGGATGGATGTTTTGCCTGCATGTGTGTCTGTGTAGTGTGTGCATGTAGTGCCTGCAGAGTCCAGTCCCCTAGAACTGGAGTTACAGCAGTCAAGAGCTGCCGTGCAGATGCTGGGAACTGAACCAGGATCCCCTGGAAGAGCAGCCAGTGCTCTTAACCACTAAGCCCACTCTCCATCCCCATTGCCTGACTTTCTTTTGTTTTTTTTTTTTGTTTTTTTTTTTTGTTTTTTGAGACAGGGCCTCTCTATATAGCCCTGGCTATGTTGCTACTCCCTATGTAAATCAACCTGGCCTCAAACTCACAGAGATCCTACTGCCTCTGTTTTTCCCAAGTGCTGGGATTAAAAATGTACACTACCATGCCTGTCAAAAGAGGGGACTGTTTACTAGCTTCAAAATGTAAAAGACCTTCGGGTTGGAGAGATAGCTCAGTGGTTGAGAGCACTGGCTACCCTTCCAGAGGACCTAGGTTGAATTCCCAGCACCCACCTGATAGATTACAACTGTCTGTAACTCTAGTTCCAAGGGATCTGACACCCTCAAACCAATAAACATAAAATTAAATAATTTTTTTTTTACTGTAAAAGGCCTCAACCTCCCAACCTAAGCATGGTGGTGCATCCCCAGTTTTAGCACATTGATCATTTGTGTTTGTGTTTAAATCAGTTATTATGATAGTTGTAAAGTGATAGCTTTATAATTCTGTCATTGTTTTGATTTTCTTGTAGGAAGTCTGTTTAGACACTCCCCTCGCATGCATTTCTTTATTCATATCATGAACTCTCTGGGTTGCAATTTCTTACTATTATTTTTTATGTTGACATTCTAACTGCTGTAGATGTGGCCATTGGGAATCCTACAGACCAGCTTGTGTCCTTGGAATGGTCTCATTGTTCTCTGAGCATTTCATTACAGCTGGTGATGTCAGTAGAGTCCTGGCTCAACCCAGGAGGCAATGCGCCCCCCCCCCTTTAAAGTGGTATTAAAATGGACTTTAGGAAAGGATATGTGAAGTTGTGAAGTTGATCCCTGTGGTATAGCCTCTGATTCCAGCTATGTGGGAGATTGAGGAAGTAGGCCTTGTAAGTTCAAGACCTGCTTCAAAAGTAAAAAGAGGACTGGGTATATAGCTCAGTGGTAGAGTTCTTGCCTTACCACAAGAGGAAAGAGGGAGAAGGATGGGGAACCGATGCTTAAATAAGTCCTGGATCTCATTGTTTCTAGGTTCTCTTGATGAGCAGAGTAGGAAATACATGTGTATACACACAGGTATATGTATAAATGCACATATGTACACTCTGTGTCTTTATCTCTGGGTGTGTGTTGAAACCAGTATCTGGTTCTAATTCATGGCAGGATTTACTCTGACCATCTTACTTTTTTTCCTTCTCTACCTGTGAGCAACCTACTTCCCATTATCCTCAGTATATTTACTTACCTGCTCCTGCTTCCCCCATATGTGACCAAACTCTCTCTCCTCTGGGTACTCTGGCCAAAACTTCAGCTCTGATAAAGAACAGGAAGACGTTGCTAATTATTTATTGTGGGTTGAAAGCAAGACTGTGATGGTAGTTCACTTCTGGGAGAGAGGCTGGGTAGAAGGAAGACACAGGAAGGTTTGATTTCTAGTATATAGCTTTTCATTCATTGGGGATTGTTTTACATTGTCTGCTTTTATTACCTATATAGGAAAACACTTGTGAACTGGACTAACATCAAGATTTTAATTTTTGTCATGGCTGTTTACTTAGCAGTTTGATCTTGTTTGGGGAGAATTTGGGTTCTTAATTTTCTTCCTTAAGTGATTCAGGCTCATTTCCACCCTGCAGGGAACAATACATGTTTCTATGGGAAATGCTATTACTGCCGAGAGACGGAGCCAGCGTGTGCTGATGGAGACATGATGGAAGGATCCATCACACTTTGGCTTCCAGATGTGTGGCCCCTGCAGAAACATCGACACCCCTGGGGCAGGACTTACCGAGAAGGCAAATTGGCCAGGTAAATGCTCCTGTAAGCCATGACTTAATTCTTGGCTGTGCCGTGCCAGTTGGCCTTCCTGAATAGAGAGTAAAAAGAATTGTGGGTTGTGGGCAAACCTGCTAGATAGGTCCTCCTGTCCCTGTTTTTAGCAGTGCCGATGTGTCAGCCATCTTTCTACCACTAAAAGTGGAAAGATTAACTTTGGCTCATAGTTGACAAGTTCAGTCCATAATCACTCAGGCTGCGTTGCCTTGGCTTCTGGTGGCACAGTACATCACTGCAGAAGCATGAGGTGGCAGAAGAGCTGCTTGTGTCATTCCTTCCAGAAAGCAAGGCAGGAGCAAGCCCATCAGGCAGGGACTCCCTGCAGTATCCCCATTTTCTCTTCAAGGCATGTTCCCAGTGACTTAACTGCCATCACACCTGAAGTCCAATAGCTCCTGCTGGCTCCACGGGCTGAAGCAGGGCAGGGGTCAGGAGCACTTGCTTACCTTGCAGAGTGTCTGAATTTGATTTCCAGCTCTTAGTTTGTGGCTCATGACTACCTTTAACTTCAGTTTCAGGAATCAAAAAGCCTTCTCTGACCTCTACCAGCAACTGTATGTATGCATGTGGTGCACTTACACACACATACACACACACACACACACACACACACACACACACACGCACGCACACACGTACGCACGCACACATGCACACACACGCACACACAAAATAAATATTTTGTTCTTAAATATAAGCCATAGTGGCCAGATGATAGTGGTGCACACCTTTAATCCCAGCACTCAGGAGGCAGAGGTAGTTGGATCTCTGTGAGTTCAAGGCCAGCCTGGTCTACAGAATGAGTTCTAGGACAAGCTCCAAAGTTACACAGAGAAATCCTGTCTTGAAAAACATTGTGTGTGTGTGGCACCATAGCTTTGTCTTGAGTCTCCCAGCTTCATGCATCATAATGTTGGACTATTTCCAGGAATTCCAACCTCTCAAGACCCCTTTGGAATCTCAGTGAAGTAGTTCCACAATTCTTACAGATCTTTTTGGTTTTTTTTTCTTGGGTTTTCCGAGACAGGGTTTCTCTGCATTGTTTTGGAGGTTGTCCTGGAACTTGCTCTGTAGACCAGGCTGGCCTCGAACTCACAGAGATCTGCCTGCGTCTGCCTCCCGAGTGCTGGGATTAAAGGCGTGCGCCACCAACGCTTGGCAATTCTTACAAATCTTACACTAGGATGATGCCAACATCTGGCACTATCTTGAGTTTATCCAGGCCCTTTTGACCACAGTGGCCTCTGCAGTGTCTTGATGGTTTAGCTTGGGATGGGCAGGATCTTGCAGGTTTGAGTTGCCTCATGCTACCTTTCCTACCATGCCAGTGCACATCTGGGCTTTTAGCATGGTACTAGTCTTTTCAGAACTGTACCCTTGGCTGACTTTATGTGTGCTTCTTTCCTGATCCAACTATAAGATCTTTCTGCTGTGCCTTTTGCTTCCCCTTGTCACAGTAAACATGGCTAAAGCAGCCAGCACTTCCTGTACTGCTGCCTTGAGATTTCCTCTGCCATGTAAGCCATTCCACAAAGTCTCAGGATGTGTGCAAAACATAGACAGATTTCCTTCAGAATGAGACATGATAAGCCGCTAGTCTACTTTCAGTGGAGTCCCTGTTCCTTCCCAAACCTATCAGCACAGCTTTGACTGTCTGTATTCCTTCTAGCCTCTAATAGTTTAAAAGAAGAAAAGTTCTTTTGGCTCACAGCTTCTGAAGTTTCAGCCCAGCTTGGTCTGCTCTGCTGCTTTGAGGCTTATGGTAGTGTGGTATCCAGGCAACACACATACGCTGTGGAGAAGGAAAGTTACTCTCTTCATGGTGGCTAGGAAGCAGGCGATAAGAGAAGGAAGGCCAGGATAGCCATATTCTCCTCGTAGATTTGCTCTCAACAGCTCAAATTTCTATCTCAAGACCCCACCTCCTAATAACATCTCCGCTGACAACCAGACTGTTAGCACATGGCTTTTGTGGGACTCTTAGGAACTACACTCTACAGGCAGGTGTAGCTGGTACCCAGTAACCCTTGTGATGCTCCTTGCCTCCAGGTGGGAATATGATGAGAGCTACTGTGATGCTGTGAAGAAAACGTCCCCCTATGACTCAGGCCCACGCCTGTTGGACATCATTGACACTGCTGTCTTTGATTACTTGATTGGCAACGCCGATCGCCATCACTATGAAAGCTTTCAAGATGATGAAGGCGCTAGCATGCTTATCCTTCTTGATAATGCCAAAAGGTACAGCAGGACTGTCTTGTCGGTGTCTGTGTGAAAGAGGCACATTCTCTAGGTCGCTGTGCAGGTCAGCTTTCAGACACAAATACTGCCATAAATCAACTTGTAGGAATGAATGCTTATTTCAGTCCATGGTTTCACAGGTTTGTTGACTTCATTTCTTTTGGGCCTGTGATGAGGCAGAATCATCATGGCTGGGAGCATATTCAGAGCAAAGCTGCCAGCCTTGTGATATCTGGGAAGCAGAGAACAACAAAAAAAGGCCAGGATCCCCAAATCTCCATCAAAAAATGCACACCAGTAATGTGACAGTAATGTGACTTCCTTCCCACTGGGCCCCAGCTCCTGAAGACTCCACCTCTCATAGTGCTGCAGGCTGGCATCAGCCTTAGCTGATGAGCCTGGGGACTAGGGTCGGAGGGCTTGGGATCCAGATATCCTGAACTGAGTCTCCCAAAGCCTCACCTCTTATAGCCTTGCACTGGGTATTAAGTTGCAACAAGAATTTGAGGGTAGCAAAGATATTCAAAGGATGGCAGATGCTTTGCCTGCACTGTCATCAGGGCTAGTAGATGCTAGTTATTAAAGGAAGATTTCAGGAAAAGAATGGAATGGGCCGAGTGGTGGTAGCACACACTTTTAATTCCAGCACTTGGGCAGAAGCAGGCAGATCTCAAGTTCCAGAACAACCAAGGCTACACAGGCAACAAGAATGAGAGGGTGATCATTTTCCCAGAATCACCATTCCTTTCCTAATGGAATGCCATTTTTATATCTGCTGTAAGCTGGTTCTGTCTCAACTTCTGAAAGCCCCTGAGCAGTTTTTCTGGTTTGAAGCTGCCAGCAGGTTTGCTTACGGGAACAAGGTTTTAATGATTCCAGAAGTAATATACACTTGCCTTTTGGAGGACTGATTCAGGGAGAGCCTTTTAAACACTGTATAGGCTTAGGATTTCTGCATTCTCCCTTTGCACTGGGAACTCACAGTGTGTACCACAGCATCTTACAGCATCTTGACAGGAAAAGGGTCCTTGTTACATGAGTTTATTTGCTGTTGGATGCTTTAGTTCAGGCTGTTAATGATCCTGTGTCTAATTAGTTGTGCCTGACTTATTTTTAATTTAAATGATTTGAGCTGTTGGAGCATGAAATTATCTAGGATCACAGTTGGGTTTTTATATAATGTGCTCTTGCTTTGATGCTGAGAAGGGAACAAACACTTGGACCTAATTCACTGTCTTAATTTAATTTTCAGCTTTGGGAACCCCTCGCTGGATGAGAGAAGCATTCTTGCCCCTCTCTATCAGTGTTGCATGTAAGTTATGCACAGCAGGTGTGGCTGCCTGCATTGCCTCCTTCGGGTTCCGGTACCAGTATATCAGTTCTGTTGACCTTAAGACATCCCAGTTGCTTTTCCTACTTCCACAACCCAGAACCCCAGTAAATCCTGAGAGTGCTGAGGGAAACACAGAGGCAGGTCACCCCAAAGTTGAGAATTCATTTTGAATTTTGCATCATTAAGTTTGTAGTATCTATAGTAATACATGCCTGTTTGGCTTAATGTATCTATCACCTGCTAAAAGCAATCTATCTGGGCTTTATCCCCAGCACTTAAGATGCAAACACAGGTGGATCTCTGTGAGTTTAAGGTTACCCTGGCCTACATAGTGAGTTCTAGGCCAGTCAGGGCTACATAGTGAGACAATCTTTTAAAAAATTGGTTAATGATTTTTTTTTTATATCCATTAAAATCTGTAGTCTCAGTTGCCGCATCTGACTTACCTTGATTTCAGATCCTCCCACCTGGAGTTTGTATATCTTAGTGTGAAATTATCTAATCCAAAAATAACTTCCTGTAAGTATTTAGTGAGTGATTTAAATATAGTAGACATAAAGAAATTGAGAAGTAAATCAAGAAAATGAAATAAAACCTGGCCCTAGGAGCTCCTGCTTCAGGTCCCCGCTCTGTGACTCCTTCCATCCGCCTTTACATGGTCGCCAGGGATGGTTCCTGGTCACCTAATATCAAAACCCTGGCACCCTGAAAGAGCTCTTCTACTGTTACTGCTTGAAGGGAGACGGAATTGCAGAGGGCAGCGTCAGCATTACCTCTGCCGGCATCAATTGGTCCCTCTTTAGGGTCTCAGCTCTTAATACTGTTACAGTGGCAACTGCATTCCCACATGAGTGTAACTGGGGATAAATACCTAAACCATAGCAATTAGTGAAATAACTTAGAGAATTATGTCTGTGTGTCTGTCTGTGGGACTATGTGCTCCTGAATACAGTGCCTACAGAAGCCAGAAGAGAACATTGGTTCTCCTGAAGCTGGAGTTACAGGCAACTGTGCACAGCTCAGAGTGGGTTCTGGAAACTGAACCTGGGTCCTCTCCAAGAGCAATAAGTGCCCTTAAGTGCTGAGCTAGCTCCTTCTCCAAGAAAGTAGTTTGTTGGGTTTGTTTGTTTCTGGTAGTGGTGGGTGGGGTTTTGAGACAGGGTTTCTCTGTGTATCCCTGGATGTCCTTGAACTCAAAGAGATCTGCCTGCCTCTGCCTCCTGAGTACTGGGATTAAAGGTGTGCGCCATCATCTCTTGGCAAACATATATATATATATATATATTCTTAGAGTAAATATTTTTCTATTATTAATAGTTAGATTTTAAAAATTCAGCAATATTTGGATAAGGAAGTTACAATCACCCCTGAGCATCTAAGGATAGATCCTGTTAACACAGTGAGCTTCCTTCTAACCCTGTAACTGTTAACACAGTGAGCTTCCTTCTAACCCTGTATCTGTTAACACAGTGAGCTTCCTTCTAACCCTGTAACTGTTAACTCAGTGAGCTTCCTTCTAACCCTGTATCTGTTAACACAGTGAGCTTCATTCTAACACGGTAACTTAACACAGTGAGCTTCCTTCTAACCCTGTAACTGTTAACACAGTGAGCTTCATTCTAACCCTGTAACTGTTAACACAGTGAGCTTCCTTCTAACCCTGTATCTGTTAACACAGTGAGCTTCCTTCTAACCCTGTATCTGTTAACACAGTGAGCTTCCTTCTAACCCTGTATCTGTTAACACAGTGAGCTTCCTTCTAACCCTGTATCTGTTAACACAGTGAGCTTCCTTCTAACCCTGTATCTGTTAACACAGTGAGCTTCCTTCTAACCCTGTATCTGTTAACACAGTGAGCTTCCTTCTAACCCTGTATCTGTTAACACAGTGAGCTTCCTTCTAACCCTGTATCTGTTAACACAGTGAGCTTCCTTCTAACCCTGTAACTGTTAACACAGTGAGCTTCATTCTAACCCTGTATCTGTTAACACAGTGAGCTTCCTTCTAACCCTGTAACTGTTAACACAGTGAGCTTCATTCTAACCCTGTAACTTAGCACAGTGAGCTTCATTCTAACCCTGTAGCTCCATTGCTCTCATCATACACACCAGTTTCCCTACACACAGGGAATGGAAGCTTTCCTCCAACTTTCTCAACTCTAACATAATTATCATAGACGTTTCCCCACGCCACTCAATTTTCAAACCTTTTTAATGGCTGCATAGATTTCCCTGATGGGGCTGGGCTGTGGTGGCGCACGCCTTTAATCCCAGCACTCGGGAGGCAGAGGCAGGCGGATCTCTGTGAGTTCGAGGCCAGGCTGGACCGACAGCCTCCAAAACAATACAGAGAAACCCTGTCTCGTAAAACCAAAAAAAAAAAAATTTCCCTGATGGGTTGGCCATAATTTGAAGTATTTCTCACTTGTTAGACATTTAGATTGGTTCAGTTTCCCTCTTACTGCAATGAATATGTACATATCTCGTTGTTTGTTTTTTGAGACCAGATTTCTCTGAGTAATAGCCCTGACTGTCCTAGAACTCACTCTGTAGATCAGGCTGGTCTTGAACTCACAGAGATCCTCCTACCTCTGCCTCCCGAGTGCTGGGATTAAAGGCGTATGCCACCAATGCCCGGCTTAGTTGAAATATTTTTCACAATTTTTAAAAAACCTTTTCTACTATCCAAGCTTTATACAGAATTGGATAGAAAGATGTTATGTAACTTCTTTTAAAACTTTTTCTTCCAGTATTCGGGTTTCAACCTGGAATAGACTGAACTACCTAAAGAATGGAGTGCTAAAGTCTGCCTTAAAATCTGCCATGGCCCATGACCCCATCTCCCCTGTGCTCTCTGACCCACACTTGGACACTGTGGACCAGCGGCTTCTGAACGTCCTTGCCACTGTCAAGCAGTGCACTGACCAGTTTGGGATGGACACTGTGCTGGTGGAAGACAGGATGCCGCTCTCCCACTTGTAACTCTCAGCGAGAAACAAGTGGAACTGGATTTTATGAAGCTAGAGAAACAGCACAATCAATTCCAAGTGGCATGTGACGGCCTGGACGTGGCCAGCAGCGGGTTTGGTGGTAGGAGACAGTGGTCCTAGGAGTGCTTGGTGTTTTCTGCGGTGTCTGCGTGGGAGCCTGTCTGTGGAGTCACCTGGCCTCCTCAGCAGTTGTCCATTCAGGCAGCAGGCTCCGGCTCTGGTCAGTCGTATTCCCACCCCAAAGGGCAAACAGGTGTGACACTGGCTAAGGAATTGGTTCCAGAGTGTGTCTGGGGTGAACCTTGCCGTCCTTTCTCCACACCCATGGATTCTGTAGACTGACTTTGCAGTCCCTTGTGTCTTTAAAAACAAACAACAAACAAAGGCAGAACTAGTCAGCTTATAAAATGTCCTGCACCTCCAGAGTGGCATCAGACAAGATAGCACAGTGTGCTGGAGGAGACCCATTTTAAGGTAGATGGAGGAAGGGAAGGTGAGGAAGGTGATGGAGCTCTTCGCTATTGAGTGCTATGGATTTGACATCTCAGGGAAGAGAAGAGGGAGGGACTCACCCTGTAGAACCAGGAGGATGATTGATTGCCTTAGAGAAAATCAGCTTCCCCTGTGTTTAGGTTCTTGGATATGTCTGAAGCAAACACTCATCCTCCAGTCCTGCTCAAATGAACCAAAACCGTCTCCAGAGGAAATAGGATTACAACCCAAGCATGATCCCTGCCGGACACTGACTTACCTCCAGAGTAACAAAACCCTGAAATAATGCAAGTTTGGTACCCGTGACCTCTGTCATCCTCACACACACACCCCTTTCTCTCATTGGCATTGTTTACTTTGATTAGACTGTAGGCTCTTACTCTAGCCCATGCTAGTCTGGAATTAGTATATAACCAGGCTGGCTTTGAACTGGCAGCAGTCCTTCTGCCTCAGCCTTTCACATGCTAGGATGAAGTATGAGCAACCATACCCAGTTCTCATTTCTCTTCTAAGGTGTGAGGCATTTGATCAGCGATGCTGCTGTCCCAAGGAGGTTGATGGCCTTGTCTGTGCCCTCTTATGAGAAAGTGTCCTACTGGTAGCTGGACTGAGCTTGCGATGTGGGCCCTGCAGGTAGCAAAAAAAAAAAAAAAAAAAAAGATTTTAAGCCTTCTGAGCCTTGAAACTGAGTCTACCACAAAGAGCCTTAATATTTTGGTTCATATTGAGTTCTGAACCTATGGTGTTGTTAGTAGAATTCTTTCATCCCATGGAGCCTGGCTTGAGCAACTGCCTTCTGAGTTTAAGCCTCAGGCCTCTCACATTGAAACGTAGGAGCCTGTAACAACTTATACAAGGTATGGAAATAGGAAAGTTTGCACATTTTAGGTACATTTTGAGGTAGACTGAAGAATTGGCTGTATTTTTTAATGCAAATATTGAACTTAAGGAAGCAAATATTAACACAAACACTGAAATAGTGTTAACAAAAGGTGTTGAGTCCAACTTCAAGGCCACTTGTCCAGCAAATTCACAGTTGAACTTGAGATTAGTGTGGTCAGTGCTTATGAAAGTGGGAGCCAGCAGGTGGCAGCAGTCAGCCCTCCCACTCTGGGACACACTGGTGATGGGAGTGACAAGGAGCCTCACTTGCAATGTTGAAGGCATGGGATTCTTCTGAGGCCAAGAAGAGGCAGAAAGGGTGCTCCAGAAAAATGTCTTCTCTGTCTTAGCATAGTCACAGAAAAGTCATTTCACACTCCTGCATTAGGAGGCACGCAGATCCACAGTGGATAAAGTGAGCCAACAGAGTGGTGTGACACAGCAATTAGAATATAAGCTCTGCTCTGAGGTGGGATTGCATTAAGCTAGGAAAGGTATATTGGTGAATCTTGGCAAGGCCGGCAGGGGCGGGGGCAGGGAGGCAGCCATAAGCTTCTAGCTCCAAACTTATAGACACAGTTGTGTTGTGGAAAAAAAGCATAGGTGCATTTTTTAAAAAGTGTTGAAACTCTGACCCCTTTCGAGGTCATTTACTAGAGTTAGGGCTGTTATAATCAAGTCACCAGTGGGAGTTAGGTCAGCTCTAAATTATGTTTGCCAGCTGAACGTCTGAATACCTGGATACATTTACTACAAAACCAAGAAACTGGGACCTATTGCTGTTCCCTCATTTGTCCCCACTTCTTAAACACGTGTCCTCGAAGTTGAAATGAGAAATTTAGGGTAAGAATTTTTATTCTCAAACTGTTCCTTAGTCTCAGGCTGCATTGTGCTATAAATTCCTTTTAAAACAGGAGGCTCTGGTTTGCTGAAGATGGGTGGTATTTTTAAGGTATGTCTCCCTGTTTGCACTCAGGGTTAAAGTGTCAAGACTAAATTTTAAGAAGAAAATGGAGGAATCCGGCTACATTTATTACAGATTATTTTGGCAAAGTGGATCCTGGCAGCTTTTCTATTTTCCCAGTGCTGGTGACAGCATTGCCATCCAAAGAATTCTCCATGCACCACATCCCTTCAGCCTCCCTTCTCATTCCTCACTGGATCTCTTTGATCGGCAATTGACCTTCTCTTGTGACTATAAAACAGCTTGGGTCAGCAAGCTCCCTTGTGTCTCTGGTCTGACTTTCAGGATGGCGGGTGCAGGGCTTTGGGTCAGTGTGGCTGTGGTTGTATTCTGCCAAGGAACATGGATTTCCTTTGACACTGAGAAAGGACTTGGCCAGTAGAGGTTAGCATATTCACCAAGCATCTCCTGAGCGGTCTGCTGAGCCAGGTGACCTGACTGTGACACTTGCTCTGTGGGAGAGGCTGGCTTTTCTCCCCTGTATCTCTAGTCTGGGTGGCAAATGGGGACTGGGTACTGCACTGTCATGAATTTTTAGGACCTACAGTGATCCTCAAACTTTTGGGGGAAGCTGGGAATAACTTACTGGGAGGTTAATTTATTTGTCTAAAGGGTGGTGTAGGCATCACTGCCCTCTTGTTTGATCTGCCTGGGATTTCCTCTTGGAGCTGTTGGGCAGACAGAGGTTGTACTTGGTAAGACACCAGACAAATTTCTAATGTGTTCTGTGGGTTTCAATTCTGAAAAAAAAAAAATAAAGATTTTAATATATATTATTGTATCATGTTTTCCTGTTACTACTTTTTTTTCTCCCCAGTGCTTCCTTATTCCATTTTCTTACATGTTTTTAAGGAACAAATGTTATATCTTTTTCCTCTACTTAAACTTCCATAGGGATTGCTTTCAGTCGGTGAGCTCCACAGACTCCTTACACACAGTGAGCTGTAGCAGACTTCAAAGTTGTCTTCAGGGCATCCTGGATGTTTAGTAGTTAGCTCCTTTCTTGAAGCTTCTTGTGAGATGAAGAAAATGAATCCTAAGTAGGACTTGGCAGAAACAAAGAGCTGGTTCCTCTGATTAGGATTCCTAGGATACCCAGAATTTACATTTTTGAAATGGAGATCGGTATCTTAAACCCTCAGCCATGGGCTGGAGAGATGATTCAGTGGTTAAAAGTATTGGCTGCTCTTCCAGAGGTTCTGAGTTCAATTCCCAGCAACCACATGGTGGCTCACAAGCATCTGTAATGAGATCTGGTGCCCTCTTGTGGCTTGCAGTCATATATGCAGGCAGAACATGGTACACAAATAAATCTTTAAAAATAAATAAACCCTTCACCAGACGAGCAGTTTAGATTTCTTCTTGGTTTGCTGCATAATTGTGCCAGCTCTTGTCATTGTATTTGAACATCACACATGCTGTATTTGGGTTTACGGTTCAGACAGATAAGTGTCCATGATAGTGAGTAGAGGCGGCAGGTATGATGGCTGGGGCGGAAGCTGGGGGCTCACACTTTCAACCACAGCATGAAGCAGAGCAGACTGGAAATGGCATGAGTCTCTAAGCTCTTGTTTGCTTGTTTTTGCTTTTCGAGACAGGGTTTCCCTATGTAGCATTGGAGCCTGTTCGGAAACTCGATCAGTAGACCAGACTGGCCTGCCTCTGTATCTAGAGCACTGGGATTAAAGGTGTGCCACCACCACCTGGCTAAACTCTTCTTTTTTTCAAGACAAGAGTTTCTCTGTGTAGCGCTGGCCTCCCTGGAACTCACTCTAGACCAGGCTGGCCTTGAACTCGGGACCACCTGCCTCTGCCTCCCAAGTGCTGGGATTAAAGCCAGGGGTCACCACTGCATACCAGGTTTTTTAACTGGTAACTCCTTCCAGTCACAAGGCCATAGCTCCCAAACCTCCCAAACATCACCATCAATTGCAGACCAAGAATTGGAATGCCCAAGACTGAGGGACAGTTCTCATTCAAATGGTCGCATGGATCTTCTGCACACCCCACTGGAGGACCCCTTTACACCTCAACAGACAGGTATTAGAAAGGGTGACTTTCATTTCCTAAGGCAGGCGGGGTGGGCAGTATTAACCCAGTATACATCTGTGAGGTGTTTGGACAGTGTCCTGAGCAATGCAGCATGCCACCCAGATGGTGGCGATTGGCCCTTCACTTAAGCCTCTAGAGCAATAGTTCTCAACCTTCCTGCTGCCACCCTTAAATACAGTTTGTCTCAACAATGACAGCAAAAGCCCCAGGACTCCAGGATTGGGGAGCTGTGAACTCAAGATTCAGGGCCCCCAGGGCCTGCACTCCTGTCCCCTGCCTGAGGTCATCATGTTGAGTGTACCCTCTCTTAAGAGATCAGTCACAGGGATCCCACTAGTGCCCTGGGCCACGGAGGTTGAACCTTTAACAGCTGAGCTAGGACACATTCGTGCTGGTGTTTTCAGGATTTGTTTGCCAAATTTATTTATTTGGAAATAAGAGGCTTCAGTTGTCCCCTAGAGATTGTTTTCAAGACAGATGGTTCTGGCTACCTTCAGTGGCATGGGAAGATGTCTTTTGAAAGTGAAGTCCAGGGCTGGAGAGGTGGCTCGGAGGTTAAAAGCACTGCCTGCTCTTCCAGAGGTCCTGAGTTCAACTCCCAGCAACCACATGGTGACTCACAACCATCTGTAATGAGATCTGGTGCCCTCTTCTGATATTTAGGGATACATGGAGGCAGAATGCTGTACACATAATAAATAAATCTTTTAAAAAAAAGTGAGGTCCATTTTTTCTTAGAAGTACCTGCCACAGCCAGTCGTTGGTGGCACACACCTTTAATCCCAGCACTCCGGAGGCAGAGGCAAGCGGATCTCTGTGAGTTCCAGGCCAACCTGGTCTACAGAGCGAGTTCCAGAACAACCTCCAAAGCAATACAGAGAAATCCTGTCTTGGAGAAAAAAAAAAAAAGTACCTGCCTCACAGGCCTGGGGTCCCATACTGCAGAGTCTTGAGTCTTATGAATACTGAGCGCTCATAGTTTCCTGTAGTTTCTACCATAGCCTCTAGATGTCCCCATCACCCATGAGCTCTCCTGGAGTTCACAGCTCCTAGCTCCTATCCCTGAGACTGGAATATAAAGACATGCAAACACTAATGTTTGCATTTGTTGTTTCTGCATGGGGCTGACTTAATGAAATTGTTACCTCAAGTGTTTTTTTTTTTAAATAAATGTCTTGAAATCAAGCTAGTCTAAATGCACACACTTGCTTCATGACAAAATAAAATAACCATGTACTGAATATGAAGCATTCATTTAACTGCTCTTTACAGCATCACTTAGACATATGTGTGGGTGGAGCAGTCAGGGAATAGACCAGTAGTAAGGTAATGCCCAGGTTCTACAAATAGAGAATAGGGCTCGTTCAGATAATCAGTGTGCAGACTGACAATGTTTATTGAATGAGTTAATGTTTGCCAATAAGCATAAAGGTGTGTGCTAGTTTCCTGCCGCTGTGGCAAATGTCAGAGACAGTTACCAAGGAAAAGGTTTATTTGGCTCATAGCCTTGAAGGTTGCAGTTCACAATTCACAGGCCTCCGGAGAAGGTAGGCAGCTCGAATCACAGCAGGAGTAGTAGGTAGAGCAAAATAGTTCACCCACAATTCTCTTTCCACCACCTCCCCAGGATACTAAGCTGGGGACCAAGTCTGGGTATTTAATGTTTTGTAAAACAGGGTCTCACTATGTAGTCGTAGTTGTCTGAGTATGTCGACCAGAATGGCCTTGAACTCACAGAGCTCTGCCTCTGGGTATTGGGATTAAAGGCATGCATCACCATACACATCTGATCAGCTTCATAAACCTAGTTATGAGCTGGGCGTTGGTGGCACACGCCTTTAATCCCAGCACTTGGGAGGCAGAGGTAGGCGGATCTCTGTGAGTTCAAGGCCAGCCTGGTCTACAGAATGAGTTCCAGGACAGCCTCCAAAACAATACAGGGAAACCCTGTCTCGAGAAACCAAAAAATAAAAATAAAAAATAAACCTAGTTATGAATAGACAAGTATTTATCCTAACTTCTCTAATTCTAACATGATGCAATTTCCCCTTAACTCGGGGGTTTCCAAAATTCAAATGTCTCCCGACCCGACTTCCTCTTGCTTTTGCCGGATTGGCAACCATGAAAGGCGACTGCCAACTGCTTGATGTTGTTTCATTTCTCTCTCCAAAGGACGAGGGGTGACCTAGGCTGTCCAGTTCAATCCTGCTTGTCATGGATCACTGTCGCAGGTCCGTGAAATGAAGACTTAGAGGCACCTTGGCGCACGCCTTTAATCCCAGCACTCGGGAGGCAGAGGCAGGCAGATCTCTGTGAGTTCGAGGCCAGCCTGGTCTACAGAGCGAGTTCCAGGACAGCCTCCAAAGCCACAGAGAAACCCTGTCTCGAAAAAAAAAAAAAAAAAAAAAAAAAGAATCACTTTAGCGCTGGGCGTTGGTGGCCTACGCCTTTAATCCCAGCACTTAGGAGGCAGAGGCAGGCGGATCTCTTGAGAGTTTGAGGCCAGACTCTACAGAGTTCCAGGACAGCCTCTAAAACAATACAGAGAAACCCTGTGGGGGGGGGGGAAGAAAAGGAAAGAAAGAAAGAAAAAGAATCACTTCAGCCTTTCTTGGCTGCAGGGCGTGTCAGTCTCAGGACTCACCTTCAGAATTGACCCTTCCCCCTGGGCTACTTTTATTGTTCTCCGGTTTACACCTAGCAAGTAGCTTCAAAACCTCCAGGCAACCGGATCTCTGTGAGTTCAAGGCCAACCTGATCTGCAGAGGGTTCCAGGACAGGTTCCAAAGCTACAGAACTTGTTTCAAAACAACAACATTCTGAGGAAGCTTCCAAAGGGACAATGCCAAGTGCAAACAGCATTCCGGAGGTACCTTCTGGGTTTCTTTCTAAACAAGTTTTGCATAGGCTTTGTACCCTTGGGAAACTCTCAGACAAGAGAAACAAAAGGTTAACTGTTAAACAAAAGATGGATAAGGCTACCGGCTGGTGGTGGGACACGTCTTTAATCCCAGCACTGGGAAGCAGAGGCAGGTGGATTTCTGTGAGTTCCAGGCCAGCCTGGTGTACAAGATCGAGTTCCAAGACAGCCTCCAAAGTCACAGAGAAAAAACAAAACAAACAAAAACCCCCCAAAAGATGGCTAAGGCTAGGTGCTGGCACTCTGGAGCCAGACCCGTATGTAGCACAGCGGGCACGCTGCCACACCTGCTAATATTCCTGGGCAGCTTCTTTACCCAGCTGACTCCGGGCCGACAAAACGCCTCCTGCTTGGCCTGTCTTCCTCGTCATGGGGTTGGTGGCCTAAGGCGAGGGCTGGGCACCAAAGGGAGTCCTTATGTGGGAGGCACAGCTGAGTGGCTGGAGTGGCCATTTTAGGGCCTGCTGTCACTTTCCTTGAGGCCACAGGCATGCCCCAGAATAGGCTGCGTCCTAGTCTGGACAGGGGCTCAAGTCCGTCTCCGGATTCTTGTAGTCGGGAACATCAGCTTGGGTTTCGGTTCCGGTAGGTTTCGGGTCTGAGAACAGCAGCTGGCTCAACCTCCTCGGAAGGCGGGCCGGTCACCATGGCGACGCCAATCCTGGGCTGCGCCCGTTCGCGGGTAGCGGTGGGTCCCGGACTCTCAGAGGCGGAAGCGCACCGACCGGTCATGCTTCGTGGAACGTTCTGGCTGCTACTGCTGCTGCTGCCACTGCATCCCCCGGGCACGCAGGGTCACCGCGGCGCCACAAGCCCGGGCCAGGAGGCCGAAGAGCAGGCCCCTTGGCCGAGCATCCAACTCCTGCAGGAGCAGCTGATGACGGTCGAGTCCCTCTCCAGACGGTACTGGACGTCCTTCAGTTGCACCGTGTGGCCGGATCACTGTGAGGACCAGGAGGTCCCCACGCCGCCCCTGGGTAAGAGCGGTCCCCGCCGCCGATCCCTCGCTCACCTACTAGCCTCACCAGCGTCGCGCACCTAGTAGGGGCAGTGGCAGTGGCAGCCTGCGCGACTCAGGAGGCCCGGTCACTGCACGGCTGGTGCAGCTCCTGGGGACAGCAAGAGGTCTGGCTTCCTGCCTTGCCTCACCTGCCCTGATTCCTCTGTACACGGCCTCCCCATTCTTGCCCGCCTGCCTTACTGGCGGCTTAAAGGATCCTTTGTAGACAGAACCGGTGATTGTCTCCAGCCTCAGATACATTCGCCTCTGCGGCTTGTGGAGGCAGCGCTGGAGCACATGCTGGGAGTTGGGACCCATCACTGAGAAACCTCAGGGTTGTCCCGCTCATCACTGTCTTGCTATCTCATAGCATCTCCTTTCCAGGCTGGAGCCTTCCTGTGTGGGGCCAGCGGGCCCTGGAGAGCTTCACCGAGTGGTTCTGCAGCTTTCAGGACTGCTGCGCCGATGGCGGGGACTGCAGGATCTACAACAACTTTACAGGTTAGAGCTGGCCTGATTTCCAGCGTCCAGGGGATCTGTGGGAAGGGGTGTTGGCGACTGTGAAGAAGCGACTGGTGAGAAACTTACCCTCAGCATTCCCCTTTTTCAGTAAGAGGAAAGTTAGGTCTGAGGTTATTTAGGGATCTCTTCTAACAAGACTTTGATGTTTCGGGTATTGAAGAAGTAATTACTCTGTTCCTTGTATCATTGGAAAGGAAGTCTTTTGCCTTCTCCCCCACTTTTAATGGGGGTACAAAAAACTTTGAACATTAAAATAGGCGGATTCTGTGTTAACCTAATGCCCTCCCGACTCTAGCCTTCCTCCTTTTTAAAGATTTTATTTGTTATGTACACAGTGTTCTGCCAGCATGTATGCCTGCAGGCCAGAAGAGAGCACCATATCTTACCACGAATAGTTGTGAACCATCCTGCAATTGCTGGGAATTGAACTCATGACCTCTGGAAGAGCAGCCAGTGCTCTTAACCACTAAGCCATCTCTCTAGCCCAGCCTCCTCTCCCCTCTTTTTTTTTTTTTTTTTTTTTTGGCTTTCTGAGACACAGTTTCTCTGTGTGACTTTGGAGCCTATCCTGGCACTCATGCTGTAAACCAGGCTGGCCTCGAACTGACAAAGATCCTCCTGCCTCTGCCCACCAAGTGCCAGGATTGAAGGCGTGCGCCACCACCGCCTGGCTCGACTCTATCTCTTGTTTCTTGTTTGCATCCTTCCTCAACTTGTACCCCCCTTCTCAGGTGTGAACCCAGATTAGCTGGCCAGCCCAGACAGTGGAATATAACCCGGACTTCTTGGTTTATCTTGATAAAGTAAGGCTGGGGCAGGGGGGTGGGGGTGTTTCTGCATCCTAAGAGAATCAGGAAGTTCTTTTCCATTATAAACCAATCCATACCATTCCATGGATGAACAATACCCTATCAGAAAGCCTGTATACCCCAACCTAGCTTCCGTGCATATAATAAATACCAACTAACCTCTTCTGTATTTTTTTATTATGTTAGGTGGATCTATTGCATGTTACAGGTAGTTTGCAGTTTAACTCTCCAGTGCAGTATTTAGCCCCAGACACAAAACCTATTTGGAAAGGTGTGGTTTGGTCCTTTGCAAAATTTCCTGATTTCCCCAGAAGTAGTTTCTCACCTGGGGTTTTCCTGGAGTTCTATCCCACCTCTAGTGTCTCTGTCACCTTGAAGTGCAAACTAAACATTAGGTTACTTTTTTTTTTTTTGGTTTTTACGAGACAGGGTTTCTCTGTATTGTTTTCAAGGCTGTCGGTCCAGCCTGGCCTCTCACTCACAGAGATCCACCTGCCTCTGCCTCCCAAGTGCTGGGATTAAAGGCGTGCACCACCAACGCCTGGCAACATTAGGTTACTTAATTAGAAAAGTGCCAACGGGGCTGAGGGGACAGCTCGGGTGCTATAGTGCTTGCCACACAAGCATGAGGATCTCAGTTCAGACCCCAACACCCATGTGAAAGCTAGGCACAGCGGCACACTCATGCACACTCATGCACACTCATGCACACCCACAGGAAGATCCCCAGCACCCATGTGAAAGCTAGGCACAGCAGCACACTCATGCACACTCATGCACACCCACAGGAAGATCCCCAGGGCTTGTTGGAGAAGTCAGTCTAGCCAAATCTGAGCTCTGGGTTCAATGAGAGATCTTTCCCTTAAAAGCAAGGCAGAAGCCTGGTAGTGGTGGCACACACCTTTAATTCCAGCGCTCCGGAGGCAGAGGCAGGCAGATGTCTCTGAGTTCTAGGCCAGCCTGGTCTACAGAGTGAGTTCCAGTACAGCCAGGGCTATTTACACAGAATCTCAAAAAGCCAAACCAACCAAACAACCAAAAAGTGGTTGAGGGAAATGTCTGATGTGAACCTCTGGCCTCCATTGCACATGTAACCCCCTACACACATACAGGAACACACTCACACTCATGTAAAGAGAAAGGGAGGGAAGGAAGGAAGGAGGCACCGACACCAGTGACTCTGTCTGAAGCTGGGTCGAGCACAGGGTGGAATCCCAGGCCACATGCAGGTCAGGAAGCTTGAATGTGGATTTAAAGCAAGTCACCACTCTCTTTAGATGACCCACTGTTCTTCAGGGCCTGGAAGTCCAAATGTGAAGCATCCTAGTTCTGACGACAGAGAAGATGGCTCTAACTGTCAGTTTTCCCTTTGTGGCACCAATGGTTTTGAAACGAAGCAAGATGATGACAAGTGATTTGTAGTAGACTGTCACCTGCCAATGTTCCAGAACTCCCTCTGGGTTGGCTTGAGGTGCCCAGCCAATTGGTCTTGATGGTAGCCTCAGCTGGTAGCCCAGCCTCCCTGCCTCCAATATGTGTCCCTTTGGGGGGGGGCAAAGGAAAACAGGTCTGGCTTTGGGAAGCTGCTCTCAAGTATGGGCCGGGTTGGGATGGGATGATGGACAGAGAACATGAATTTTTTTTTTCCAAGACAGGGTTTCTCTGTATTGTTTTGGAGGCTGTCGGTCCAGCCTCCTGGCCTTGAACTCACAGAGATCTGCCTGCCTCTGCCTCCCGAGTGCTGGGATTAAAGGCGTGGGTCACCACCGCCCGGCAAGAGCATGAATTCTTGAAGCAGGGTTGGGAGCCCTTTGGATGTGGGGTCCTTCCACACTGGCCTGTCCAGCCATTGTGGCAGATTCAGAAAGGGTAATTTTATTCTTCAGTGTTCAGTCTTGATTTCTCGATTTCTCAGCAAATGGCCTTTGAATACCATTTGCTATGAGGTCCTTCCTGCTTCTCGTTCTGAGGTCACAGGGATCAGATGACAGGCATGCTGGGGTGTGGCAGAGAGGGGTACACACATGCCCCTGTGCCTCTCACTGTGGCCTCTTTCCTCCTTCCAGGCTTAGAATCAGACCTGCGTGTGCGACTGCATGGCCAGCATCTGGCTAGCAAGCTGGTCCTAAGAGCAGTGAGGGGCTACTTAGAGACACCCCAAGTTGATAAGGCCCTGGCTCTGTCATTCCATGGCTGGTCCGGCACAGGCAAGAACTTCGTGGCACGGATGCTGGCAGAAAACCTGTACAGGGATGGAATACGGAGTGATTGTGTCAAGATGTTTATCTCTACCTTCCATTTCCCACACGCCAAGCATGTGGACATGTACAAGGTGAGACTGCAATGCTGGGGAGCTTCTCTGGCCTGGTAGGGGTGAGGCCCCTCTGCTACCACAAGGAGGTAGAGCCTAGAGCAGGTTAGTACAGGATAGGGACAGCTGCAGGGACAGAACCAGTTGACAGGCAGCCACTCCCTACCCTCTCACAGAGGCAGCCTAGAGCTTCAGGAGGGAAAACTGATGTTTCCAGAATATTCTGGAACTTTCCATGACGGTTTCACACTGGAGCCAGACACAGGGCCAACAGAATCACAGGTTTTTGCTTTGTTTTTTCTTTTTGTGATGTGTGTGTGTTAAAAGTAGTGAAATGTATCTGGGTGTGGTGGCACATGCCTGTAATCAGCACTTGTTGACTAAGGCAGGAAGATCTTGAGTTCAAGAGCAGCCTGGGCTGCAAAACGAGATCCTATCAAAAAAAAAAAAAAAAGGAGCGATATATCTATCTAAGGAAATGTGGAATAGAAAAAAAGCATAAATTTTACCATCCCGTCCCCAATTGCCGTAGCCTTCTTAGCTTACTGCAGTTAGCACTGTGATTTCCCATGGTCATATATTTGTGTGTGTGTGTACACACACACACCTCACTCATGCGTGCACGCACATTGTGCGCCCCTGCTGCTGTCAGACTTCTTCACAGCTGTTTCACACCACTGTAGTTCCATTAGGAAGGGGCATGTTTGGCTGGCTTCTGTTTCATCCCCCCAGACTTACACTGGGTCATGAATGTCTGGCTGAGCTTTACAGGCCTGATTGCCTGGATTAAACAGGAAAGCTCGAGTTAACCCTGACAACAGCCTAGGGAACCGAGTTGGCCACAAACTGCAGGGAGAGGCTTGTTTCCAAAGGCTTGTTCAGGTTTTTTTTCCCCTCGAGTGTATCATTGAATAATGAAAGCAACAATAGTGATTTGATTCTTTTGCCTTGTCCTCCCAAGTCTTGGATCACAGGCATGCACTACGCTCACTTTTCAAAATGTGGTGCTAGAAATTGACCTGAAGGCCTCCAGCATGCTAGACAAGCAATCAACTACGTAGCTACACTCCCGCCATTTTAAAAAGGTGTCATCACCATGATGGTCCACAATCACACATGACTCCTCAGTTCTTCCCACAGCTTACTACAGTCAGCATTGGTACATGCCAGCAAGCCACTGAACAAAATGCTCCTTTGCTGTTTTGCTATTTGGAGGGTTTTTGTTTTTTCATTTACACATGCAGTAAAATTAGCCTGAACATAAGCAAACAGCTATGGCCGCACCCATGTTGACTCTCAACTATTATACTTAGGAGTGTGTAAACTGGGAAGATTATGTCAGCCTTGAGGATAGAGCTTGCCTGAGTCACCTGGTAGTTTCAGTATGGCCTTGGAGGGCAAGGGCAGAGAGTCCTGAGATGTGTCAGGCAACTGACAGCTGCGCTTCCCCGGAGGAATTCTCTGGCGTTGACTGCGGCAAAACTGCTTGAGGATGTCAGCTTCCCCACTAGGAAGCCGGCATGTCCACACACTCACATGCTTGGGTGTCAAAGGATGAAGACGCCAGAGACTGACATGGATAGATAGTGTAGATTTGCCCCGAGAAGCAGCTGTGCTCAGCCCTGAGAGAATCGCAAAGTTTGGTGAAGAGTTTACTGTCTTGTGGTGGGCGCCCTTGTGGTAACTAACCCTCAAGTTACACCACACATAACAGGCTGGCTCTCTTGGGATCTCGGCCCAGTCTGGGTTATCAGTGAGGGTTCTGCTTCTGAGAGGTCAAGGGATTGTGGCTGGCACCCTCTGGACCCTTGAGCTTTTCTTCTGTCTCCAGGTGGTTGAGTCCGACGGTTTCCTTTCCTGGGGAGGGTGAGGTGATCCTTAGCTCCAGGGTGGGACCTACTTAGTCCCGGAGAAGGCACCTGGCTGATGCTGCTTCGCTGGACCAGGGGGCTTTCTAACGAACTCCCCGGCACTGTTTTCATCCCAGGTGGGGATGCTCAAGCCAGGTACAGGAGAGGTTAGCAGCCTGGTTGGGCGGAAGCCACCCTTGGGTTTGGTAGTTGTGGTGGGGGGGAGCCCAACGTCGGTGCTCCACTGCACCTGCGCTGAGGAAGCAGGCGCCCACCCTCCTCCGAGGTTGCAGCTCCCCGTGTCCTGTGCAGGAGGAGTTGCGCTGGCAGGTGCAGGAGACACGGCGGCGTTGCCACCAGAGCATGTTCATCTTTGACGAAGTGGAGAAGCTGCACCCGGAGCTGCTGGAGCTGCTTGGACCGCACCTGGAACCCAGGGTCCCCAAGGCTCAGGGCATGGAGCCGCCCAGAACCATCTTCCTCTTTCTCAGGTGAGGTCTGAGCAGGAAGCCCGGGAGTGGGGTGCTGATTAGCAGGAGGCCTTCTTGAAGTCAAAGCCCCACAGTTTGGAAGAAGGCGAGGGACACAGAGGCCTCCCGGCCCACCCGCCCCCCCCCAGCATTCTCCCAGGGACTCTGGCAGCAGCTAAAGAGACGCTGCTTGTCTGCGCAGCCGCCTCAGGGGCCTTTGCAAAGAGCTTCCGAAGCATCGGGTTTTTTGTTTTTGTTTTTAGGTTTTTTGTACACTGTGTTTCGGTCTTATTCACACACACACATCCCAACCCCAGTCATTAGATCATTTCCCACCTTACCCATCCAACTCGCGTCCCTTAAAAAAAAAATCAAGACCAATTTGTGAATCCCAAATATTCTTGGATGTATGGTCTGACATGGAATTGGGTCAATTTACCAAGGGCTACACGAAGCAAAAGCAGACTCTCTCCCAGTAGCTAATAATTGCCAATAGAACTTAGCTAGGGTGGGACTTGGTACCTGGCTGTCCTTGATGGGATTTGGTTTGTCTTGGGCTGGCACAGATCTGCTTTTATTTATTACATATACAGTGCTCTGCCTACATACCAGAAGAGGGCACCAGATTGAATTGTAGATGGTTGTGAACCACCATGTGGTTGCTGGGAATTGAACTCAGGACCTCTGGAGGAGCAGCGAGTGCTCTTAACCTCTGAGCCATCTCTCCAGCCCCATCCCTGGCTCTTATACTCTTCCTACTTCCTCTTCTGCTATGATCCTTGAACCTTGGGAGGAGAGGGTGAGGTATTTATGTTCCATTTAGAGCTGTGCAGACTCTTTCGCTGGGCACCTTGGCCAGTTGTGGGTCTCTGCGTCAACCATTTACTGCCAGTAGACGCTTCTCTGATGAGGGTTGAGAGATGCACTTATCCGTGGGCATAGTGATAAGTCATTGGGAGTCCGTTTAATACTGTGTACATTTAGAATAATAGTGCTGGTTCTCCTGTAGGGCCAAAGACGTGTCTCCATTGGTTCTGGGCCCAATAATGGTACAGGTATTGACTTTGGATGTGTAGCATGAGACTTAGATCCAACCAGGAAGCAGGGATCACACCCATGCCTTTTCCCAACATCTTTTAATGTTATTTATCCCTGCCTATATCTCCGTTACTCTGCCCTCCCTTTCCTTACCCAAATGTAACCCTCCTGTCCCATTATGCCCCTTTCACCCTTTATTCCAGTGTGTTCTATCTCCCTGTGGCCCTGTAGTCATTTCCTGACCTCTGTGAGTATACTATTCCAAATGTAACACACACGTATCTAAAAGTTTAAAGCTAACACTCAGAAATGAAAGGAAGCTTGGTATTTGTCTTTCTGGGTCTAGGTTACCTCAGAATGATTGGTCCTAGTGCCATACAATTACCTGTGAATTTCATAATTCATTTTCTTCACAAGTGAGTGATTCCATTGTGATAATATACCTCATCTTCATTATCCACTCATCAGTGGACAGACAACAGGTTTTCATTTCCTAGCTATTGTGCACAGAGCAGCAATAATGCGGATGAGTATGTATCTCTACAGTAGGAAATACAGTCCTTTGGGTATATGCTTAAGACAGGTATAGCGGGAGCATGTGGTTGCTCTTAGCTTTTTGAGGGGTCTCCACACTGAGTTCCTTAGTGGCTGCACCAATTTGTACTCTAAACAACAGTGAATAAGTGTTTCCTTTCCCCACACAAATGCTGGCATTTCTCATTGGTTGTTTGTTTTTAATCTTAGCCATTCTAACTAGGGTAAGATGTAGTTGGACTTTCTTTGGACTGTCAGCTCCCAAATAATGACACAGAGATTCCTTACTAATTATGAAAGCTTGGCCTTGGGTTAGGCTTGTTCCCAACTAGCTCTTGTAACTTAAATTAACCCATTTATATGAATCTACATTCTGCCACATGGCTCCTTACCTCTGCTCCACACTGAACATCTGACTTGCTCCAACTCACTGGCAAATCCCACTTCTCTTCTTCCCAGAGTTCTTATCTCTTCCCAGAAGTCCCACTTATCCTCTCCTGCCTAACTATTGGCCATTCAGCTCTTTATTAAACCTTAACAGAGACACATCTTCACAGTGTACAAGATTATTTCACAACAGTAAGATGAAATCGCAAAGTAGTTTTAATTTACATTTCCCTGATAGTTAAGGATGTTGAAAATTAAAAAAAAAAGTTTCTCAGTCTGGCGTCATCAGAGAAGACAGAGCCTCAATTGAGGAGACTGTCTCGATAAGATCCAGCTGTGAGGTATTTTCTTAATTAGGGATACATGGGGGAGGTCCCAGTCTGTTGTGGGTGGAGTCATCCCTGGCCTGGTGATCCTGAGTTCTATAAGAAAGCAGGCTGAGCAAGCCTGGAGGAGCAAGCCAGTAAGCAGCACCCCTCCATGGCCTCTGCATCAGCTCCTGCCTCCAGGTTCCTGTCCTGTTTGAGTTCCTGTTCTGACTTCCTCCCATGGTGAACAGCCAAGTGGAAGTGTGAGCCACATAAACCCCTTCCTCCACAGTTTTGCTTTTGGTCATGGTGTTTCAGCACAGCAACAGTAGCCCTAACTGAGACAGCCTATTTAGTTCCATGTCCCATTTTTACTTGTCTTTTTCTTCTCAGTTTAATTTTTTTTTGAGTTCTTTGTATATCTAGACTCTAACCCACAGTCAGACGTGTATCTGATAAAGATCCTCCCCCCATTTTGTAGACTGCCTCTTTCAAGTATGGTGTCCTTTGCTGTACAGAAACCTTTTAATTTCATGAGGTCCAGTTTATTGTTAATCTCAATGCTTGTGCTGCTGGGGTCCTATTCAGAAAGTCCTTCTCTGTGTGTATGAGCTCAAGTGTCCTTTCTGTCTATCAAATTCAGGGTACCAGGTCTTATGTGGGGGGTCATTGATCCACCTGGAGTTGAGTTTTGTGTAGAATCAGAGATAAGAATGAAATTTTATTCTTCTACATGTAGCTATCCAGTTTGATCAGCGTCTTTTATTTTTAAAAATGCTGCCTTTTATCCAATGTATATTTTTGGTATCTTTGTCAAAAGTCAGGTGGCTATCAGTTTGTAGGTTAATATGTGGGTCCTTAATTCTATTCAATTGATTGTTGAGTCTGTTTTATCTCAGTATTATGCTGTTTTTAGTACCATAACTCTGTAGCGTAACTTGAAATCTGGGATGGTAGTACCTCCGAAGTTTTTTGTTGTTTAGGAGTGTCCTGGATATCCTGAGTTTTTGTGTTTCCATATGAAATTTAAGATTTTTTTTAGTTTCTGTGAACTGCATTGGGATTTTAATGGAGATTGTGTTGAGTCTGTAGGTTGCTTTTGGTAGGATGGCTATTTTTATAGTATTAACCCTACTGGTCCATAAAACCATGGAAGGTATTTAATCCTCTGCTATCTTATCCAGTTTCTTTTTCTTTTTTTTAGTGCCTTACAGTTTTCATTGTATATGTCTTTCACTTCCTCAGATTTATTCCAAGATAATTTTGAGGCCATTTTGAAGGGGGTCATTCCCTTGACCTCTATCTTCGTGTAATTGTCATTTGTATATAGGAAGGCCACTAATTTTTAAGTGTTTTGTATTTTCCTACTTTGTTGAAAGTATCAGCTGTAGTTTTCTGGTGGAGTCTCTAGCGTATAGAATCGGATCACCTGCAAATAAAGACGTTCTGGCTTCTTCCTTCCCTTGTACCCTCTTAGTCTCCTTGTCTTACTCTCTAACTACCACTTCAAGCATTGTGTTAAACAGGAGGGTGCAGAGTGGACATTCTGTCATATCCTGGTTTTAGTGGAAATGCTTTTGAATTTTCCTTTGTTTAGGATGGTGTTGACTTCCTGTGTATTACATTGTTACGTTAAGTCCCCTATATGCCTATTTTCTCCAGGACTTTAATCATGAATGGATACTGCTGGATTTTGTCAGACCTTTTCTGTGTTTAATGAGATGATCCATCTACTTATGTGGTGGATTTTGTTTATTGATTTACATATGTTGCTCAATCCCTGCATCTCTGGAATGAAGGTGACTTGATCGTGGCGGGTAATCTTTTTGATGTGCTCTTTGATTTGATTTCTAAATATTTTATTGATAAGCCCTGCATCTGTTTTCATCAGGGAGATTGGTTCATAATTTTCTCCTTTTTGTTGGGTCTTTGGTGTTGGTATGAGGATAAAACTGGCTTCATAAAACAGATTTGATTGAGAAGTTTTTCTGTTATTTGAAGTGGGTTTTTATAGTTGGGTGCTTCTTACAATTTATTAGATTCATTCATTTTATTTTTATGTGTTTGCCCAGCATTGCTGTGCTTTTGTTCCATGTACCTAGGTCTCCAAAACAGCTTAGTGGCAAGCAGAGAAGAATCGTGTCCAGTATGAATGCTTCACCAAAGCCCCTTGCAAACCTGCCACTTACTTCCTGGCCATGAGGCCACTCTCGTGCTGTTTTCTAGGCTTTGGGGTGCCCTGGGGAAGGAGGAGTGATTTTTTTCTCCCAGCTGAGCTGTGGAAGGCAGGTTTGGGGTTCAGGTGGTTCCCCAAGACAAGATTGGACAGATTTAAGCCAGGTGGGTTTCTGCACGTGGAAAGCGAGGTCGGCATAGGGTGAGGATCTGGGGGTGGCTTTAGGAGAAGAGAGGCGTTTGGTAATGTCACGAGTGCAGAGTGAAGATGAGCAGCTTCCGTGGGTTTACCCCTTTCTGAGGCAGTGGCCTCAGCTGTCTATGATACCCCTACATGCAGAGATGGCTGAACGGTCCTAAGGCACTAACTGACTCTCCTACCGTTGCCTTACAACTTGGCAAACTCTGTTAGGTGCTGAGCTTGCCCAGTGTGACCCAGTGACCCTCCTATCTCAAGGCAAACACTTGGTCACTGACCATCTGACAATGGTCCTGCCCTTTCCCCTACATACCTGACCTCAATGGACTGACTGAGGCCACGTAGTTACACACACACACACACACACACACACACACACACACACACACACACACACACGGGTTCACATGGGTGAAGGTGCCACGTAGGTAAGTCACACACACAGGGTCGGATGAGTGAAGGTGGCCTGAGAGATTCCACCTGACAGCAGTCAAACTTGCCTTCCAGGGGCTCTTAAACAGGCGTGGTAGTGGTCTCCTTGCTGCAGGCTTGTACCACAGAGAGGCCATGAGCCATTTATTTTCCCTTTGTGCTAAGGACCCTTGCATTTGTGTTGTATATGTGTATGCTCTCCTGTGTAGAGGTTGACACTGGGTGTCCAGTATCAGTCTCTATCTTGCTTTTAATTTTCTTTTTTGGACAGGGTTTCATTATGTAGCCCCAGCTGGCCTGGAACTCGCTATGCAGACCAGGCTGACGTGTAACTCAGATCCACGTACCTGTCTCCTGTGCGCTAAGAATAATGGCATATGCCACCACACTTGGCTCTACCTTGTTTTTTTGAGACAGGGTGAGCTCCCAGAGCTGAACTTAAAAGTTCACACAGCCATGCCCAGCTCTTCACAGGGCTGCTGGCGAACCTGAACTTAGGTCTTCATGCTCAGACAACACTTTGTCCATTGAGCCCTTCCCGGCCCTGACAGTCAATTTAACCTGCAGTTTAGTCCTGAGGTACTGGTGGCGTTTTTACCAACTCTCTTGTGGCACCAGAAGGCAGACAGAGTAGGTGAAGCCCAGGAGGCCTTGCCCAACATGGCCAACAATGAATTTTATAGTGCCAATACTTTTTTAAGAGAGTAAGCTTTATCTATAAAAGTGGACAGTAAGATAGGAAGCAGCCAGGCCCGGGCAGGGTGACCCGGCTGTGATGAGTCGGCAGTGTTACCCGCTGCAGTCACAGTCCAGGTGGAATTGGACATCCCCGCATCTGTGGATGAAGCCCCCCCCCCAATTCTCATCTAGCGTTTCGTTCTTTGGGTTCTGCTCATCGCAGACTTTTGCTCCCTCTAGGCTCCTGAGGATGTTTTAGGTCTGTCCTAGACTTCCACGCTTGGTCCTGAGGGGCAGTGCGGATAGTTTTTAGAAGCATATAGTGCTGTTTATGGCTCAATTTCAGAGGTAGCACTTGAAGCAACCAGGGAACCAAAAGCATCCCTTGCCTGGGCTGGAGAATTCAGGCACTTGCTATACTGACTTGGGCCTGTGTCTGCCAGTAGAAGGCCCCAGGGTCACATGGCAAGACTGGAGCTGTTGCCTTTTTGTGCCCCCAGAAGAGTGTTGCTAATGTCTGTTCTCTTTGAGCTGCTGTCAGGGTACACACAGAAGGGACTTTGAAGAAGAACTATGTAGACGTGGGTTATCCATGAACACAGTATATGGAGATGTGCAGCAGGTATTCATTCCTGCCTCCTGACTGACCAGCAGCCTCTAGATTGTCTGGGCCCGGTTTCTCATTTTACAAAGGAAGAACCTGAGGCCCACAGAGGTTTGTGATTGAGTCTAGCTGTTCTTCAGGGAATAGTTCACAGTTGTGACGGAGACTGTGATTTCGCCCCCGTCAGCACATAACATAGCCGATGAGGAAGGAAGGTAGCATAATGTATAGCTGCCCGGCTGAGCTGAAGACGCTGGGCGGGCAGTGAAGGTTTCCCAGGCCTTGTGCTGTGAGAGGTACAGCCTGTACCGTGGTGGGGAAAAGGCACCGGCTGCAGGCACCACAGCAGGCGGTGCAGAAAAAGCTGCAGATACATGTGCCGAAATCATGCAGAGTGAGGCTCCGGGTTACACGGGGAAGCAGGCGGGTTGTCTCCTGGGCTGAAATGGGAAGGTCTATGTCCTAAGGGCTTAGACAGTCACCTACCTCACTAGCCTGCTGTCTCAGAGATGGTGCAAACGGCTACTGTGGCAAACCCAGATGGGGCAGTCTCTGGTGGTGGGGCCAGTCTTGCCAGAAAACCTCCAGACAGGCTGTGCAGCAGAAGCCCAAGTCAAATGACTGGTGTAAGCAGTTTCAGCAGGCCTGGAAGTCTGGCAGGGCGCTGGGCTTGAGCAGGGCCTGAGGACTCAAGGCCTCTGGTAAGTCCTGTAGCTGTGAGGGACACACTGGCCCTCACCTATTTGCTGGCGCCTGCCCCAGCCTCTCCCTCCCCAGCTAGGGGGGCTGGTTAGGGACTGCAGGACAAACTCAAATGCAAACTCAGCAAAAAGCTATGTGTGAACTCTTCTGAGGAAACAGGGGCATTCTGAGCCTTGTGAGGAGGGTGGAGATGCTGGACCCCCAGAGTCTAATTTGCGCCTGCCTCCCCTACTCCTTCACTATGTTCCTCATTCTGTGGCTGTTAAGATGCAGGGAAAGAGTTGGGGCTCAGCTGGTGCCCGAGCTTCCTGGGCTGCAACTCGGAACAGCGAGGAACTGTCCTGGCTGCCCGTCCCCAGCACTCCCAGCTTCAGGTGGTGGCCCCTCGAGTCTGACAGTCACTGCTGTATGTCCTGATATATTCCTTCAAGTGCCACACGGTCCCAGAATCTTTCACATCTGGCTTGTATGTAGGTCATACAGAACTTGAGTTTCACCAGTGTTTACCAAAAATGGCAAGGCAGGCAGGATGGGGGCAAAGCCGGGGCAGTGCCTTTCTGCTGCGCCCCATGGAGCAGCCTCCCGTGCTCTAGGAACTGGTACTGGAGGTCAGGGAGCACACGTGGGAGTGGGTGTGGGGATCAACTGTTAACAGGCACTTGTTTCTTTAGTAACCTTGGGGGCAGCATCATCAGTGAGGAGGTCCTGAGTTTGCTGAAGGCAGGCTGGTCTAGGGAGGAAATCACGATGCAGCACTTGGAGACCCCCCTTCAAGCTGAGATCATGAAGTCCACAGGTAAGCAATCAGTTCAGATACACAGTCCTTGTCAAGAGTCCCAGCTGGAGGTGATTAGTATATGTACCAAATTTGATATAGTGGGGGTGTCTAAACAGTGGAGGACAAAGGACAGTCTCAAATTGTTAACTTCCAGTGGCACAAAGAGAAGTAAGCCTAAACGCCTTTCCTGAAAATGCCCCACCACAGACACGGTCTCCGATGCCCACAGACTAGCAGATCTCCCTGAGAGAACAGTGGTTCAGCCCCAGCCAAAGGTGCCTGTTTCCTGCACCAACCAAAGCCACAGTCCTGGTGGTGGTGCCCTGCCACACCCACAATGCTTCTGTGCCAGAAGCAATCACAGCTCCACAGCTCTTGGCATCTACTGCAGACAGCACTCCTAGAGCTCCATGGGAGACCACGTCTTGCCCAGGTCTCAAATTGGGGGACACCTTAAATCTTTAGCACAGTCTCAGGTCAGTCTCCATGTAACTTTGGGTCTTGATTTCAGACAGTGGCTTTGGCTCCAGCCGTCTTGTAAAGGAAAACCTTATTGACATCTTTGTCCCCTTCCTGCCATTGGAGTACTGCCATGTGCGGCTGTGTGTCCAAGACGCCTTCCTGAGTCAGGACCTCCCGTACACAGAAGAGGCCCTGGATGAAATTGCCAAGATGATGACATATGTCCCCGAGGGGGAGCGGCGTTTCTCCTCCCAGGGCTGCAAATCCATTTCCCAGAGAATCAACCTCTTCCTGCCTTGAAAGTGTCTCCTTGTGCTCCCTGGGGCGGTCCTTCTCCACCAGTGAGACCCTGGATCTGCCAGGCACCCTGGGGCTCAGCGTCGCTGCTCCAGCTGGGGTGCAGAAGGTGGACCCTAACAGAGCCAGCTCTTAAATCACTTGGTGCCTTAAAGACCTGCATTCTAGACATTCTATAATGTAGGCCAGGAAGTCAGAAAGCCATCAGGAAGTCCAAGTGCCAAAGGGTTCCCAGAACTCCCTCCACAGGCTCTTGGCCACAGCTCTTCCCAGAAAGTGGCTGGACTTGAGTATGAGCCTGAGGCTGCAGGATCCTTGGGCTACAAAACACAAAAGAGCTGTGGCTCGTCAGGAGTGTGCTCCGTTCGGGTCTGTGGGTGCGGGCTAGCTTTCCAGAGGAACGGGGTCAGCTTCGGCACTTGAGCAGATGGACAAATGGCCTTAGGCTAAAGGGAAGACCACATGCTTTGAAAACGTGCCAGTGACGAGTGTGGCACACACCTGTGATCCCAGCACTGAGTAGGTTAATACAGGAGAGAGAGCTCAAGAGACCTGAGCTCCCTGGCTGAGTTTGAGGTCAGTCAGGCTTGACAAACAAAATCTACAGATGTGTAGCTAAGGTTATGTTGTTTTATAGACTGAAAACTTTTTTATGTACAGATTAAATTTCATATTTTTCTAACATCCGTGGCCTCCTTTCTTACTAGTGATTGTACTCAACACTGATGGGAACTGGTAGAGCCAGGTGCTGACCTGCAAGTAGTGGATTTCAGCTCACTTTGGGGCCACCCGAGCTCAGAGCTACACGAGCTTCTTCCTTAGGCTCCAAAGACTCAGTGCTCAGTCATGAGTTTTTCACCCAGGCTTTGTCAAGCGAAGCGGTGTTTCCTGAGCTTGACACGGTGAGACAGACGGCCACCGCCTTCTTTATGACAGCTCTGTTCTGCCTTTTTTCATCTGGTTCCTTCACACCTTTGGAACACAGGTGTTTGTGCACAATCTCCTCCTCTTAGTGTATCCCTCCTCTACCCTCCCACCTTTAGCCCCTGTGGATGGACCGTGTCTGCATTTAACGGCTGGTCGTACATGAGTGCTCACCTGCCTTAGGTTAGGGAGCACTGAGTCCAGCCATACTGGGTACTTAGTACTCAACTAAATGAAGTGACGGAGCATGGCTCAAAATCAGGATCCTGAATAGCAGAAGCAGCTCAGAGTTCAAGGGTTTAGGAGCTCTGCTGCCACAAACCAGGGATGGAGAGCTACCAATTCAGATTTCTTATGAAGCAAGCCTACAAGGTTAGTAAGTATGAAATGGCCAGTAAGACTTAGATTTCTTGTTCAAGCCAGGTGTTGCAATGCCTATTATCCCATATTCAGAGGACAGAGAAGACAGCTTGGGCTACATAGTGAGAGCCAAGTGAATGGCAACAAGAAAATCACAGAAATACCATCCTATCCAAAAGCCTGACACAATTTTCTTCCCCACAGGACAGGCCATGTTAAAGTGCTAAACAGGTCTTACCTGACCTAACAAAATTAGAATGCTAGAAATACCTCATGATCACAAGAGCATAAAAGTAGAAATGTGGAGAAGGGGCTTCAGAAACTTCCAGAAACTCTCCAAAACAAGTCCGTGGAGAAATTAAAAAAAACTTAACTTCTTGAGACAAAAACCTATAAGGAAAGCAGCCCTGAGAAATTATGTTACTATACACATCTCAGAGTAGCACTTTGCCACAAAGAACTAGAAAACACTAAGCCCCAAATTAACAATAACAAACATCACAGATCTGGAGACATAGCTCAGAAGAGCACCGGCTGCTCTTGTAGAGGTTCTGAGTTCAATTCCCAGCAACCACATGGTGGCTCACAACCATCTGTAATGAGATCTGGTGCCCTCTTCTGGCATGTAGGCATATGTGCAGGCAGAACATTATATGCATAATAAATAAATAAATCTTTAAAAACAAACATCACAGTGGAAATAAATGAAATAGCTAGGTTGGTAGCACACCTGTGATGATGATAGCATTCAGGAAAACTGAGGCAGGAGGCTGCCAAGCTTAAGAAAACCTGGGCTTAGTGAGTTTGAGACTGGCTGGGGCTATATAATAAGACCATGTCTTGATTTTTCCTGTTTTTTTTTTTTTTGAGACAATGTCTCACATAACCGAAACTGGCCTTGAACTCAGTATGTGATCCAGAATGACCTTGATTGTTTTGCCTTCATCTTTCAAGTGCTGTAATTATAGGCATGTGCCAGTATACCTGGGTTTATTTGGTGCTGGGCTCAAACTGGGCTTCGTGCATGCTAGACAAGCACTTTGCTGATCCCCAGGCCCAATACCCTGCTTCTAAATAAAGATATTGGACTAGACGATAAAAACTAAATCAAAACCAAGGATCAGTGAAAGCTGGGCGGGGAAGGAGACTAAAATAACCCATAGAAAAGATGCTACTACTGGTAACATAGAAACACAAAGGATTCAGAAAATCTATTATGATTATACATCAGCAAACTAGATTATGTATAATAGACAAATTCTTGTATGTAGACAACCTACCAAGATTAAAGCATGAGGAAATAGACAATCTGAACAGATTTTTAACAAGTAAATTATTATATGACCAGTAATGTTTTCTGAAAGTCTCACATCAAAGATAAGCCCAGGGCCTATCTGATGGCTTCTGGCTGAAATCTACTTTTTAAAGAGTTAAAGTCTGAGAGGGCATGGTGACATATGCCTTTTAATCCAGAGGAAAGCAGATCTCTGTGAGTTCAGGGCCAGCCTGCTCTACATAGCAAGTTCCAGGACAGCCAGGGCTATGTTGAAAAACCCATTCTCAAAACAAACAGCAGGTGGTGGCGCACACCTTTAATCCCAGCACTCGGGAGGCAGAGACAGGCGGATCTCTCTGAGTTCAAGGCCAACCTGATCTACAAGAGCTAGTTCCAGGGCAGCCTCCAAAGCCACAGAGAAACCCTGTCTTAAAAAACCAAAATAAATAAATAGACAGATGAATGAATGAAATGAATGAATGAATAACAGCTGCCATGGTCATAGTGTCTCTTCATAGCAGTAGAAACCCTAAGATGACACTTTTCATACAAATAGAAAAATGATCCCAAAATTCTTATGAAACTATAAAATCCTTAAGTAGCCAAAGAAATCTTGAACAAAAAGAGCACAACTGTATTGTATTACCTAACTTGAAAGTTATCACAAAGCTGTAGAACCAAACAGCATGGCACCTACACAGACACACACCACTGGAACAGAACGCAGAGAAACAACACAGGAATTTCAAGCCAACAGGCTTCACAGTGGTATCAACAAAGTGCAACAGAGGAAGGGTAGTCTCTTTAATGAATGGTTTCAGGTAATGTGCTTTCATGCACGTAGATCTTAGCTCTTACCACATACAAAACCAACTCAAAATGACTTAAAGATTTACAAGTAAAACATGAAACTAGGAAACAAATGAAATGTTTCAATACCTTGGTACAGCCAATGGAGTTTTTTGAAAAGACCCCAGTAGCAAAGGAGTAAAACAGCAATAAATTACAAAAGGGTTTCAGCAAACTAAAAATCCAAATGGCCAAATAAGCCATCAGGAAGAGACAACCTATAGGGTGGGAGTAAACTATTGGCAACACTGAGTTATTATCCAGAATATAGAAGGAGCTCAAACAGCTCAACAAATCATCCCATTAAAACTTCAAATAAGTCAGAACAGATGCTCTTCAAAAGACAAGAGGGCTGGAGAGATGACTCGCGGATTAAGAGCACTTGTTCAGTCCCCAGTACCTACGGGTAGCTTACAATTACCTGTGACTCCAGTCCCAGGGGACCAGCATCTTCTGGGCCTGTGGGCACCAAGCATGCATGTGATACAAACATCCATACACATAGTTTTTTAAAAAAGAGAAGTCTTAAAAGAGAGACAAAAGCAACAGCAAAGCATTCTTCCTAAGAAACGGAAATGCTAGTCAACCTGTGAGGGTATCGTGTAACTTTTTCTGACAAAAAAGACATGAAAAAACTTCTATTCACCTCAGACAGGGTGCTGGAGCAGAGGGATGATTCCATTGGTGAATCAGTGAATTAAGGTGATATACAGAAACTTGGGCAACTTTCAGGTGGCTGCATCACCGAAAAGCCCATCCTAAGCATGGGTGATGGCTCAGAAAGCTGCATCCCCTAGAGCTCTGCCCAAGGGGTAAGCAACACCACCCAAGTCTCTGCAGCAACAAGTGAGTGCTTAGGTAACCTAGTGGAAGAGGCTTGTGAATCTTCTAAGTTGCATGAATGTCTTCTCTCTTCCCTCCAGAGGGAAGATGGTTCCACTCAGGGGAAGCACCTTACCCCAATCAGAATATTAAGACAACAAATCCTAGGGAGGTTGCAGGAAAGAGAGGACCTGGAAGACACTGTTGGGAAGAATGAAATCAGCACAGCTGATGGGAATGGCATAATGGCTATGCAAAGCATTAAATATAGCTGGCACCAAGGTGCACACCTGTAGAAGGCAGAGGTGTAGATTCAAAGCTCAAGGTCAGGCGGCTCTCAAAAGAACCAAGGGCTAGGGAGGTATCTCAGTGGTATTTTCCTATGTGACCCCTAAGCACTACAAAAAGGCAAAACAAAGCATAAAAAAGAAAACCTCAGCTGAAACAAGTAAATTAGAGTTAAGTATATAACTGTAAGATCTGAAACTGTAACTTTACTATAAGAAAACAGGGAATCCTTTAGGATAGCAGAAGGTGAAGGAGAGAGGGAGAGACCCAACAGTGGGTACTGCGGGGTTAGAATTTCTGTCTTGCACAATAAGATAGACATGGTTCACAGTGTTTGCTGCTCTTCAAGGATCTGAATTTTGTTCCCAGCACCCATGTCCAACAGCTCACAACTGCCTGTAACTCCAACTGCAAGGGATTCAACACCTTTTTCTGGTCTCTGAGGGTAGTAGCGCACGCACACACGTAAAAATAAAACTTGTTTTAAAAAGATTTGATTTAGATATTTCAACTGGCTAGAAGGGTTTAGGGTTGGGTATGGTAGCAGATACCTATAATCCCAGCATTCAGGGAGGATGATCAGGGTTCAAGGCCAGTCTGGTCTACACAGCAAGGATGAGGTCAGTCAGGACAGACAACACAGTGAAGTGCTGATTTAAAAATAAAAAAGAATCAGGAATGAAATGTTTGAGGAATTGGATATGTTTAACATAATTTCAACATTACAGAGTATATACAATGATTTAAAATATCACAATACCGTATAAATATTTGATATACATTAAAAATTGATTAACTATCCTTTCGACAGGACTGCTTTAAATATGCTATAATATGTACTATTCCAGGGCACACAGAATTTTGGAAATGCTGAAAAATAAACACAAATCCCACTACAGGGTATGAGGAGAAATGCAATCATATCAGACAGACACCTGAGCTTGTGTTCAGTGCAGCACTGTGCACAATAGGCCTGAGAGCCCATCAGCAGGGGCTGAGGTCCCGGAAGTGTACACACACACAGTGGGGAGAAGTACTGGAGCATAGGAAACAATGAAATTCAGTCTTTTATCCAACATGAATGAACGTGACAGATGTGAGGCTCAACATTCCATGTGTCGGTGTCGGAACTGAGGGAGAAGTAGGAGGGTGGCTACCAAAGCCTGTGGCTGGGCCTGGGGGACAGAGGGTGGATGGCAGTGAAAACACTGGTGTTTTTATACATGTGCAGACTGCAGTACCCAAATCAGGGTATTTAGAATATCTGTGACCTGACTTCACTGTGGTGAGGATGTTCAGAATTTTCATTGTTAGCGCTTTTGAAATGCTGTTGACCAGTCACCAACTGCAGTAAACACCATGACTGACTTCTCTTTCCTGGCTGCTTTGTCATGACAGCAGCTGACCACACTATTCTCAATGAATGAGTACAAATGTGTCAGAGAGGTACTGGGACCAGGGAATGTGGGTCAGGTGTTGTTAAGAGTGCTTGTTTATCATGTATGAAGCCCTGGGTTCAACTGTCAGCACCTACAGCAGTAACCCCAGCAAGGGAGTCCAAGTTCAGTATCATCTCTGGTTGCATGGCAACCAGATACAAGCCTGTCTCAAAAGCATGAAAAAAAGAAGGTAAGTAATTTTGAATAAGAATGTTCTCTCTGAGCCGGTGGTGGTGGCGCACGCCTTTAATCCCAGCACTCGGGAGGCAGAGGCAGGTGGGTATCTGTGAGTTCGAGGCCGGGCTGGACCGACAGCCTCCAAAACAAAACAGAAACCCTGTCTCGTAAAACCAAAAAAAAAAAAATGTTCTCTGAGGATCTATAGTTGTTCTGTTAATACCTGTCTCAAGAGTCAAAAAACTTATTTGCAGGTATGTAGACCACACACACACACACACACACACACACACACACACCCTACCTGACGTCTGCCAGCCCAGGCTCTGGAAGGGATCGCATGTGCAGCACTCATCACAGGATGAGGATTCATACCACAGTGCCCTCCAGGAAGAATTAGGCCTCTATTCATCTGCTGGGCTTTACGGTCATCTACTGTGACTATAAGATCTACTTGGGTCCCTGTCAATTAAAATCCCGGAGAAATACTCCAACTCAAGCCCACTTTGCCGATAAAATATTTCAACCTTTATTTAAACAAAACACAACTTGCAAACCATGTGAGATACGACAGGAAGCAGTCCCTGCCAAGGGTATCATTTATTTACATCAAGTTTAACACTGTTAGCAGTTCACAGTCAGACAACAGAGTGAGAGAATTAAATTAGAAAAACAATCGAAAATATATTACAGTAACAATTAAGAACAAATACTTGACAACAGTGGTAGGGTGACCCATGACTGACATGTTTTAGTTGAATCCCATATGGTCTCACCGGGCACTGCATTCCCTTAGCAACACACACAGCGCCTACTGTGGGCTTCGCCCTCTGTGCACCACCTACGCCTGCAGTGTAACCTTTGGTATAGACATTAAGGTTTTAAGGAATCTGAATTAGCAAGTTTTAGGACAAAGTTCTATCAACCACCATAAAATGTTCAAATTGACTTTTACCAAGCAAGCACAAAATCGGGGTTTCTCCACTGATAGTCATTACAGAATCCGATTGCAAAGGAAAGAAAGTGCAGGGTCTACAGGGAAGGCTTTGTGTGTGCAGTGTGCTCAAGGGGCTGGGCAGGGCAGCATGCTCACTGCGCTACTGCTTCTGCCCTCGGAGAGAAGGAATCAGGAGCTGTGTGGTGAGCCCCTCCCCTTCTCTCTAGCTTCTGAATACTCGTTTTCCTGAAGGTCATTTCTCAAGGTCTCAGCGAATGCTTCTTATGTTGTTCAGGTGGCATAGAAGGTGGCCGTGGAGATGGAAGAATGCGGATTCACGTGGTCCTGACCATTCACAGTACACAGACAGCATGGGTCTTAGGAATACCAAGCCCAATGTGTGGAACTGAGGACCCTGAAGCATTTAGCATTGATTCAACAATACTCATATTTATAACTGCTGAAAATTATGTGAAATCCTTAAGTCCCACTTGCCACTAAATTGTATGGTCCCTAAAAACAAGATGTTCAACTCAGGGTCCCAGAAACAAGTCTAAGCAAGTTCCACCCACAAAACTCTCTGTAATTCCTTTGACTAACTTGTTAGCATTTGACAATGCTTCCCTGGTGCCCTGAAGATTAGGGTCTGCACTATGGGAGGAGCTGAGTAAGTCAGGACCCACAGCACAGCCCCATTCTTCCCTGGAGATGTATGGTCTGAGGATAGGCGGACATACTTCTCCTTGGATGGTGGCAGGTGTGCAGACCCACTCAGTGTCCCACCGTCCTCTCTGGCTAACAGGGTTTTGCTACTGTGTCCAGGCTTTTCAGCACCAGGGAAAGAGATTATTATTACCTAGCAGGGGTAAACAGTCTGATTTACAGGTGTACATGGAGCAAAGGAAGTGTGTGTGCAGGGCAGGTGGGTCCAGAAGAGGCCTCCTTACCTCAGCTCGTCACACAGGGCTGAGAAAGGCGAAGCAGCAATTTGCCAGTTGGCATTTTGACTGGGGTTGGGGGAGGGGTGTGGGGGGAGTCTGAACCAACCAGGACTTTGAGCCTTGATGAAGCTTGTTTCAACCAGATCTAGTTCAACAGTTTTGCACACCAGCCTAGCAGACAAGTACTTCTCCCAACAACACTCAGGAACCCAATCTTTAAAGGCACAAACCTCTGAGCATGACCTCTGCCACTCTGTCAGCTTCTCATCAAGACAAATTGCCCAGACCTTATCCAGAGCACAGCACAGGCTCCTCCAGGGTCACATGGGGAGCTAGTCTAAACGGAAAGCGTTACCATTGCACACAGTCAAGATGGAACATGCACACATGGCATGTGAAGACAAGCTGGAGCCAAGAATCAGCTGCCAATGCTCAAGCATGGTGAGCCAAGCCAGCCTCCTCAGTTGCAGGATCACAGGCAATGGCCACTGTGCTGTGCTGACTCTGCAGGTGACAGGAACCACTACTCCAAGGCTACTGACCCCTACGCTGGAAAACTGCAACTATGCACTCCATTAGGAGTGGGTCAAGTTTTAGAAGCTTGCCTCTGCCTGGGAGGCAATGCTAGTAAGCATGGGAGCCACAGGAATCCTTGGGCTGGCCTGGGCAGTCTGTGCACAGGTTCCCTTGGAACTGCTTTACTCTAGGCTCCTGCATGCCTACAGAACCCAAACAGCTATTTTCAAAGAACTGAGCTACCGGCTTGATGAAGACAGGGCAGCTGACAGGAAATATAAAAAGTACTGGCTATAGCAGATGGTCTAAAGATGGATCCCAGATCCAGGTGAAGCAAGTCAATGCATGCAAGATGGTGAAACAGATCACTAAGAACAGAAATAAAGATGACTCTATCAACCCAATACCAACTCCCTGGAAGACACAGCCTAATGGCAATGTCAGTGCTTTCACTATCAAAGATAGATAGATATGGAGGTCAGAATAGAGTGCAGCTGGATGTAAGTCACTTCCACACAATTTACTGGAGGACATAGGGAGGTTAGAATGCAGAATGCAGCTAGATATGAGCTGCCTGCCTCCATTTACTTGAGTATATGATTATCTAATACGTGAGTTAAGCTCAGCTACTTTGTTTTTAAAAAGGAGAGATGATAAATGCCAATGGCATTTATAACCAGTAGAGAAATTCTAGAAATTCTCCAAGTACATCAGTTCTCTACTCCCAGCCCCCCAGGACATTAGTTTTAAAAAGATACTGTCAACACAAACAGGAAATGAGTCAGCTCTAACCACAGCAAGGATACTAAGAGCTGAGATGTATGGGTGATTGCTCAAAACGAAGGGGGCCTTCATCTCTTCATCTTCCAATCAAGAGCCTGGATGAGCTGCTGGGCTCCAAAGGGCTCCCACTCTCCTTGAGTCTCATTCTGTAGCCTAGGTTGGCCTGGAACTTGATTCTCTTGTCTCATCTTCTTCAGTGCTGGGATTACATGCCAACACTTTTTTTTTTTTTTTTTTTTTTTTTTTGGTTTTATGAGACTGAGTTTCTCTGTATTGTTTTGGAGGCTGTCGGACCAGCCCGGCCTCGAACTCACAGAGATCCGCCTGCCTCTGCCTCCCGAGTGCTGGGGTTAAAGGCGTGCGCCACCACCTCCCGGCACTTTATTACTTCTTAAAGATGAGAATGAAACCAAAAAACTGGTCCCCAGTTTTCTGAAGTTCCTCAGCTCTGAACTATTAGCGAACATTCCCAGTACCTTTACATATTCATTTAGCAGTTTCATATATAATTCCATAGCAAACTACAGAGGTGACTCTCTAGCTGCAGGTCCAGGTCAGCTCAACCTCTAAAGATATTCATAATCCAACTTCATAGTTGATTTTCATTTATTTCTCAAGGTGCTTTCCCATTCTCCCAGTCATTAAAATGACACTGAACAACAGATTTCTTTTTGAACAAAAAGGAATGTAGAGCTGTTTTCTCCCCCTTCTTTTTTTTTTTTTTTTGTTTTCAAACAACTCAAGTTGGTATTTTTAACTACAAAGTGCAGATTCCTGTGTGGCTGAGGTCTAGAAGAACAGCGGCTATGCTGGCTTTGTAACAGAGTTCTACTAAAGGCTTGTTTGGCTACACTGTTACTGAATATCCAAGCCCTTCCTGGCCAGGGCCCTCCAAAGCCTGTGCTAGAAGTGTGCAACACCATGTATACTGATTGTCTAGCTGAACATCTCACAAGGCAGCAGGTGTGGAGAAATGCCACAATGTCAGGATTCCTGAATTCTAGCCTCAGCTCTGCCACTAACTGCTCCAAGATAATGGACTAGCGACAACCATCCTCTCCAGTTTCTTTTGTACATAAAAGGACACAAAGTGTTCTGTTCATATGATGGAGAGCATTTGAAACCTGGAGAAGTCCTTGGGAAACACACTAGTTACTCTCTTACTCCACTTGGAATTCCAATATAGAGTGGGGCCAATTCAGCCATTTCCCTAGGTTTCCCTGGAGGACTACTGTGTGCTCCTGGTTAGGAGTGAACACTAGCAGTTAACATTCGTGGAGTGCTCAGTGTGCACCAGGCACCTAGCTACCTGTTCTATAAGTATCGCCTCATACTATTGGCACTGCTGCATCCCCTAAGCGCTTCATTAAAACAAGAAACACTTTTAAGAGTCAACTGTCAACTGAAAGGTTAAAATGCTGCCGGAAACTCATCTCCACTATGACGACCATGATGACAACCTTATAAAGAGGTCATCCTGAAAATGACCTAATCAGCTTCTCACGTCACAGATCACAGCTTGGTGTGCCATGCCCAATTCAGTTCAATTCACTACAAAACACATCCTTTGAAGGGCCCATTTTAAGTTATCTCTTTCTCTCTCTCTCTGAACATCATGATAGAAATCACCTGAAAATGTGAAATATAATTATAGCCAAAGCTTAAAAAAAAGCTTCCTTAAAGCATAATTGGGATATATTCAATACAGAACACAGCATTTGAAGGTGGGGAATCCAACTGAACCCACGAGACGAGTGTACTAAAAGTAACGGTGCTGTGGCAAGATACGCACAGATGAAGACTTGGGGCTGCCACAGAAAGTTAAGTTACATTTTAGTTTCTAAGAGCAGTTGCCTCTGCTTTAGATTCCAATCTTTCAGTTTGCTGATTTTTCTTTTAAACTGGTCCCTTGCAGGTAGATAAAAAAAAAATTAAAAACCCAAGTAATTCTTTCATAGCAAGTTGACAGTGCCACAAGACCTGAGGCCTTGATCCCTGAAAGCACTATGCAGTTCATGCATCGTGTGGAGCGTAGTACAACAGTTGTGCTTCTCACGGCAGTGTTGAGGAAAAGGTGAGTTCAACCCATGGACTTAGTGACAACCCACTTTGAGCAGGACAGAATTTGTGCTGCCCTCGGTGAGACTTAGCCTTGTCTCAGCCCCTCAGACTGAGAAAAGCAGGGAGCTGAGATACTCAGTAGTGTTTCTCCAAGCCTGTCTTCAGAACTCTGAAGGAAAAACGAACGAACAAACAAACAAACAAAACAAGACCCAAACCTGAAAACAACAACCATCTCTTACAACACCCTAATATGGCAGGGATAAATTTCAAAAGCAGCATTAATAATGGCCTCAAACCTTAGCTTTATCCTTCCCACCTATACAAGACAGCCGAACTGCTAAAATAGGTTCAAGTTTATAGGTGCATACAATGGCGGGGAGTGGTGGACAAGGTGGGAAAATTCTCTTCCAACTACTACAAGGACACTGACCTGACCCCTAGCTGCCCAGACTGCAGCTGTGAGGACACACTAACAATGGAGGAAAAGGAGCTGTCTCCTCCACTCCACACCTCCTCTTCCCCTGAGCCTTCTCTGGAGCAGCAGGGATAAGTATCCACATTTCCTTTCTTTCTAATAAAACTAGATGCCTTCCTCGGTCAAGGATGCCCCATGTAAACTGAAATAGTTTCCCCTTAGGTTCTGGCCCGATTACTGTAAGCATGCACAGCAGTTCAAAAGTTTCCTATTTGTGATACAGAGAGAATGAAAAGCGACCCAATGTACCAACACTAAGTAAAGAGCCCTCCAGAGAGGCTCTCAAAGGGAGCTGCATATTAGTCTGTAAAACACTCTTGAGAATGTGGGCTGTTGCCTTCAATTAATAGATCAAAAGATGGGGCGGCAACTTGACAGCAAATCGATGACAGGAAGAAAACACTGCTCAGTGCTGGATTCCCATCTTCCTACATTAATACTCTTGGAAGAACAAAAAAGTCAAGGTATTTTGTATTGGGTTCTCTTTGGGGAATGAAAGGAGTGTTCACAAAGTTAAAACAAAAACAACAACAAAAGACAAAAAACCAAACTGGAATTAGACCCAGCACCAAAACCAACAACATGTAGCCTTCTAAGCTTCTATTCCATGTTACCCCATTAGCTTCCATAACTGTAATTAGGGAAGAGAAATGCCTATTTTTCAAAGGCAAAACCTATTTGCAGGTTAAACCCTTAGCTTTCTGAGTCTAACTGGTGCTCCCTGAAAATAACCCACTTCTTCTATAACACACTCTTAAAATAGAGGTGAAAGGACAAACACAAACTCCACCACATTCGACAATGGAGTGGTGTTATGTGAGCAGAGAAAAAGAACATGACAATACCATGGAGGCAAGCCCTTAGTCTTCTCCACTGTCCACCCGGATTGGCGTGGGGTATTAAGGTAGGGAAAGGTACAAGTAGCCATGGATCAAGCAAGCTTCTCTTCTCAGTCTGAGGCTTCTGGGCCCAGCAAGTTTCAAAAGGTACTGTATCTCCTTGGATTTTTAATTTAAAAAAAAATACATAGCTGCTCAAGTGGCCATTTTGTCAGTATTTGGGCATAGAAGGTCTCTCCTATGAGAACATACAGTGACCACCATTTTCAACATCGATGCTGGGTAATGCCCTGAATGATGCTAGAAATAAAGGAAGACAGCCTGCCCGGCAAAGGACAGAGAAGAACCACTAAGAAGCCCCCATGTGCCCAAGGTTTCCAGATAGTCACCAAGAAGCAGTGAGTGGATACTGGCTATTAGGAAGTCACACGCTAGAAGCGTGGGAGAGGTGACTGCTAGTCATCGTAATGTCCCTCGAATTCTCTATTTCCTGCGTCGACTAATATACCTAAGGCAAACAGGACAAAAGCAGACAGAATGGGCCATGTTTCCTAGCTGAGTAGTCTAGCAATCTAATTTGCAATTCTTGCTACAGTAGCAATGACCCACAGTCACTTCCGGTAGCCTTGAGTAAAACATCTGCTTCATCTGTCACTTTGCTTTCTCCTGCCCCTTCAATTTGCAGGGTGAACTGCAACCCAGTCCCCTCGAGGCCCTTAGGTCAAGGCCCTACATGGTGCAGAACAACTGACTCTTCTATGATCTATACACGACGCTCCCTTACTTTCCAGTGAAGTTCCAACTCGGTCCACACTGCCCTGTTCCACCAAAATGACCTATCTACTTATGGGATTTCCTTTTTGCTATTTTGAGATGAACCTGTAAACGTGAGAATTCAGGAATCTGAGGTACTTCACATGAACGCACTCAAGTATCAGTCTTTCACTTTTTAAAAAACAAGAACACAGGAAAACGAGTCCTTTTCCCTCTCCCCTCAGATATGTGAGCATTTCCCACTCGACTGACAATGGCTACCTCTGCACCACATCACTAATTTCCTGGACACATGACAATAAGTTATTAAGGACAGGGTTTGTCCCAGGCACACCAGCAGCTGTGGAAGACACCTGCAGCTCCTGTAGGCTAAGTTCCAGTTTGCTCACAGCCTCTCGGAAGGCAAATTTGTTTCGAGTCTGAGGGATGCAGTCCACGTACCCTGAGCAGTAGTCAAGCAGCTGGTGCCCAGTGTCTACCAGTTGGCTATTGGGCACAGGTTCCGTGATTGCACTGGACAGTAGGTCAGCACACTCCAGCAGGGCCTCTTTGCTGATTTTGTCAGCTGAGATTTTCTCAGCTGCCTGTTTGGTTTTCCTCAGGGCCACCTTAGTACCTGGTGTGCCATTGGCCATTTTGGCTGGCGAGATGGACGATGTGGGCAAAGGCACTTGAGGTGGAGGCATTGCTGGCCTCCCAGGTTTCCCACTACTGGGCACTGGCCCTGGAGCTGCCTTTTTTCCTGCCTCCTGGGTTTCTGGAGTGGGCTGTCCTGCAGGTGGGGCAGTCGGCTCTTCCTCGGGGTCTGAGCATGTGGATGGATGCTGCAGTAGTCTCATCACTGGTGGTGGGGGTGGGGCACACTTTGGTTTTACCCGTCGGGGTCGGTCCTTGTCTCCAGACGATGTGACCTGATGCTCAGATAAGAGCTTGAATTTATTCCCCTGAGAGTCTGTGCCAATGAGCTGCACGTCAGCTGGAGTGGGTTTCAGCGTGGGCGAGATAAGGACTGGCACTCTGTGGTTGTGGGTGGTGGGGAGGACAGCCACAGCCTTGGCTGGAGAGGACCAGCCTGGCTGTTCTCCATCCTCTGGGACTCCAGCGACTCCAAGTCGCATCCCACCATTCCTTTCCTTGCCTTTGGGGGCAGCTGCCACTCCAGCCACCCCTACCCCTGGAGAGTCACTCTCTGTGATGGCTGGATCAGGGGCTCTCAGGGGAAGAGCTGTGGCTCCTCTGGGCAATAGTTTGGCTTTTGGTCTCTCCCTGGCTGGAGCAGCACCTTCCTCAGATTTTTTTGCAAGCATGTCATTAGCCCTGTCCACATTCTCTTCTGGTTGAGAAGAGGTGGACACTGTCCTTTCCAGCTGGAGTTTGGACCTCTGGCAGTTCCTGGGAAGGGTCATTGCCATCCTATCCTGCTCTGGAAGCCCTGAGGACATGGAAGATGTAGAGTTTGACCTTGGAAAAGGCTTGGAAGTGTCATCACTGGCTGTGGGTTTACCTGCTCGTAAGCCCAGTGTCTTTTTGATTAAGCGAGGTGTAAAGAAGCCTGTGATGCCAGACCACCCACCCCCAGCAGTGCCACTGCCCCCACCCCCACCACTGTCATCATTACAGAGGTTCCTCTGTGCAAAGCTCCCCCCATAGCACTTGGCTGGCACCAGATTCGACTCTTGCTGGCCGGGAGCGAAAGAGAACCCATCAGCATGCTGTAGAGAAGCAACAGATGAGAAGTTACCCGTGAGTTCATATTTCTTGTGGGGCTGGTTCTCCATTTCTCGAAAGGAACTGCTGCGCTTAGGGGGCGTGGGGGCATTTCTCTTTTTCATGAAGGAGCTGAAGAAGCCTCCCTTCCTATCCCTGGTGAAGCATGTCTCTTTGGCATCTTCTAAGAGGCTGCTAGGTGACTTATCTCTTTGCTTTCGAGGCAGAGCTGGGGACCCACTGGAAGCCTGTGCACTTCTAATGAAGCCTGCTGAGAAATGGCCAATCAATAACAGGGAAGACAAAAGGTGAGCCAGTTAGCACAACTAAATTAGAAAAGTTCTATCTGCATTTTATTAACCATCAGATGTTGACATTATGTAAGAAATTAGCAAATTCATCATTGTTTCAGTGACTAGTATCCAATTGTGATGTGGGTATTAATTGCTATTCGTTCTGTATTCATCCCTTCTCTACAATACAGATGTACCTGTGATATCCCTTTCTGGGTAACTATCTGGGAGCCAGAGGCTGAGAAAGCAGAGCTGGTAGCAGACTGTATGTTGCATGGATAGGATGGCCCATACTGGCAACAGCCCCTAGTTCTTCAGGCACACTCTCTGCTCTGACCCTAGTTCCTTCAGGCACACTCTCTCTGCTCTGACCCTAGTTCTTCAGGCACACTCTCTCTGCTCTGACCCTAGTTCCTTCAGGCACACTCTCTCTGCTCTGACTCTAGTTCTTCAGGCACACTCTCTCTGCTCTGACTCTAGTTCCTTCAGGCACACACAATCTCTGCTCTGACCCTAGTTCTTCAGGCACACTCTCTCTGCTCTGACCCTAGTTCCTTCAGGCACACTCTCTCTGCTCTGACTCTAGTTCCTTCAGGCACACTCTCTGCTCTGACCCTAGTTCTTCAGGCACACTCTCTCTGCTCTGACTCTAGTTCCTTCAGGCACACACAATCTCTGCTCTGACCCTAGTTCCTTCAGGCACACTCTCTGCTCTGACCCTAGTTCTTCAGGCACACACTCTGTGCTCTGACCCTACCTGGTGCTGAACTGGAGGCCAGGCTCTCGGGGGCATCCAGGCTGCCATCTACGTTCTCTTTGTTGTCCCCCTGCTTCCTCAGGGTCCGAGTCTTGGAAGGAAGCAGAGGTAATCGAGGCAGGTATGGGACCACAGATGATGAGGAAGCAGCTCTCCCAAGCTCCTCAGCTACCTCTGTAAGAAAGACAAGGTCTGGTAAAAAAGACAACCTTAAGACAGAGACCAACACGTACAACTGAAAAAGAAAGCAGGAGAGCAGAATACTGAAGGCTGAGGCTGGGGGAGCCATTCAGCCCAGAAACATGAGACCAGCCTGAGAAAACGGCAAGATGTCACCTTGAAGATAAAAAAGAAAAAAAAGCATATACCAAAATCAGAGTATATAATCCTATGTGTGCACAGGAGCTTGTACATGGGGAGGACAGAGGTCAAGGCCAGGTATCTTCCCCAACTGGTTCCCACTTTATTTTTTGAGACAGGGTCTCTCCCAAGTCCAGAGCTCACTGTTTTAGCTGATCAACTTCCTATCTCCGTCTCGTACAGGAAATGTGTGTGCTGTTGTGCCCAGCTCTGCATGTGGGTGAACTACCTCCCAGCCCCACATATACTCCTACATACAACTTCTTTTATTCAACATTATTCCTACAGATTTTCATGTTATTGCACGTGGCGGGATCTCTTTCTCATTGCATAGCAGTACTCTGATGAGTGGTACCACCAAAACTCACTTAACCTCCTACTGATGGTTATTTAGGATGTTTCCAATTTTAGCTACTATGAGTATGTTGCTAGGAACAACCTGATACATATTTGTTAGTTCACAAGACCATGTACATTTAATTGATATAAACGACATGGAGTGCACATTTACTGGTTTTTTTTTTTTTTTTTTTTTTTTTTTGGTTTTTCGAGACAGGGTTTCTCTGTGGCTTTGGAGGCTGTCCTGGAACTCACTTGGTAGTCCAGGCTGGTCTCGAACTTACAGAGATCCGCCTGCCTCTGCCTCCCAAGTGCTGGGATTAAAGGCATGAGCCACCAACGCCCGGCTATTGATTTTTTTTTTTAAATCAGGTTCTGACCAATATAACAGTCATAACAATTTATACCCACATTGCCAGTGTGTAAATGTTCTGGTTACACACTTGGCATGCCTGCAAAAATTGGACACTGTCATTCTATAGTGTATGTAACTTTAATTTTGCTCACTCTGGTAGGCATGTTATGGAAATCTCATGGTTTAATCTGTACTTTCTGCTGGAGAGTGATATTGCTTATAGTTTTACATGGTTAATGGACTCAGTGGGCATTTGGAGAGCCTCACTCACTAAGTGCTGTTCAGATGCTGAATAAAAGGGACACATGTTTTAGGTTGCAGTTTTCACTAAAAAAAGTAATACAATTTATTGCATTTCATCATGCAAGTGAAACAAATCAATACACTTCCCCACACACACACACACACCAACTAATCAACCACGCAACTACAACAGGAAAAGCAAAAAACCTGATTCTTCTGAGCTGAGGATGTCACTCAGGTGGTAGAGTGCCTATCTAACATGCATGAAACCTTGGGGAAAAAACCTAATAAACAAAAACACCCACCCAAAACAAAACTGGATTATCAAAATAGTGTTCACTCTGTTGGTCACCCTTGGCTGATTTAACCAAGTCATGAGTCTCGTGACTTTTCTGTGTGTGTGTGTGTGTGACTTACTTATTAAGTTTAGAGTGTTGTGACTGCATATATGCCTGCAGGTAAGAGGAGGGCACCAGATTTCATTATGGATGATTGTGAGCTCACTATGTGGTTGCTGGGAATTGAACTCAGAACCCATTAATGCTCTTATACTCTGGGCCATCTCTCCAACCCAAAAATGTGTTGTTTGGTTTTTGAGACAGGATCTCACTATGTAGCTCTGGTTGGCCTTGAATTCACAGAGATCCACTTGCCTCTGCCTCCCAAGTGCCATGAAAGCCCAGCTGAGGTTTGTGGCTTTTAGCGTGGCAAAAAATACTCTTTATTCTTAAACAAAAATGAAACACAACCAATAGAACTGTAAAAATTTGTTACCACCCAATGCATTTTTATTGCATTTATTTGGGTGTGTGTGTGTGTGTGTGTGTGTGTGTGTATGATAACTTGAGGGAAGGATGAGGTTTTTTTTTTTTTCACTTATTTTTATTTTATGTTCATTGGTGTTTTGCCTGCATGTATGTCTGTGTGAGGGTGTTGGGTCCCTGGGACTGGAGCTACAGACAGTTGTGAGCTGTCATGTGGGTGCTGGGAATTGAACCCAGATCCTCTGGAAGAACAGTCAGTGCTCTTAGCTGCTGAGCCATCTCTCCAGCCCCGATGAAGATATTTTTATTAAAACATCAATGTTGCACTTCTGTTTCCCCTTTCTTACCTCATGTGATAAAATCACTACAGTAAGACAAAATCCAACTGTCTTAATTTCTTCTAACATTTTAAAACTTGAAATTATAAGATTAATTCTACACATTTATAAAAGGAAGGAAAAGTTTATATAAAACTTGAAGGGGTAGAGACACATAGGTTGAGAACCACTGCTCTAGAGCCAGAGTTAAAAGTATTGTGAGTCATGCCAAGCAGGTGCTGAGAAGTAAAGTCTGGTTATGGCCCTCTGTAAGTGCAGAGAGCGTCCTGACCGCTGAGAAGTAAAGTCTGGTTATGGCCCTCTGTAGGAGCAGAGAGTGTCCTGACTGCTAAGCCATCTTTCCAGCCCCTAGAATATTTGTTTTTGTTGTTGTTGTTGTTTGTTTGTTTGCTTTGCTTTTCTGAGACAGGGTATCTCTGTAGCTTTGGAGGCTGTCCCTCTAACTCACAGAAATTCATCTGCCTCTGCCTCCTGAGTGCTGCACCACATTTTTGCACTTATTTCTAATCTTCCTCATATTATGTTGAGAACTAATGAAATCATTGATTATCTTGTAGAGACTGGGAAAATTTCAAATCAAAATGTAACTTCAGTATGAAATATGATATAGAAAACCCCAGAACTCCCAGGCAGTGGTAGCATACACCTTTAATCCCAGTACTCAGGAGGCAAAGAAAAAAAAAAAAAAAAACCAAAGCAGTAACACAAAATAATAAAGGTCAAAAGTCAACTTAAAATAGTTAAAAACTGTAGGAACTGACCATTTTTGAAATGGCCATCATAGCCCTGCAACTGGCCACCAGTAGTCAACTGCCTGCCCCAAGACTTACCTTCAGAGATGCTGGAGTCATGAAACATGGTTTCAAAAGCTTGATGGGTTTCAGCAAAAGAGGGCCTGTCAGCGGGGCTCCACTTCCAGCCTGCAGCAGAAGAGAGCTTACAGCCTCCTTGATCGTCATGCCCAGCGGCACACCAGCAGTGGGGTTTACACACCATGGTGTGTGCCTATTCAAGTACAGCATGTGCACTTTGGGATGTGTGGCTACTTCTTGGTTCCAGCCTTGGAAGTTTGTGTGCCTACTCCTTGGTTCTGGTACTATTTAGCTTTGGTCCCTAATTCCCACTACTACGAAAATGAGGAAAAGTTGGGTAGAATGTTTAGAAAATGGCAAGTTTTCCTTTATTAGAAAAGTGAACTAAGGGGCTCCTGAGTTTAACAACTGGGTTCCACGTGGTGCAATGAGAGAACTTATTTACAGAAATTCTCTCTTGACTCCTACATTAATACTGCAGCACACAAATACCCATGCCCCATAAATGAATAAATGTAAATTAAAAAATAACTGGCGAGGCATGGTAGCACACACCTTTAATCCCAACACTAAGGAGGCAGAGGCAGACAGATCTCTATGAGATCAAGGCCAGTCTGCTGGACACAGTGAGTTCCAGGCCAGATGAGACACTGTCTTAAACAAACAACAAAACATAGCTAGGTTCTTAAAAAATTGAGTATAAATTCAGAAAATTAACAGAGTTCACACTTGATAAATGTTGCATGAGACACAAATACTCAATGAGAAAATACAGTAAAAAAAAAACAAAAAACAAAAATAACAGTGGGCTGGAGAGATGGCTCAGAGGTTAAGAGCACTGACTGCTCTTCCAGAGGTCCTGAGTTCAATTCCCAGCAACCACATGGTGACTCATAACTATCCAAGCAGTCTGATGCTTTCGTTCACATTCATAAGAGATTACTTTTTGGTTTTTATGTGTGTGGTAAATGCATGGGAGTGTGCACTCACTCAGATGTCCACATGTAAGGCATGTGGAAGCCAGAGAAAAACATCTTTCTCAGTAGAGAAAGTAGTCTACGCTTTACTGCCTTAATGTAGGGTCTCTTACTGAACCACAAGTTTACCACTTGAGCTAAGTATGCTGGCCGGCCAGTGAGCTCCTGGGACCTCTTGAAATCCCTCATGCTGGGGTTACAGGCATATGCAGTGGAGACAGGCTTTTTACATGGTTACTAGGGATGTGAACTCAAGTCCTCATGCTCCCAGAGCAAGTGCTCTTACACTGAGTCACCTCCTAGCCCATTGGAGGTTACTTTAGCAATCACAGTCTTTAGTAACCATTCACATCTAGCTGAAAGTAGACAACCTCTTAACATTATGCAAACTCAACTTTTCATTGTCTTATTAAAAATGCAGATGTTTTTTGAGCAATTGGCTCTATATTTGGGCCACAGACAACTATTCTTAGGATTCCAATAAGACTCAATGGTACAACATGCACTGTGCCAACTGGCCCTGTCAATGACAAGCTCTTTAACTGTTAATGAGATTCAGTCTAATAAGACTGAGATCAGAAATGGTGTGGATCCCATTAACCATCCTGCTGCTGCAGCTTTTTCAAAGTTTAACATGCACGACACTTACATGCTCTCATAAGTTCATACACTTTAGGGGGGCATCCCTCAGGCTGTTCCATTCGATATCCTTTTTCCAGTAGGTCATAGACTTGAGACAGGTCAATACCTGGATATGGCGACATCCCATATGTAGCAATTTCCCACAACAGTACTCCAAAAGCTGTGTAAAGGGATTAAAGAATATATTTCTATTGACACAATTCCAAATTTCTATACTAATTTGGTCTGAGTGTCTGTCTCTAGTTACTCATTCTACTTCTCAGGGCAGTAGAAATTAGATCCAGGACAAGGACAAACTCTAGATGAAACATTATCAGACCTTCCTTATAGAGAGTGTTCCTATGACAATTCTGGAAATGAGCAGAACTCACACAAAAAGCAGGAAGCTTGAGAGAGGAAGGACTGTTAGAGCTCCAGTGCAGTGTGAGGTTTAGACTGGACTCCTTTTCAAGGCATAGGTCTTTTTTGTTTGTTCTCCTAAAGAGAGGCTCTTACATAGTCCAGGCTAGCCTAAAACTTACTATATATAGCCCAGGCTGACCTGTACTCCACCTTTGTGCTCCCTACTCCTTCAGTCTCCTGAGTGCTGAGATCAGAGCCTATACTACCAAGCCAAGCTACTTAGCTGTTGTTCACGCAGAGTCTCATCAGATTGTCCAGGCAGGGCTCAGAGGATCTGAGCATCTGAGGATCCAGGGCACTGGAGTACAAGGCATCTGCTACCGTGCCCACTGAACATTTACAGGATTTTCATGCTGGGGAATGGCCCAGGGTCTTGGACCAAACTAGACAAGTACTCTACCACTAAACTATATCCCATCCCTATATACCTCAAGCTGGCTTTCAATTTTCTAAGTAAGTAGCTCAGGCTGGCCTCACTCCAGACTCCCAGATTAAAAGCACTAACTGATCTTACAGAGGTCCTGAGTTCAATTCCCAGCAACCACATGGTGGTTCATGACCATCTGTACTAAGATCTGGTGTCCTCTTCTGGTCTGCAGGCATATACGCAAGCAGAACACTGCATACTAATAAATAAATCTTAAGGGGGGGAAGGGCTCTGAAGAACTAAGGGAATTAAGTGGGCAAGGTGACCTATGCCTATGGTCCTCACTCAAGAAGGCAAGGCTGAAGAACTGCCAAGTTTTAGCCTAGACTATAGTGACTATCAGGTCGGCCATGGCTAATGCTAAATAAATAAATAAATAAATAAATAAATAAATAAATAAGGCACATGTAAGAAGTTGTATCAGCCTTACCCCAGACGTCAGACTTAATTGAAAAGGTATTGTAGGCCAGACTCTCAGGCGCTGTCCATTTAATAGGAAATTTGGCTCCAGCATGAGCAGTGTAGGTGTCTCCAGTCATCAGTCTACTTAAACCAAAGTCGGCCACTTTTACTACATGGTTTTCTCCCACTAGGCAGTTCCGCGCAGCAAGATCTCTATGTGAAAGAGAACCATGCATTAGTCCAGTTGACGGCGAGAAAGACATGTGTGAGCACTCTAGTCTTGGCTCTTCATGCTACAGGCAGAGTTGATAAGGAAATACTAGCTAACACTAATACTTCATGATAAACACCAACAAAAACTCGAAAATTTCTACCATTTGTTCAGAATAAAGGTGTTGGACCCTCCCTGAAGACTTTAAAACACTTTCCTAAGACAGAATGGTGCTTCAAAACTGTGGCCACTAGGTGGAGGAAAAGGATCTTGGATGTAGTGTTAGGCAAACAGCCTTCTGGTTTGAGACTGTAACAGAGAATGACTTTCTGTGTGAAATGTTCTGTAAACTATCCCCTTCCCACTCATGCCAAGCAAGACAGCTTTGTGGTTAGTCACATGCAATAGGCAGTTTTACACACCTATGGATGAAATTCTTCTTCTCCAAATACTCCATGGCAGAAGAGATCTGAGTCGCCATGTAAAGTAGAACAACTGCTGTCACCTCCTCACGGTTGCATTCCCGGAGATAATCAAGCAGATTCCCATATGGCATGTATTCAGTCACAATGTAGAATGGCGGCTCCAGGGTACACACACCTGACCAAGAACAATTTGACAATCTTCACCACATTCTATGAAATAAATACAACAAAAACTTACAAGCAGGTTGGTAAGAGTCTGCTTCGCCATGCTGTCCTCTGCAGCTTCACAGACCTTTCCAGTCTGCCTGTGAAGTAAAAGCAGTTTCTTTTTTTGGGGGGGGGGGAGGGTTCCAAGACAGGGTTTCTCTGTAGCTTTGTAGAACAGGTTGGCCTCGAACTCAGAGATTCACCAAGTGCTGGGATTAAAGGCATGCACCACCACGCCCAGTAGGTGGATCTCTGTGAGTTTAAGGCTAGTCTGGTCTACAGAGTAAGTTCCAGGACATCCAGAGCAACACAGAGAAACCCTGTCTTGCCAAAAACCAAGTAGGCCCAATTTTTAAAATGGAAACTATTTAATCAAAGGCCCCTTTGTAGCACCAACAGATAAAACTAACCCACTGCAGCATATTCATTTTCTGCTTGAATAAACTGATCAGCCACAAGTTTTAATTCACTTTTTTCAGTGGTTCTTTGCTTAAAAGTCTCTTAATATTTCATGACAATTTTTAATGCCATCTTGAATGCTTGTGAACTCTGAACCTGGGAAAACCACAAACCGGACAGCGTACACATTGCAATCAGTCTGTGGCTGGAGCTAGGACTAGGCAGTTACAGGCACTGGCTGCTCTTCCAGAGGACCAGGGTTTGATTCCTAGCATCCACATGGCAAATTACAACCATCTGTAACTCTAATTCCAGGGGATCCAATGCCCTCCTCTTGCCTCCAAGGGCACTTGGCACATAGGTGGGACACAGACACACATGTAGGCAGAACACCCAAACACATTAAATTTTAAAGGGGCTGGAGAGTTGGTTCAGTGGTTAAGAGCACTGGCTGTTCTTCCAGAGGACCTAGATTTGATTCCCAGAACCCACAGGGTGGTTTACAGCTACCTACACCTCCAGTTTCAGGAGATCCAATGTCCTATTCTGGCTTCCTTGGGCACTGCAGACAAATACATACAGGAAAACATGCATACATATAAAATAAAACAGTTTATTAAATAAATGAGAAGGGATGTGTGTGCATTCGCATCATTATGTGTGTTTGCAGTATTAAGCCTAGTGCTTGGCGCTTCCTGGCTCTCCCCCAGCTCATGGTATCTTTTAATACAATCAATGCACGTCTAGCCATCACGGTGCTAAAACAAAACAGAACAATCTGCAAAAACACGATCTGAAAACAACAAAGTGCTGGGGTGGGAGTGTGGGCCTGAGGAATCTGTGATTTGGGTTCTTACCTAACAGTTGTACTAGATTAGGATGCTTGATTTCCTTCATCACGGCAGCTTCTTTCAGGAACTCTTCTACCTCCATGGTATCTTCCTGTTAAAGGCAGAAAGTAGATAAGAAAAACAAAAAGGAGGCCAAATCTCCCTCCTATCCATTTAAGTCAACTCACAAGCCTACTTCAGTATAAAACCAAAAGGGCCTGAGAGATGGTTCAGCAGTTAAGAGCACTTGTTGCTCTTGCAGAAGACCTGAGTTTGGTCCCCAGCACCCACATGGTAGTTCATAACCATTCATAGTTTCAGGGACTCTGATGCTCTCCTCTGGGCTCCCTGGGCACTGTACCCATGTGGTGAACTAAAAATGTAGGCAAAACACTCATACACATAAAATAAATTTTTTTAAGCAAAAGGGATTATTATTTGAGTATTTCAGCATATTACCTTAAGGAATTTTACTACAATTTATTGTGCTCTACAGAGGAACAACTAAGAATACTGCCCTTGAATTTATCCAGTGTCAGACATTTGAGCAAAAATAAAAAGGGTAAGCAAAATTCAACACCCTCATTTTACAACTCACAACAGAGGGGCTGAGACTGATTTGATCCTGTGTGTTTGTTGCTTTTTAAAGGTTTACATGAGCACTCTGTCTTCATGCACACCAGAAGAGGGCACCAAATCTCATTACAGATGACTGTGAGCCACCATGTAGTTGCTGGGAACTGAACTCAGGACCTCTGGAAGAGCAGCCAGCGCTCTTAACCATCGAGCCACCTCTCCAGCCCCAATCCTGTGTTTCTTAAGGAACAACGCATATGTACAAGGCCTCACTGCTTCCTTCACATTCAGAATATGCTTTGTAAACAGGGCCGACTACACCATGAGAGCAGCTCACATGAATGACTGACAACTATGGTTTTATACCAGGACGCTTAAAGAGACAGTAGGATCAGGAAAAGAACTTTTATGTATTTAAAAACAAGAAGTGATCTAGCCGGGTATAGTAGTGTATACCTGTAAGCTCAGCACTTGGAGGCTGAGGCAGGAGGATCATGACTTTGAAGGTCAACCTAGACTACTTAGTGACACCCTGTCATTTTTACTTTAACTAAAAAGGGTGTCTCTAACTGCAAGGAGGCAGAAGGGAGAAACAAAAGGCTGGGGAACAGAGACCAAAATAGGGAGCTTGTGATTCGTAGACTGCCTGGAGCAGTCTGTTCAGCAGGGGGGTTGTTCTTGGCAGAACTTATAATTTGCTTCTATATCCCCACTTCGATCTATACCAGCAGCCTCCAGAGATGAGCCTTTCCCAGAGGCACGTGGGTTGTACTGCAGTGAACAATCTGCCCCTGCACTGTCAGCAACAGCACTAGGGTTAATCACCACAATTTGCTGAAGTGTTTGGCACCAGTGGGTGGAGAGTGTTCCAAAGTTGAAGAAGGGCACACGGATCTTTCCAAGTGACTCAGTACACACACAAACATGCCTGGGAACTTAGCTCTTAGCAACCCACCTTCAGTGTTTTCACAGCAACCGTAAGGCTGTATTTCTTCCAGACGCCAACATAAACCTCTCCATACTGACCACCCCCAAGTTTGTGCTTCATGGTAATATCTGTTCGCTCCATTTCCCATTTGTCATGGATGGGGGACACACCATAGACGGTTGGCTTATTACACTTGGGTGCTGGGTAGTGCAGTGTGGTCACTAGCCCATCAGCGACTGTAGAGTGGTGGTGAACAAGCTCTGCCAAGGTGCTAAAACGGCTCTCAGCAGTCACGTACACCTGGTGAGAGAGGAGACTCAGCACCCCAGGAAAGAAGGGATCACGTTTAAAAGCACACATTTCACCGACCTAGAGATATGAAGACAGGAGGACTTTTGTTTGTTTTCAGAGACAGGGTCTCAACTATGTAGCCCTGGTTGTCCTTGAACTCACAGAGATCTTCCTGCCTCTGTCTCCAGAGAGCTCAAATTAAGGGTGTGTACCACTGTGCCTGACCTGGGTTTTTTTGTTTGTTTGTTTTTGTTGTTGCCTTGTTTTGAGACAGGGTCTCCATTATATAGTCCTGGCTGGCCTTGGTTTAGGATGCTTCTACTTCCCCCTATAAGGCACAGGGACTACAGGTGGTGTATGTTAGTGCTACTAGTGCTCCAGGAGGTCACCGTAATTAAAGCGGAGTGAGTGTTAATGATCAGGGCAAGGGAGATAGCTTAATCTCAATTTAAGCATCCTTCCTCTTCTTTCTAAATTAGCCTTGAAGGAGAACGTCCAACACAGCTGCACGGACATCAGGTAAACTAGGCCTCAGAATATTTCTAAGCAGCAAGACTACAGAATGTGTAATCTAGCACTCAGAAGACTCTGGAGGAGGAACACCAGGAGTTCCAGGTCAGCCTGTGCTAAAGTAAGACACTGCCACAATAGAGATTGTACCACCCAAACCTGAGAGAAGCGATTAAAACAGACAATCAGAATCTGCCTCCTAAACTAGTCAAGTAGGATTTATAATCCACAGGGAACATAAACTGACAGCCACTGATTTAGATACTGGGAGGCTATATGGGTATAATTTTTATTTAATCATATAATTAATCATAAATTTTATTTTTACAACCTCTTTTAAATGTCTAGGCCATTAAAAAAAGAGATAAAATTGGATTTTAGAGTTATTTTAATTTGTGCTAATTAGTAAGAAGTATAAAATGAAATAGTCTTAGGCTTTATCTTTCTTCTTTTTTGGTTTCTTTATGTAGCACTGGCTGTTCTAGAACTCGCTCTGTAGACCAGGTTGGCCTTGAACTCACAGAGATCTACCTCCCTCTGCCTTCCAAGTGCTGGGATTAGGATATGTGCCATCATGTTAAAACAAACAATAAACCACTGTTTAAAACAAATAAAAAGCTATTTGATTGCATATAAAATGTACATAATTCGTAAGTGGAGATCTAGTGGTCTTTCACAAAATCAACCAAGAGCACCGTGACGTCACTAGCACCCGGAACCCTTGCCAGCGAGCTGTTCACTCCTGCAAAAGTTTCCACTATGTACACTTACAGCATGGAGGACTAGCTCTGTCTGAACTGCACATATGGGAAATAATATAGTATGTGTTTAGTGCCTGTTTTCTGTCAGTTCTCTTTATTAAACTATTATTCACATGCTGTAAAATTCAGTATTTTACAGATTTCCATCCCACAGCTTTCAGTACATTTACAAGACTCGCTGATCAACCACCACTATCCAACTCTATGGAAGCACTTTTATCATTCCCTACAGAAAACCCATAGCTATGAGCGATCATTCTCACACTCCTCCACACAATCCACTGGCAAACAGTACTCTGTCAATCAACTTTAAGTGTATGAAACTCATCTATCAAAGAGGCCAGAAAAATTCTCTGAAAAGGGATGGAAAACAGGTTTCTTAGGCTTGGGGCTATACAGGGTCTCTGAAGCAACTACTCAGGTTTGCTTAGAAATAGAAAGTAGCTTCAGATACTACAGAAACAAACACGGTGATATGGTAGCAGCAGGCCACAGTTTCCTATGGACCTGTGTACAGAACATCATGTTAATTTCTGTTTCTGTAGGAGATTCTATTTTAACAATATACCACAATTCATTAATCAATTACTTTGCTTGGGACTTCCAGTTTGGTGTTATCAAACACTGTGGCTGTGAGTCAACGCTCTTGAATGCGTCTGGCACATATGTGCGACCATTTCTGCTGTGCTTGTGTTAGGGGATAGATGTTGAAGGGCTGGCTGATCTGCAGCTGGGGAGTCCAATCAGTGAGCTTCTCTCTGCTCCCTTTTTGGTAGCTAGGAGGTGAACAGCCGCTGGAAACAGACTCAACTTTTTTAAACCATGAGTCAAAATAAATGTTTGTTAACTGTTTCTCTCTGGTATTTGTCAAAGAGGCAAACAACTAATAACTGTTGGATCTCTTGTGACATTACAAACTGATTCCATTCAATTGGGCCACAGAAAATACTACGCTTGTATAATGGTAAAAAAAGAGAAAGAAAACTAGTATCAGCTATTAAACTTTACAAAAATTGCTTCATTTAATCCTTACAATAACCCTACAAAACAGGGTTTAATAACAGACAAGGAGGAGACAGAAGTGACAGCTTAGAGGTCAAAGTGCATACCACTCTCGAAGAGGACTGAAGTTCAGTCTCCAGCACCCATGCCTCTTCTGAAGTCCCATTCTGGCCTGTATGGGCACTGCACCCACATGTACAAACTCATTTATACTTGAACATACAACACATTATGAGTCATTAAAAAAACTCAAAAGTAACTGAAATAATAATAGTAGACAAAGGAAAGCAGTGTGGTGCACACCCATAATCCCAGCACTCTGAAGACCGAGCAGGATGGCTACTACAAGCTCAAATTCAGCATGGTCCATATGGTGGTCCACAAAGAGACCCTGTCTAAATCAACATCACCACAACACCAGGCAAACTGAAACTTAGGTAAAGTCTCAAAGTCAATAAATAGTGCACTTACAAGGCAAAGCAGTTTTGCTTGCTCAAGACCCATGCTTCCCTGCTACTGCGTATGTCATACAGAGGGAGAAAAGGGGTTCAACCTAAAGCAACCAATCAATAGAATAATGTAAGTTCAGGCCACAAAACTGATGTAAATTCGGGCCTTACGATTAATGTTCCATTTCTGTTTCAAAATTTAATTACTATTACTTTATTATTTCATGTGTATGAGTGTTTTGTCCATGTCTGTGCACCACATGTATACCTGGTGCCCATGGAGGCCAGAAGAAGACATTGGCTCTCTCAGAACTGGGGTTATATATAGTGAATTACCATATAGGTGCTGTGAATTGAACCTAGGTTCTCTGCAAGAGTAACCAGCGCTCATAGCACCAGAGCCATCCCTCCAGTCCTATACAATTCCAGTCTAACACATTCGCACTACTGAGATCAAGCTTCCCAACATACAAGTTTCATTTTTATTTATTTATTTATTTATTTATTTATTTATTTATTTATTGGTTTTACAAGACAGGGTTTCTCTGTATTGTTTTGGAGGCTGTCGGTCCAGCCCGGCCTCGAACTCTCAGAGATCCGCCTGCCTCTGCCTCCCGAGTGCTGGGATTAAAGGCGTGCGCCACCATCGCTCAACACCAACATACAAGTTTCTAAGGGGCTGAGTGATCTACTCATATTAACACATACTAATGAGAAACACCGGTTTCCAAACTCTGTGTTCTTACTCTGTGAACTCCTAATTTAATGGAGATTAGAGTTGATTTATAACTTCTGTTTCTACATACTTGGTGTATTTGTGTTTATGATTAAAATAACTAACATGTATACATCACTTCATTCCTCACTTTCAAATATGGCTCACCTTTAAATTATTAATTTTCTATAATTTCAACCTTATTGTCAAGTTGTTTTGAAAAAAGGAAGCTCTTACATGCCAAATAAATACTTTGTTTTCCATCAGACATAAAAATGATGTTCTACTTTAACCCTGTTCCATACATTTCTACATGCGCAGGTGGCTGCTGACAGGTCTTACCTTGCTGTCTGTGGTGGTATTGATCCTGTAGTGGTACACACGTCCCTCATACCTGAGTGAGATGGACAGCTGCCCCGGGCTGCTCTCACTCTCTCGAACCAGGAAACTGCCATTGATGAGGCTACTGAGGAGATACTCCGCTGCACTGCGGGACACAGGTCCATGGTACCAGGAATGCTTCTCCAGGCTGTTCACTGGCGTGATGTAGTTACTTGGCACCCAACCCTGTCCATTCTTGGAGCGAACTTCACTCCACTCTCCATTCTGGTTGTAACCAAGGACTCGCAGTTTTTCACCTAGCCATGAAGACATCACAGAAAGAAAGGGAAAACGTTAAGATTCTTTAAGACTGAGCAGTGTAGTATCAAACTTCAACCTCACTGAAAAATGAACCAAGAACTTTGGTATTTGCTTATCAACATCCTGATTAGTCTCCACTTTGTAGCTTACATCACAGGAGCATAACAAGAAATGGTTTCTGACAGTATAGGTTTTTAAAGGACAATATGCCACTTCAAATGTCTTTCTAGAAACTATGTATTGTACAAAGTTAGTATAGAAAGTTTACTCAAATGGTTAGAAAATGAGTGTGTGTGAAAGTATGTGAGAATGTGTGAGAGAGTGTGTGTGTGTGTGTCCAGAAAGGAGTGTTGGGTTCCCTGGGACTGGAGTGACAGGTAACTGTGAGTTATCCAATATTGACATTAAGAACTGAACTTTGAATCTCTGAAGGAGCAGGAAGCACTCTTAACTGCTGAACCACCCTACCAAGCCCACACACCTACCCCTTCTTTTAAGACAGTTTCATGTAGCCTAAACTGGCTGACCTTGGACTCATGACCCTTCTTCAGTCTCCTGAATCCTTGATTATAGACATATACTAACACATGGATAGTACTCACTCTTCAAAAGGTAAATACAATTTACTTTCACTTTTAAGATATGACACATACATACATACATACATACATACATACATACATACATACAGTGTTAATGATAACAAAAGCTTAGGAACAAGACATTTGAAATGCAAAGTTACTTAAATTTCAGATGATACCAAAGTAAGCAAGCCATCAACGTAAGCAAACACCTCCTGCCCCAACAACCCCGAGACTCCAGACCCAACAAAGAGTTTTCAGCACAAAAACTGTTTAGAGGATGGGATGGGTAGTGAAGACTCTCAAAGCACAAGTGTTTCCAGAACTCAGGGTTTCAAAGTTCCTTCCTGTTTCCCATAAAGAATGAATCACTCTTTCCCATTCCTCTAAAATTAGCCTGTGGAAACAGAAAATAACTGGAAAGTCGGAACCCCAAATCCAAATCATTTGGTGAATCTTGGTATCAGCTTCACTCTCTTATGTTGCTATTAAAATGGAAAACATCTGGTTTAGACTTCAATACACACTTTGCCCCATACTTGCAGCATAGACCAGAAGCTTCTTTGTCAAAACAAAGTAACATAGCGATGGTAACACAAATGTTCATCTAAGAACTCTGCAGTGCTTGAGGCTCTCATTTCCAAGAGATACAAGCTTTTCTATACAGTTCACACTTGCTATCTTTGTGCCAGAGAGCAGAAAGAAGCCAATCAATTATAGTACAGGGCCTAGAAGATACCAGACCAAAGCTGTGAGGGAAAATTCAGACGATTGCAGTAGCCATCTATCTTTCTCCTGTGGCTTACACTATATGTTTATCATAATGTGGGCTTTCTATTCTCACCTACTATTTCACTTGAGACACCTGGATATGAGAGAAAGCACTCAGAGGTCTGTGCAGGAACTCATATATGCACATATTACACACTGTATGCAGATAATAAGACATGAGTGGCTGGTATGGTGTCAGATATCCACAAATGCACAGTGGCTACCTGTGTACAAAAGAAAAGAATTTGCTAGGAAAACTTAAGAGAGTGTGTGTTTGTATGTGTGTGTTTACACTGCTGCTTCCTTAAACACAAAAATAAAACTGCTTAATATAGACCATCAAAATCAGGATAAAGTAAAAAATGGGGGTTGCCCCCCCCTTTAGTTGGAATTTTCTACTCTGGAATTATTGACTACAATGGAAACAGACAGGGAAGCAGACATTGATCCTGACAGTACAGGAATCTTAGAAAGAACTTTCTTTTTATTTTTGGTATGGGAAGGGTCTCACTCTGTCATCCAGGGGGATAGATAGCATCAGTTCCCCGAGTTCAAGCCATCCTGCCTCCTGTTTACAGATATGCAATACTGTGTTTTCTGCAAAACTTTTATTTAAAGACAGAGTCTCAACTCTGTAGCCCACTCTGGCCAACAATGTTTTTGGCTTCAGTATTTCAAAATGCTGGAATTTCAGCCAGGCAGTGGTGGCGCACACCTTTGATCCCAGCACTCAGGAGGCAGAGGCAAGCAGATCTCTGTGAATTTGAGGCTAGCTAGTCTAAAGTTCCAAAACAGGCTCCAAAGCTACAGAGAGAAACCCTGCCTCAATAAACAAAAAACAAAAACAAAAACAAAAAAAAAACAGCTGAAATTTCAAGCAAAAGACACATATTCAACACAAAACATTTATTTTATTTGATGTGTATATGTATGTTTTGTCTGTGTGTATCTATGTGTACCATGTGTAGCAGATTTTGTGTGATCGACTGGGTGCAGGAAGTGAGCCAGGGTTCTCTGCAGAATCAACAAGCACTAGTAACCACTGAGCCACATTTTCAACCCCTAACTGTTCTTTAATTCAAGTCAACCATCACTTTCAAAACAGTAGTTAACAATAAGTATTATTTTCTCCTTAAAGGATAGTTCCTTTTCCTTAAAACTATACAAAGGCAGACATGATGTCATATACTTCTAATTCTAACACTTGGACTGTAAAGACAGGAAGATTAGGTGTTCAAGGCTAGCCAGGCTTTGTGTCAAGATCAAGCCTAGGCTATAGGAGATCCTGCCTCATTAATATAATAACACAACAATGAGGCTTTAGCATGACATCTTTTCATTAGTAAGAAACTGATATAAAAATCAATCTATAGTTTTTAAAGGAAAACCATTGTCAATCATGAGATAAAGGGGCCAGTCCTTGAGCAGTATACTAACGGCTGCTATAACTAGTAACTGAGAAATTAATAAGACTTTAGTCAATGTTTCCATGGTGAACTATCCTAGAAAACCCAGAGGATAAAACTTAACCTAGTCAATAATGTTCTTAATCACTGCTTTGCAAACAGGGACACAGCAAACAGTGCCATGTATAGAACTACCACACAACAGAACATGACTCGGAAGTCCTTTGTTTTAGCCTCAAACTTTATGTAAAAATAACCGTAACCTCCACATGCATACCTATTCCAACATCTGCCGCCAATAAACCAAAGTCTCATGCAACCAGAGGAGGGCCTGCAGTTTTACTTCCCCTATGCCTTTTAAGAGTGTATGCATGCACACTGTCTGAACATACCTGTACCCCAGTCTGAGAAACTTGGTTTGGAGGCTGGAGAGGTGGCTCATCACTTAACAGCACTGGCTGCTCTTCCAGAGGACCTAAGCTAAATTCCCAGCACCCGCATGGTGTTTCACAACCATCTGTAACTCCAGTTCCATGAGATGCAACCATTCTTGTGACTTTCATGGAATACCAAACACACTCGTGGTATACATGCATAAAGTCAGGCAAAAGGCATAGATAAATACAGGCAAAAAAACTTTTTTAAGAACTCAGTTTTAAGGAACTTTTAGTGAACTTGATGGCACTTAAAAATTGTTAAGTTGAATCTAGGGTTGTAGCTCTTCAGCAGAGTATGTGCCTACCTTGCATGGTGTTCCAAAGTTAATGAATATTTATAAAAATTTTATACAGAAATATTTCCTCATAGTCAGGGAAGGCCTGATGGTCTTAGTATCATCATTTCCACTACATGTTTCATTCTGAACCTTATAAATCAAAGGTATCTGTCTGAGAAATAACCACTGGTTATAAATTCATTTAAATATTATTTTGAAATGCATTTCCTCACAGTGGGATGCTTCAGTCTCATAACCCCTGCAAAACAAACAAAAACCCCACAAAACCAAAACAAACAAACAAAACAAAAACAAAAGCCCAGTGCAGGCAGACTAGCCTAGTCTAATCCATGTGCTTTTGAAAAGATGAGAATGTCCTCGCTCTTATTCTCTCATTCAAGTTCCACTATTTTCATTGGTGTTCATAAAATAATGAGAGATTTTATCTGGTCATGTTCTTAGCTATTTCCTTTCATAAGAACTGGCACTCTCTAAAGATACTGCAGCAGGAGAGAGACCCTTCCTAACTGCTCTTTCACCAGCCCATAGAAACAGCTGGCTGCCTAGGCCAGTGCAACTGTGAGCTGGACAAGACAATAACCATGCATCTCATATAAGCACTTTCTCACCACACAAAGTCTTACTCCAAAAAGTGAAAATGTTGCTAAACTAAACAGCAGTGCTGCTAAGTGAGGCCGGCTGACATTCTGGATGCAAGTTCCTGACCTCACTTGTGGACTCTGTCTTCAGAGGCAGTTCCTGACCTCACTTGTGGACTCTGTCTTCAGAGGCAGTTCCTGACCTCACTTGTGGACTCTAGCTGTCTTCAGAGGCAGTTCTGCACTGCATCTTGTCTTGGTCACAATTCAGTGTCAACACAAGGATGCTAATGTGTTTTAGAGTACAAAGTTCTAACAATATGGACTTTTTCTTGAGGTGTTTTAACTCTTCTATTCTTGGTAAACCCTGAAAATAGAGCTGGTTGCTTTTGAGGCAGCAGTCCAGAAACAGGTAAAAGAGACGGGAGCAGAACTGTGCCTGGTCACGAATCATCTGACCAGTGGCAAGAAGGCAGCACAGGCTCTTCATTCCTTAGCCAGAGAAAACCAGGAAGCAGAATTTAGACAAGTCTCACCTTTAGTGATACTGAGTGTGTTATCACCACTTGCCACAAAGTCATAAAGTGCGACAAAGAGATTAGGGTCGCTCTCAGTGGCTCCCAACAAGTTCTCCTTGGAGCTCCACCTGATGGCTTCATTGAGTGCCTGAGATTCAGTGTCACAGCCATAGGGTCGGTGCAAAACTTCTGAAAGACACAAAAAGGGAAAGAAGTCCAGTGAGTGAAACAGCTAAGCGCTCATCTATCTGAGCTGCCGGCTCATTCGGAGAACTGTTTAGAATTACAAAGACTAAGTCAAGAGTTGGCTCCAGGTCTCCTCCATTGCAAAGTTCACTGAGCTACATGACACAATCTCAAAAAACAACACACAAAAGAGAGTGAGCAAAGGTACTCTATTTCCCTGGCTTACGGCAGCAACATGAGAATTTAGTTCTGAGTTATATGCAGTCACCTAAATTAGGTCTAAATGAATAGCAAAGGTGCAAACTTACAAACAAGTGCTTGCTAGCTTTGAAAAGCATGTGTGACAGACACTTGGCTATGGTAATGACTTGGAGCTTTTTAGAGGTGGGGTTGAGTCAGGGTCTTAAATGGCCACACTGGCCTCAATCTCAAACTTGCTATGAAGTGGAGGGTGACCTTGAACTCCTGATCCTTCTTCAACTCCATACAAAAGTGCTAGGATTACAGGAGTCTCCTTCACATCCAGCTACTGTGGTGTCCTCACACCCAGCTAGAAATATGAATGGTAACATTAAACCCTTCTAAACTTTATGCCTTCCTATAAAAGAAACTGTAAGGAAAGTTTCTAAATACAAATAACAAATACAGATACAGTTCTTTCAGCAAGATAAATGCTGACATACTCTGCTAAAGAAAAACACAATTAGCTGGGCGTTGGTGGCTCACACCTTTAATTCAGCACTCGGGAGGCAGAGGCAGGCAGATCTCTGAGTTTGAGGCCAGCCTGGTCTACAGAGCGAGTTCCAGGACAGCCTCCAAAGCAATACAGAGAAACCCTGTCTCGAAAAAACAGAGAGAGAGAGAGAGAGAGAGAGAGAGAGAGAGAGAGAGAGAGAGAGAGAGAGAGAGAGAGAGAGAGAGAAGAGACAGAGACAGAGACAGAGACAGAGACAGACAGAGACAGACAGAGACAGAGACACAGAGACAGAGACAGAGACACAGAGAGAGAGAATTGAATCAGGCACTGTAGCTTACACCTGTAATCCACTGCTCAGGAGGCATCTGTGGCCAGCCTAGACTACAGAGTGGGACTTAACATCTCAAAAACAGTAAAGAAAGGAAACACATTTTGATTTAATATAAAATACTGTTAGTATCTAACGCATGTTTTTTATGTCATAATAGCTTACAATTATTCATTGTTTTAATTTTTTAAACCATGATCTCTTTTCCTGAGCAGTAGATTTTTATAAATTATTAGTAACTTAATCAAGGCTCTAGAAAATACCACCAATGTACTTTTTTTTTTTTTTTTTTTTTGGTTTTTCGAGACAGGGTTTCTCTGTATTGTTTTGGAGCCTGTCCTGGAACTCACTCGGTAGACCAGGCTGGTCTCAAACTCACCAATGTACTTTTGAGTTTCAATTATGCACACCAGCTAAGGTCTTGTACGGTCTATTTCTTCTCAAGGTTTTATTGTTTCTGAATCTATCCCTATATCACATTTGTTGAAAACTACCTGATTCTCATACCCTAATTTGGTTATACAAAAACAAAACAAAAAATCCAAACCACTATTCTTCCAATAGCAATTTTCTTGATTCAAGGGACTGTGCTAAGTGGCTGTTTGTCAAGGCAAATGATCTGTCTATGTCCTATAACATGTTTCTCTTATGTCTCTTTCTTAGGGTTTTTTGTTTTTTTATTCAAAATTGGTTTAGCCATTTTGGGGGGGGTGGGGAGCTTTGGATCTGTGGTTTCATATTGTTTCAAGTCATTCCCTCTTCTCCATCTCTCCTTCAACACCTTTGTTCCGATCCCCAACAGATCTCACCTGGACTACTGCCTCCAGTCTTGTCTCCCTCAAATCCATCCTCCACACAGCTGGCAAAGTGATCTATTTAAGACAAAAATTGGACCATATCACTCTTAAGCCCCTTTGAGAGTTCATTGTCAAAATGGAGTCTCCTCATTCCTGGCTTTCAAGCTCTTTCATGAATAAGGTGACCGGACCTTCTCTGCTTCACCTCTACCCACACCACACCTGACACTGCAGGCTTTACCGGTGCTGCCTGCCACACCCGGGCTTTGTTTATGCAATCCATTGCACCTCTACTGGCTTTCCCCACTATTCTTTGTGTGCATGTGCATAGCAGGTACACATCTGTGCACATGGGAGCTAGAGAACCACCTCTCTGTTATTCCTCGGGAACCATCCACTTTTTAGAATAGGGTCTCAATGGCCTACGGCTCATCAAGCCGGTTAGTCAGGCTGGCTCCCCAGCACTGGAATTACAAGTGTGTTACCATGATCAGCTTTTTAAAAACATGGGTTCTGGGAATCAAATCCAGGTTCCCATGCTTGAAGGCAAGTACTTTACTGAACGAGCTATCTCCCCACCCCCTCCTACTTTTCTCTTGAGTGCAGACTCTTCACTCAGTTCCCCTGTGACTGGTCTCCCTGAGAAACAACACAGGCCATTTATTTGCTCTGTGTGCTCCTGGAAGTTTAGCACATCAATCCCCCCCACCTCTAGGTTTCTTTCCCAACCTCACAATGTATTTCTTATGGATAACAATCACACACACACACACACACACACGCACGCACGCACGCACGCACGCACGCACGCACGCACGCACGCACGCACGCACGCACGCACGCACGCACGCGCGCCAAGGTTCCATAATCTGTACTCAATAGTTGTTAGTTATATGATACCCAACTTACACAAAAACATTAGTGACAGGACACAATGAAATGGTGTTTTGTTTTTTGTTTTTGTTTTTTTTTTTTTTCAAGTCAGGGTTTCTCTGAGGCTTTGGAGGCTGTCCTGGACCTAGCTCTTGTAGACCAAGCTGGTCTTGAACTCACAGAGATCCACCTGACTCTGCCTCCTGAGTGCTGGGATTAAAGGCGTATGCCATCACCGCCTGGCTAACAAAATGTATCTTAATCTTAAAATACACTAACCAGATGAGTGTAGTGAGCTTAATCTCAGCACTTGGGAGGCAGAAGCAGGCAGATCTCTGTGAATTTAAGGTTCCAGGCTATTCAGAGCTACAGTACTTACATAGTGAAACCCCTACTTAAAAACAAACAAAACAGCCCAAACTAAACAAAGCTACCCATTAAGCAACATCTAGAACCTGATTTTCTGTAGTGTTCAGAAGATGCTAAAACCAATGTAAACACAATGAAGACAAAAGTAGGAACTAGCACACATCTGCCTTATTTTGGAAACCCCAGCATATTCAAAGTTAAGATCCACAAAGCTAATTTGAGTAAACATCCAACTAGTGCAGGGTTTCCCACGACGAAATCATCAATGACACTGCCTGAATTTACCAACCAAAGCTGCTCTCCATGTACCCACTTCCAATCTGCTTCTCATGCCAGAATTCTCCACCTCACTCAATGGTAATTCTCGGGTGCTTCAGCCACAAACTCTGATTGCTCATGTCTCTCTGTTCTTACTCTCACAGAACACCTTTGAGTCCAGAGAGATGGCTCAGTGGTAACATTGCCTGATGCCAAGCTTGACTACCCTGGTCCCATGCCCCGAAACCACATGGTAGAATAAGAGAACCTACTCTTGAAGCTATCCCTCTGACCGTCATATGTGAATGTGTACATGTGCCGTGCACACACATACTTGTTTCTTTTAAAGCTTAAAAAAAAAAAGGCACCTTACTGCTCTATGTTTAAAATTTTTTCACTGGTCCCAATTTTAAAGTAAAAAAATCAAATCATTAAAGGGCCTTTCAGATCCCTTCACAGTTTAATTTGCCCAATCCATCTTCCTTCTTTTTTTAAAGATAGGGTATCACTATGCAGCCCTGACTGGTCTTAAACTCACAAAGGTCCACTTCCTCCTCCTTCTCTACTGCTGGGATTAAAGGTGTGCACCATCACACAAAGTTGTTGTTTTTTTTTAAAGATTTTAAAAAATGTGTGTGTATGTGTCTATACGTCTTCCATGGGGATAAGAAGAGGGTATAAGACCCATTGGAGCTGGAGCTGAACCCAGTCCTTAGCTAGCATAGGGAGTGCTCTTAGTCACTGAGCTCTCCCTAGCCCTAGTACATTTTCTCCCCTAGTCTTACTTCAATGCTCAACACTACCCTCCCTACTGCTTAAACATGGCAGGTGCCTAAAATACTTGTCTCAGGGACATTTCACTCAAATGTAACCCTCTGAGGACATTTTCTGATGATCCTCTGTTAAAGTGCATCACTCATAACAACACTCTAACATTTCCTGTGTTTCCTTTCCTGATTTGGTCCCCCCAGCCCAGTTTGTTCTACAAAACATATCCCACGATTTACTTATTATACAAATGTATATTACCTAATTCTTCAGGTGCAATGTTTTATAAGTACAGGAATTTTTCTTATTTCTTCATTGAATAATGAATAACAATAGCCCTTCTCTCCTAACCCAAAAGTATTCATATATAAGAGGCTTTTTTAAAGAAAGTGTTTTTTTTGTTTTGTTTTTAAACCAGGCATGTGGCCCATGAGTGTAACCCCAGTATTCCAGAGGCTGAGATAGAAGGATCTGAAGTTCCACATCGGGTTAAGTTTGTACAACAGAGCAAGACCCTATCTCTAAACAAAGCAACCAACACACAACTAAAGGCCTGTTGAAGGATGAATCATGTAGCCTGCAAACTCACAGCAGGTGCTACTGGAGGGAACAACAAACCTCCAGAACATGGCACTGCTCACTGTACACTGGATGCCCTTTCATATAATAAACAAAATTTCTGCATTGCTGACTGTCAGTATATAAGGAAATATCTACACATGTTTCATCTACTCTGGGGAGAACGTCTGGGCCCAAGAGAGGACTATTAAAGGCAAGTTATTATCTTCAAAACCATATTATTTGACAAAGAAAAAAGAATGGAGTTCACAGAACAATTCTGTGTACATTTTAAAGCTATGGAAGAGTTGGAGGAGGGAGTTAGATATAATCAACGCACACTAAAAACTTTTGAAAAATTTTAATAAAATTAATAACAGTCAACCAAAGGTATACAGCTCATAACAAGCACAAGCAGTGCCTAAGGGAAAACACCTAGAAGAACCCAAGCCAAGGAGACAGTCTTTCCGTTCTGAGCAGGCCTTCCTGTCTCCGGCTTCCTTCTTTCTTCCCACTCACGCTTTTGTTCTTGTAGAATGAGTTCCTGTCCAAGCTGCTTGCACAGGATATCCACAGAAAACACGGCCTGCCCACTAGCACCAAACAAAAGAAAATATCTTCAAACAAACAAAAAAGTCCTAATTCTTTCTGAGGTCGGGGCTAACCACAGAATTAATGAATGATCTTAGCTGGAAGGTGGGGAGGAATGAGTTAAATAAGAGAGTAAACTTAAGAACAAAGCAAAAGAGAACCAAAGCCTGTGGGTGTAGGACACTCGAGCCTGGGCCATCAGGGTCCGGTCTATGCTGTATTTACCACTAGTTAAGGCAGGCAGGCCCCATGAGTCAGATGTACTGCGCCCACTCCAATGTCAGTGTGTGGGCTAGAATGTCTAACTTGTGAACAACGCAACTTGGTTAACTTAGCACATTAACCGATTCTTTCAATTAACCCACTGCTATAGAGGTAGATTGTGGAAAGAGAGCAGTAATGGGCCCCAAACTTTCCTTACTTGCTGAAAGACTCAAGGAGCAGAAATACTGACAACCAAAAAGAAGTAATCTTTATATTTTCTATTGAGGCACTTGTAGGACAACACACACACACACACCAGCAACATACTTACAATTCAGAATAGTGAAATTAAAACGCAAATTCAAATTCAGAGGAAATGTGGATAGTTAATATTTAGCTTATAAAATACAATTTCAATATTATTCAGCCAGGTTTTTATCATTTTCACTATAAATTTGTCAGGTAATTATTTTCTCATAGTGTTTTCATTACTTATATGACTTAATACTTCTACTTTGATTGTTTATTATCTAAGAAACTAGTAATTTTTAGTACCTCTTTTAAAGACTATTTTAGTTTTCAATTTAAGTTTTTCAATCAACACATGTACATCTAACATCATTTTATGTATTATTCACGTTCTTCCATTAAGAATTTATGCTGGATGTGGTAGTACATGCCTTTACTCTTAGCTCTCAGGAGGCAGAAGCAGGCTAACTTCCGAAGTTTCAGGCCAGCCTAGTCTAGGCAAGTTCAAGGCCAGTCAGAAAGACAGTGAGACCCTATCTCAAACAAAGCAAGGCTGACATGGTGGCACACACCTTAACTTCCAGGGCTGGCAGAGGCAGGCAGCTCTCGACAAATTTGAGGCCAGACAAGGTTACAGTGTGAGATCCTGCCCCTCAAAACCAAACCAAACCAAACCAACAAACAAACGGAAGAGTGTAGTATACCAGAAAAAGCAAACAAACCATATAAACCCTCACTGACCACAATGGAGATAAAAAGGAGATGGTGCATTCACATTTCGTTACTGTGTTATCTATCTCCAACCCATTCCAGCCCTCATCTTTGAACATACCCGTCACGTGGGCCACAGGCAACTCTGTGGCATCCCTGCCTGGGCAGGACAGCAAGATGTCCTGTTCTCTGCAGTAACTGGCTGGAGGTAGCTGAACAGGCCCTAGGACCATACCTTTGGCCAAGCAGCATTAAAGTTAGGCTGTTCTGAAGAGAGGAGCCTTAAAATACCAGTCTGGCTGTCGATCCATACACGTGGATCATTTACTCACATACTCAGTGGCCAGAAGGAACAAAGAACAAGTTCAACCCACAGGGGTGGAGACCTGAGTAAGGGTGGAGCTACTCCAAAAACTCAGAGATGGGGGTGGGGATGATACACAGGCTATTTTAGTCACACAACAGCAACAGTTAAATAATAAAATCAGCCAAGATCAGTAGGTACAGAAGTTCCAGTTCCAGTCCCAGATGATGTGAGACTGTTCAGGGTTTCCCTGGAGAAAACTTGTTTACAGTACAACACCAAACACACTTGGAAAAGACAGGAAACGCCTAACAAGACTCATCTTTACATCACTCTAGTTAGTTCAAGAAACCACAAATCCAAAATCAAAGAAATAGCTACAGTGTGACTCAGAAGTGCAGGCAGAAGCAGACAGCAACTAACTAACCGCCTTCCCTAGCAAGTGGTCCGTGTGCCTTACAGGTACAAAGCAGGGCACACAGCACTGAAAACTAAATGCTGAAACTTGGAAAGTCTAAGGCCTAATTTAAAGTACAGAGGAAAACGTTTCATAAAATCTAAGTCTTTACAAATCAGAGTGATGTATGAGACACAAACTAGTAAAGTAAGAGATGGATAACTAAGTGGTACTGCCTACAAAAATAATTCAAAGAACATGTTGGCATGTACCTGTAATACCAAAGCTTGGCTAGATGGAAGCAGAAGGATTTCTGAGTTCAAAACCAGCCTGTGCTACAGATCCTGTCTCAAAAAGCCTCAACCACAGCACCATAGGAGCAATACAAAACTGTGCTTATAACTGTAAGCTGGGGAATGCCCACTGCATTGATTATTAAGCACCTACTGTGTCAATAAAATTAACACAGTAAAATTACAGGAAAGCATAAAATTATAAAAATACAAGTTGTAATTAACACTACAAGAGAAAGACCACATTCATATATGTTATTACCAACAGTTTAAAAACAAAACCCATGTTTTCAATGAAACTAACGTTTACAAAGCTACTGTATTCACATCATGGGAAATCAAGAATTAAATGACTAAAGGCAACTTCAAATAATGACTCAGAATTTCAAATACCAGGTGAAATTTCTCTTTCTGAGGATTCCAACATTTTTCTGGGAGAGTATCTTCATAATTCATGTTCTATTCATATGTAGAATCTATCTACATATAATTTACTTACTATTCAATCAGTAAATCTACTTAAGCCATCAGTAATTATATTGTGTTCTTACACTACAGGAGAAAAAATGCAGAGCATAAGCAAAATGTGGTACGTACATATAGTGGAGTATTATTTAGCCATAAAAGGAACAAAATTTGATATAAGTTAAAACATATATCTGATTTGAAAGCATCACAAGTCAGACACAAAAGACAAGTATTTTATAATTCCACTGATATAAAATATCTTGATTTTTCTTTTATATAGCTGCCTAGAAATGTGAGTAAATTTATTGAAGTATACAGTGAAAAATAGTTATTTATGGCAAATTTTATGCTATTTACATTTTATCATAATAAAAATTAAAATAACTTGGGTCTCCAAAGACCTTTTAATTATTGGGTTACGATTATCACTTACTGTATTAAAATTTAAAAAATCTTAACAATGATTATTAATTCTAAAATATCAAGTTCATTATCAGTATGAGTAATTTTTATTTAAGAATGACTTTTCAAAAGACAATTCAGAGTAGCACTGTTGTTGTTTACAAATGTTTTTAGCAACACCTTGAGGTAAGGGAGTGTACTATTTAAAACAAAGTGCTGGTCTGGGCCAGGAATGAAAGAATCTTAGCAGGCATCCTTGACTAGGGGCCGGGAGACAGTAGAGGCCAAACCACTGAAGCAGACAGGGAAGGACCTGGGGTGCAGAGAAGGCCTGAGGCTCCAGAGCAAGCACTGGAGGATTTAGAACGCTATTCCAATTACAAAAGGCCAACTGCCCCAAGCAGGGAAGTCATAAGGTCTGGCTTCATTTTTTAAGATAATCACCACTGCTCAGGAAGAGGAGGTAACTACTCAAGAGAAAAACAGAGAAACTACTGGGGAGTGGGATCTTGTTGGCTTGGAGTACAATGACAGCAGTGGAGACAAAGAAAGAGCAGATGTACTTAAAGATGTGGTTCACAGATGGAAGCTATGGGGCTCAGAACTGCTTAGATACAGCAAGCAGAAGGAGAAAACAAAGGTTTTTAAGCTTGAGAACATGGGTAGTTGCCATGCATACTCAGAAGCAAGTTTCTTGAGCAAGTAAATTTAGAAGGTTCAAAGAAGCACTTTGGTGAATAAATCTGAAGCTTAGAGGCGATCTTGGGTGAAGGCACCAACTCTCATGGTAATTAAAATCAGCACTCAGAGGGGGTGGTGGTGAAATAACTCAGCTGGTAAAGACACTTGTTACCAAGTCTGATGACCTCAGTTCACCCCTGGATCCTACATAAAAGGAGAGAGCCAACTCTCTCCATTTGTCCTCTGACCTCCACATGTACAACAGGGCATACACACATCCACACAAGTATACCACATTCCCCAAATAAACAAACAGATGTAAAATTTAAAGTAAGTCAAGACAGAGGTGGGTGGGGAGCTGGCTCAGTTGATAAATCACTTGTATACAAGCATGAGGAGTTTGTCCCCAGAACATCCTTACACATAAAAAATTTTTAAAAATAAAAAATGCCCTTTAGATATAATGGTAAAATAGACACATCATCAACAAGAACCCAATGCCAGAAGACTGGCTCTAGGAGAGTTGTTAGAGGAAGATATTGAGATAGAATGGGAAATGTTGTGAAATTATGCAACACCAAGAATAAAGTACTGGAGTCTGGAGAGATGGCTCAGTGGTAAAGTTTGGTTTCCAGTGTCCAAGTTGGTAAGCTCATTACCTGTAACTACAGCATCCAATGCCCTCTTCTTTTGACCTGGAGGGCTCTACACTCAAATGCACAAACTCACACAGATTCACACATTATGGTGGTTTTTGAATGAGAATGGCTCCCATAAGCTCATATGTTTTGATGCTTAGTAAATAATGAAGTACAACTGTATGAGAAAGAAGGATTAGGAGGTGTGGCCTTGTTGGAGGGAGTGTGTCACCTGGGGTGGGGTGGGGGAAGGAGGGGGCCAGGTGGGAGGCTAAGTTTCAAAAGTCGACACCAGGCCGTGTGTGTGTGTGTGTGTGTGTGTGTGTGTGTGTGTGTGTGTGTGTCTGTCTGTCTGTCTGTCTGTCTGTCTGTCTTCTGTCTCTGCCTGCTACCTGCAGAACAGGATGTAAAGCTTCCAGCTACTGCTTAGCATCCTGCCTGCCTGCAAGCTGCCTTACTCTGCCATGATGATAGTGGACTAACCCTCTGAAACAGTAAGCAAGCTTCAAATTAAATTCTTTTATAATAGTTGCCTTAGACCTGGTCTCTCCACAGCAATTGAAACCCTAAGAAACACACACATATGTAATTTTGTTTAAGATTACAAACATATAAAATTAAAAAGGATGGGCAAACTGAAGATGGAACTCAGTGAGCACACATAAACTTAAGCAACAAAGAACAAATGCTACTACATGCTGTAACAGATGATCTTTAAAGCATGACACCAAGTGAAAAAAGCCAAAAGTAAATTTATATTATATGCATCAATTCATCAGTGGTTCTCAAACTGTGGGTCACAACCCCTCTCAATGGACTTTTTCATGGGGTTGCCAAAAACCATTGGAAAACACAGATATTTCTATTAAGATTAATAACAGTAGAAAAATTACAGTAATAAAGTAGCAACAAAAATAATTTTATGGGTGGGGATCACCACAACACGAGGAACTGTGTTAAAGGGTCACAGCATCAAGAAGGTTGAGAACCACTGATTGAGAACAGGCAATCCACAGAAAAGAAGACAGATTAATGGGAGCCTCGGGCTGCAGTAGAGAACAGAGCGTGGCTGGCTGCTAATGGCTACACAAGTCTTCTTGGTTAGACTTTAAGTTGGTGATTGGGAAACTGTAACTACTATAAAAACAGACAGAAAATTTACTGACATCTATCCTGTTTTCAGACCTAGCTATTCAGATAGCTAGGCTCTGAGTGTATAGTTACTTACAACACAGGAAAACAAATGGCAATTACTTCATGAGTCATAAATATGAGCAAAGTTATGGTAAGATCTGTTGCATTTCAACATCAAACTTTGAGGAACCAGTACCTGGTAGACAAAAAGATGGGTGACAGACTTGTCAGGGGTTCCTCATGTTGTGGTGACCCCCAACCATAAAGTTATTTCACGGCTACTTAAGTGTAATTTTACTACCATTATGAACAATAATGTAAATATCTGATATGCAGGATGTCTGATATGTGACCCCTGTGGGGGTCATGACACAAAGTTGAGAACTACTGTTCTAAGTAAATTCATATACTGGAAGCCCTATATAAATCCTGTGTCTGTTCAGCTTGTGGCTGTTCATGCTACTTGGCTGTCCTCTGCCACTCTCCTGGATTCTTCCCTCACAATAAACCCCTTGGATGAGCTTTAGGTGAAAATCTTTTGGGGCGAGCAGGGCTGTAACACTTTTGCTGAGAAACCTTCCCTTGGCAGAGCAGAGTTGTTACATACACTCCGCTCTCCACTCTCCTGGAGCAGAGCTGAACTGTAGCAACTTCTCCGGAGAAACCTCCTGCCGAGCAGTTTGGGGAAACATCCCCAGCTGGAAGACACTGTCCTGCCAGAGCTGAGCCAATACACTGGGGAAGCCTTTGAGGCAGTGCTGTAAACTGCTAAGCTTACTACAACCCATGGTGGTCCTTGGCTCCAGAGCTCCAGGATACCTTTCCACCTGAGCTGTGTAACACTGAGCTGTGTAACACTCACTCCTGAGCTCCAGGATACCCTTCTATCTGAGCTGTGTAACACTCAGTATTCTGTGACTCCCGAGTGCCAGAATACCCATCCCATCCCGATCCGACCGAAATGCCAACACCCAGTAAAGGTCAGTAGCTCCCCTTTCTCAGATATGACAATCAAAACTGTCTCTAGACTTTCTCAAACATACCGTGGCAGGCAAACTGCTCCCAGCTGAGAACCACAGACTTAATCTTTGCTGTAATCCTACAAGATTCAGGACTCTGACAAAAGGATAACTGAGTAACACTCATACCCAATTGCTCACAACTTGAACCCAGTGCAAAGTAAGATTCACAAAACAACTTTTTTACTAGGGAGATGCATTCTTACATTACTTCCCATCCTTCTCTTCAACTATCGATAGCTTTCCCATTTAAGTGCATTTTATAACCTGTAATTTGAAAGCTGAGCTAATATTCTAATATAGTTTATAAATTTTCAACATGAACAGATGGTACCCCCTCCCCCTAAAAAAAGAAAGCTCTGGTTAATCCTGATGGCCCCAAACAATTAGAATCTTCTAGTTGTTTTGTTGAGTGAATAAAACCAAGTGACTGGGTCCCTAGACTGTGTTCCCTGACTTTTGTACACAGCACAATCACCCAGGGAACCTGATGGGAAATGAGTTTACTGCATCTCACCATAGGTTACTGATTCTGGTGACCTAGGGCAGGACCTAAAGATGTGCATTTCTAGTGCTGCTCCAGAGTTGTTCCAAACTGTCAAACCACTGCCTCGAATGTCCTTAAGTAATGGGGTTAATGTCATAAGCAGGGGGCTGGAGACCTGACTCAGAGGTTAAGAGCAAGAACTCTGGCAAAGGACAGAGTTCAGCTCCCATATTAAGTGGTTCACAAGCACGTGTATTGCCAGCTCCAGGAGATCTGACACCTCTGCACT